GCAGGAGAGGCAGCAGCATCGCCACAGCTAGCGCCGAGAGGACGCAAGCAGCAGAACCAGCAGCAGCAGCAGCACGCTGCTGCGTCGGCGACACCAGCAGCGGTAGCAGCAACGGACTGGGTGGCGCTGCTGACGAAGGAAGTGAAAGCTCAGGAGCTGCTGTGTAGGGTCGCAGCTGCTGCTGCCGCCAGCGGGCCCGGGTGCGACGAGAAGCTGCTGGTGGTATTGCACCGTGTCTGTTACCAGATGCTTACAAGCTGTGAGGCCCCAATGCGCGTCGTACTGGGGAATGGTGTGGGCATCCGCTGCTGTCGCGAAACGAAACCGTTACAAGTCTTCGCTTCGCTTTTTGGAGAAGGAGGCCTGCGGCCCGACGCGCAGCTAATGGCCATGGTGCGCAGTGTCCATGCCGGCACGGCGGCCGCGGTATTACCGCTGCCACCATCGCCGTCGTTCAACAAACCCCCGCTACCGCCATCCCTATCATCGCCACCATCGTCCGGGCTGCGGCTAGAAGAGGCTCCTCCACTGCCATCGCTCGGGGTGGTGCGGGCGGTGCTGCGCACCTGCGACTTTAACAATAGCTGTTGCAACCTATCCGGGGCCGGTGAGGCTGACCTGGAGCTCCAGGAGTTTGAGCTCGCTGCACGGGCCGGGTTGCAAAGCGGTTGCAAGACCTGATAGGGGGGTATCGGAGGTGTCCATGGTCTATGGACACGTCTCTGTGGCACTTCGGCGATGCATTTTGCCGAAGGCGTGTTTGCAGCTTGTCAGGCGTTTCCTGCGGCGTGAAGAAATACACGGCTCGTGGGGATCTAGTTGCTTAGTCCGTGGGAAACCCAAGAGAAAGTCCTCGGTGTGGGTGCTCCTGTAGTACAGGGGGGTAGCGTACAGAGGGCCGTGCCTCACACACCGGACGCTCGAGGGGGGCTTGCGTGCGGGTTTGGTGTCTTGGCTGTGAGCAGTAATGCGATATACAGGAAGTTGCCGCGGCCTGTGGCCCTTTTACAAAAAGAAGGCCTCGCATTGTGGATGCGGGGAAGATGCCCGCAGTTGGCCAGATGCCAGGCCGGACGGAAAGCCGACTGCAAGCAAGCTGTGCCTGCCGCAAGTAGGGGAAGGTGTTGGGGACGATACGTGAAACACGGCCACCAGTGCCGCCCTACAGCAGGCTCGTACTGAGTGTTCGGCTTTCAGCTCGCAATAGGGTGGAACTCCTAACACTCTTAACAGGTTTAGGTGTTTCCAGCAGCCACGTATAAAATCTATGTTTGGTATTTTGTTTTTAATGGTAGCCCGCAACAATATAATAGTCTGCCGGTCAGACAGAGGTTTGTTTGCATATAGCATGTGCGGATGTAGTAGTAAGTAGCGGGGGCCGCGGTGTTGTTGGAGGGCTGACGGATGCACACAACTGCCAACCCCCCCGGCGCGATGACCTCGTCAGCATTTCCATTTTGCCAGCTGCGCACGGAGAGCGCCGCCATGGAACCTCAACTGCCCGCGTGCCCCTAGTAGATGGTCAAAGAGAGAACCAACACCGCATAGACATGTCCTCCTTCCTAGCACAACGGAAGCCCGGTAGGCAAAGACGTTGCACACAAAAAGAGGCAGGTGGCTGGCAGAGATTAAGGCGTGACTTCTGCTCCCGGAGTGTCCGGGTTCAAATCCGCATGCCGACCCCTCGGGTGTGTGAGGGGTGACGAAATGGGAGGTGGCCCCCCCATCTGGTGGACGGTGTTGGACGTGATAAAATCAACTTGCGAGCTGGCCAGGAGAACTGAGTTGAGGTGCTGTTGATCTGCTAGGTTTGGGTGGATGCTGGTGGTGAGTTGCCAAACCCAAAGAGTACACTCTGAAGTCGGGTGGGGCGAATGGATTAGGGTGCCCCTCTAGCAGGGGAGAGCAGGGAATTGCCTCGGAAAGGAGGCCACTGGTGAAGCTGTACCACATTGTAACAACAACAAAAAGAAACAGCCTCCAAATGCGCACATACCGTAGAGCCTCGCCATTATTGAAACGCACCTGCTCTTGGAAGCCAGGGGCAAAGCCTGTGGGCCACCCTAGCCACGCCAACCCCAAGCCACGCGCAATGCCCCGCCCCCACCCCGACAATTTGGACGTGGAAAGCGATCCATCCAGCTTACATCTTCTCCCCACAGCAGGATAGGCCACCAAGGTAGAACCCACATGCCACTCCTAACATTACTGCCACTCCCGTCGAAGCGGCAGTAGCAACAGCAAAAAGAACGCTCACGCCGTGTCACGTCGGCGCGACAGCAGTGATCGCCGTCCTCTGTCAGTCTGTCAGTCTGTCCATCATTACGCATTGAACCAGGATGACCTTCGCCCCTCACATTCTAGCTCAGCAACGGTTGTGTCAAGCTCAAAAATGTTTCGATGACATATACGACCCGTGCAAGAGAAAAAAAGGACATCCGATACAAAGAAAATGGCAAATCCTGTCCACGGTTCCACTAGGCATGTTACTACGTTGCCATTTCGTTTAGCCGGTTTGACATTCTGGAATTAGGATTGGGGCGCTCTGGGACGCCTGAGGTCCGAACTCTCTAATCGAAAGTCCAGATCCAGACCCAGATCCCGACCCAGATCCAAGGGCAACTGAAATCTTAAGATCCAAGGAGAACTAAGATGCAAGGACGACGGATATTCAAGGACAACTTGATGTGCATCGATGGGATTACCTGAGGTGGTGGGGCCACGCACTGATGCACTTCCCTACATCCCGCGGGGGCTCAGCACCCTATCACGCTCCCTTGGCGCCATGCAGCGCCCCATCCCCCGCCACATCGCGAATCGCCTGCTCCAGGTGCGCTTGAAAACCTCTGTCCCAGAAGTTGTGACCTCGACGTCCGCCTCGGCTCTCGTACTCATAACGAAACCACACATGTGGCTGTGGCTCCTTGCCATGTGGGTCAACGTAGCCGCTGCAGCCGCCACCGACCCACGGGTCCTCCAGCGGCAGCAGCACTGCGCTGCGCTCTTCGATGTTATACAATACGGGCAGGTACATCACTCGACCATTGGCAGTGTCCGACAGCAGCCAGTTCTCATGTCGGCCGGCCTTGCGGCAGGCGCCGCCGCCGGGGCAGTGAAGGGTGGCACCGCCGACAAAGGCCCAGCCGCCGGCGTCCATATCGACGTCGATGCAGCCAGCCGGCTGCGACAGCGGCGCGGCTGCTGCCGCCGCGGTCGCCTCGGCCGCGCTGCCAGTGTCGCTGCCGCCGCACGCCGCCAGCGCTGGGGAAGCTGTAGCTGTGTTGGCGGCTGCCGACAGGAGCGGTGATAAGCCCGGCGGCTTACGCTTCCTTCCTGTCAGTCGAACAGCTTCCTGGGAGAGCGCATAGTAGCGGTCCTGCGTGCACATCCATCAGTGAAAGAAGGGATGTTCGCTGATGCCGTCATGTACGGGACGTAGCAAGGCAATGGACGACCCTCATGCATGTTGTCAATGCCCGTATCGAAACCTCCAAAAGCCATTGTGAAATTCTTCATTGCACCTGATTGCATCTGTGGGCAGAGAGACTCCGGCAGGGACACTGGGCACCCAACTGCATTCCTGCCGCCCACATGCCGCCTACGACGTTCATTCCCATTCCCATTTGGTTCTCGTATTTCCATTTGCACATCTCCATGCCCACTCCCGCAAAACTGCACATCTCCAGTATACACATACTCGAGGGCTCCTCCGCTCTACGACGGACCTGAGGTGGGTTGCGGCTCCGGGCCTCCGTCACCGCAGCCTCGAGCCTGTGTGGGCGTGTTTGCACGGCGCCGCCAAGGTAAGGCAAGGACGGCAAGAGGATAGCCGCATCGTAACATCACAACGCGGCACCTCTCGGCACGTCGTTCCCGCTGTGGTGCCTAACATGATTTGAGTCCTGTTTCTGCCGTAAGTGCAATGCCCTAAGGCAAAACTCACTTGCAAAGCCGTGAGGAGTGATGCCGACGAACAAGGTGAACGGGCCAGAACTGGAGCAGAACGTTTTTGGTTTTCAGGGCTAGCTGTACGACAGCACGTCGCATACAACGCATACACAATACACCATACCGTTGATCCCTGAAGTACTCGTACTGCGACGTACGGGCGTACAATGCCATGGCCCGTGCCGTAATGGCGCACTGCGCCCCGTCAGTGAAGTGGCGCAGCAGCCGCTGCAGCGCAGGCGGCAGGTGGCAGGCCATCAAGACCGGCAAGTGCTGAGCAGCGGCAGTGGTGAAGTGGAATCTGCCTGCGGGGCCAGGGCGAGAAGGGGCCATGAGGCAGGCATAGAGTCCATTGGCGCACCCCGAGGATGTGCTGGTGCTAGTGCTCCTTACCCATCCAATGCCATGCCTAGCAGGAACGCAGTAGATGCTGCCAGAGGAAACAGGGCGAAAACAGGGTAACGGTGCACGGCAGCCAAATCCGGAGAAAAAAGAGTGAAAAGGCAGTGCGCATGCCCTCAGGCCCAATGGGAGGTATTGGACGGGACTGGACCAGACCAAAGTATCATAATGAGACTGAAACAGAAATTGCGCCGACAGAAGTTGCAAGCTCAAGAGGCCCCTCGTTATGGAGTCAGAACGGGTCGGCATTCCACAAGTAAAGTTGTGTTTGCTTTGCTTTCCGAAGCCCTAGTGTGCAGTTCGTAGAAGCCGTAGCGTGTGCACGGCACGTACCCTGAACCCCCTGGGAACGGAACATATCGAAATTCCCGTAGGTGGAGGCGGCCTGTATGAGCGCCACACCTCCCGGGGTGCCAAGCGCCACATTTCCTGGGGTGCCAAGCGCTACATCTTTCGGGGTGCCAAGCGCTACATCTTTCGGGGTGCCAAGCGCTACATCTTTCGGGGTGCCAAGCGCTACATCTTTCGGGGTGCCAAGCGCTACATCTTTCGGGGTGCCAAGCGCTACATCTTTCGGGGTGCCAAGCACGCACGACGCGACCCGTCCTGAAGCGTTCACCACAGGGTGGGGAGGGAGGAGGGCCACGTTCACCACAGGGTTCGGATTAAAGTAGGAAAGGAATCAAAGGTGGCTAAAGCACGGTGGATTACCGAGGCTGCGGCGCTGCTCCTGCCTCCTTCATGCGCATGCCATTACAGCACGCGGTATGGTCGTACATGTACATGTACACGTACATGCTGTACAGGTATCACGTGCCAGGTATCACCTGCAGTACACCTGGCTGCCGTACAGTACCTGCGGCACCCGCTGCAGTTGCTACGTGGCCCACTGGTGTCCGTACGCCTCGCAGTGGTGGGGCCGCGCCTGGGGTGTGGTAGCCGGCTCCGACCGGCGGCTGATGCTCCACCGCTGCTGTGTTCCCAGGCCCTGGGTTCACCACGCCCACGCAGTTGGGATTGCTGAGGGCTGGCCCGGCGGGGGCAGCGGCGGCACGAGTGGTAGGGCTGAAGGGGCTCGTCTTACTGGTGGCGGTGCGATTCGTAGGGCTGACGGGTTTCGCCGCTGCGGGCGTGTACATGTTGGTTGTGTTTGGGAGAGAGTGGGTAGGTATTACCGATTAGATGCACGGGGGAACAGTGGGGGGTTGTTTGCCTGTTGCCCAATCTGGTAGAGCTCGTGAAACGCGCTTATGAGCTTGTCAAAAGGGTCGTTATTTGTAAAGGGTTACACCGCACCGTTGCGGAGATCTGGAGTTACACCTGCAAATGTACTGCGCTGCCGTACACATGAGCCTGTATCTGACGTAGTACGACGCTAGTGGCCCTTTTCCCCTTTTTGGGTTCGCGACGATGAAACCCCTAATAGTGCTTCACTCCGTCCCTGCACCCGATTTGGAATAAGCCTACCATCCAGCCCCTCCCTGCAGCCGTTTTTATCTAAATATGCATGCGGAGTTGCTTTGCATGGGAAGCGCATAGCTGTAGGTGGGCTTTAAGCAGTAGGTGTGCGGCTATGCGGCTAAGCGGCTATGAGACTATGCGACTGTGGCTGGCTGCTCGGGCCCGCTTTGGATTGGTGAGTTGTACTGTCTGTCCGTTTGTCTGTTTGTCCGCCCGACCCCCTGACTAGTGGCTTGGAGAAGGTGGCAGTACCTAGGAATTGGGGGGACCCCGACATGGGAATGCAGCTCTGTGCTGCCACTGTGCTGAATACGTCGTGTCGCGTGTATCACGTCAAGCGTGGGTCTCTGACGTGGCCGAAATGTAATGCAATGTAGTTGAAACTCGTGAGTCTGCCGTTGGGGCCCGTAGGTAACCAGTAAAGAGCAGAGATCTCCCCCGTTTTTGTTAAGTTTTGGGCCTGAGATATCGAGGGTTTAGGGGAATGAGAGGGAGCGAGACCAAGTCTTTTGTGTGCCAATCGCGCATATTGCGCACGCACCTGTGTACGACGTCCATGCGCAGGCCTCGTTCGAGTCCCTGTGCTTTTGCAGGGCTGGCGCAAATTTTTGCTGGGAGGCGCTTCGGCGTCATCCGTGCGCAGTACCAACGGATGCTCTGTTGTTCCGGACGGCAGCGGAAATAGGTCTCGAAGGGCGCTGACGGTTAGCAAAGCGCCTGGATCAGATTTATCAATGCGCAGGGAGGTGTCATTCAGAGTCCATGCGTCGCAGTCATCCGGCGACTCGATAGTTATGCGGAAAACACGGGCAAGGTGCGCGAAGCTAAGCCGACCGTTGCCGTCTAGGTCGAATCTCCGGCAAAGGCCGTTATAGCTCAAGACAATAAGTCTAATGGTATCATGACTTGGTACCGGTGCAGTCATTTATCCTGTGTCTGCCCAAGTGGACCCTTGCTCGTTACAAGGACCCTTTTGCAACGCTAAAATGCAGAGCAGATGAACAGAGCAGGTAAAGCTTTAAGTACCTAGTGGATGGTATCGATTTGATATGAACGCCGAGGACGGCGTGGTGCTTTCCTGCTTCGCTTTGGTCTTGCGCTCTAGCTCGGGTCTAGCCACTTTGACCGTACGGAAACGTCTGAATATCAACCGATGCCAAGACATTTAGTTAGGAGCTAGGATGGACTTAGCTTTTGCAGAAGCTACGACTTCCGATTAGCATAGTGAAAGTAGTTAGGAGCTATTAGCTTTGACGACTTCCGACTAGCATAGTGAAAGTTGGGGCTTTTATGGCGCTGACAGCTGACAGCGAGTCCACAGCCGTGATGGTGCGTACCATGATATCCAAATACTTCTTAAGCGACGTAATATTTTTGGCCAATAAATTTTGCTCAATATCAGTATCGTTGAAATCCATTGGGGCGCTGGGCCTTAACACCTACCTGTCCGTCAACCGATAACGAGAAATATTGGTACACAGTCGGTAAAAGCTAATAAAGCTGTCTAATGATTCTCCTAATTGATAATTATGTAATGAGTCTGGGTAAGCGGGGAAGGTCAAGTCCTCGTAACCTGTGTAAAATCCGTACAATGTCAGAGTAAACCCCCACATGCTGAATGTAAGGACGGAAAGGATTTGCCAACGCGATACATACGACACATGATTTCTCTGGAAGCGTCCCCTTGGCTTAAAAGGTCCCGAAATTTATTAACTGGAACAACGCAAGCTTGGAAGGGAGGCAATCTTTCCATCTCTTATAGGGCTCGACAATTTGCTCTTATATTATCCTTATATGTACAAGTAAGCATGGCCGCTGCAGCGCTTAACAGTCTCCGACCAGTCACAAAGGTAGGAATGGGAAAGCCCCGGGCCTGAATTTCATGCCACTAACCTAATACGCATACGTGAATAGGTCGTCCAAGGTCAGAAAATGAAGGAAGGTGCAGGTGTAACAATTTGCCGCACGGTAAGTTTCCACCGTACCGTAGCTCGATGCTATGCAAGTAAACTCCGCACAAATAACTTTGTTAGCCCTCCCTTAGCGCATCATTACCTAGTCCTGACAAGGTCGTCAAAAAGGAGACCCCAGCCTACCTTGCCGTCCCACAACAGTTACACAGCGCCTGGCCTTCCCGTCACAATTCGGCGCCCCTTATCCCCACCGCGTGCTAAGATGTCACCGCCAAGCAAAACCGGTATCCTGTCTTCACCTTTCCGAATCGCGCCCACTCTCTCTTTCGCCCCAATACTCCATCAGTTACTTTCATTTACGACTTTCGCTTCTGTTGTCCCCGCATGCAGGTGGGCACTTCTGGGCTCCGAAACCTCGACCCGTACCTCATGTTGTAAGTCGGAGCCTGGGGCTTCTGTGTCGTCACATGGACAGGAAATTCCAGCACGCGCTCATGGATGCCCCATGCCTACGCCTAAGCCTGCGCGAATGCCGATGCGTATGTGTATAACCGCCAGCGTGCGAACAAACGGTCGAATGCCTGTGCGTGTAAAAAATACCTGCAAGCATGAGCTAGCTTGTTTGTGGGGCCGGGGCTCTAATTTGTAGGTACGCTTGCTAACCTTGAGCTCGGTCCCTAAAGCTACAATTTAGGGTTCAGTGTTGTGCGGAAGTGTGTGATGGGACGACATGTAACGGGAAGCTATATGACCTTAAACTACGCACACAAATGCCTTGTATACCGCAGCTCTAGGGTGCGGCTACTCCTTCACGACTAGGGCATTCCTAGAGCTTAAGCTTAAGCGATAGTAATATCCTGCAAAATGTGACAAACAAACGGCAGTCCGCGCTCATGAAGGGCATTGCATGTGTCGGGGTCTGCAGTCCGCCGCATCTTCGTCCTCGTCACTTGCGGCGCCTGCTACGTGTGTACGTGTTCCTTTCTCAGATGTGCCATAAGTTACTAAACTAAGGAATTGCGCGCCGCCTCAGCTCCTGTACTAACAAGCACTAACCGTCTAAACCCGGATTTTGATCTCCCCAAACCTTCCCATACCTTGAGGCGGGCTGCTCCTGTGCCTGACTTTGCGACAACTACCGCTCCATCTGCGTGCTGCGATTCTGATACTGTGGCTTGCTGCATATGCGTGTGTGTGTATATGCATCTTGCAGAGACGAGCTCAAGCTGCCCGCCAAGGCGGCCTTCGCTGGCTTTCCCGACCACCCCCACAGAGGCTTTGAGACGTGCTCCATCATGCTGGAAGGGCAGATGGAGCATCGCGACTCTCACGGCAACCATGTGAGTGCTGCTGGACTGCTGGAATGACTACGGAGGGGCGGTAACGTAGAGGAATGGGCGAATGGCGGCGTTGGGTTGTGCGGCACAGGGCACCGAATGGGTGTGTGGGAGGAGGGAAGCATAGGGGCTTGGGAGCTGGGGGGGCTTCACACGCGTCGGGTTGTGCTGGGCGGCGACACGTGGAAGGGATGGGAAGGGAATGGGAGGTAGATTGACAGGGGGTTTGGCAGTCCGAGGGGAAAATCGTGAGGGCGTCTGCACGCATCAGCCAGGAAACAACACCGCAGGGGTTATTGCGCATATCTGCATTTCCTAATACGTTAACCTGCATGGTGGCAAATAGTACCCTTGTCCGTCCCTCTCCCCCTCCCTGGATGCCCTCCCTTCCCCTGCCTGCCCACGACCCTCGCACGCGCCCAAAGGGTGTCATCGGTCCCGGGGGCGTGCAGTGGATGACGGCGGGTCGGGGCATCATCCACAGCGAGATGCCCAAGAGCACGGATGGCATGTTGTGGGGCTTTCAGTTATGGATCAACCTGCCCAAAAAGGACAAGATGTGCAAACCTAGGTATGCGTGTGTGCATGAGGTTTTGCGAATTGAGAAGTGCGTGCTAACGATGGCTAACCTAGGTGGGTAGGTGTAGGGGGGAAGGAACTAGGTGGTTATGGAAAAGCGGTAACGAGGCAAGGAAAACTGAGGGCATTGGGAGAGCGCACAGGAGGACGGGGAAGAGGATAGTTTAGTCAAGGATAGGAGGCATGGGATGGATTGCGATGGCGTGGATGAGGGGCGTCTGGCCGCCTGGTACACCGTTTGCCTGCATGCTTGGCAAAACGAAGCAGGAAACTAAAGACCTTTGAAACGAACTTCTGGGGTCGTGGAGGTGAAAGTAGCTGTTTCCATCAGGCATGGCTCTAGTCATGATCACACCCATCCTTCTAGAATCCGCATCTCATATGCGATTGGGGTATCTTTCGCCACAATACTTGGTACGTATATATATACGACAGGCCAATCAACATCTATCTAGCTCGGTAAATTTGAGAAGCACAATGTTTACCAGGTAATATTATGCGCTCGATGACGGGATCGAATCGTCGACATTATGGTTAACAGCCGTACGCTCTACCGACTGAGCTAACCGAGCAACAATTTCTCGATGAAACAAGAGGTAATCGCAGATAGACCTAGTTGGAGGTCTGGGGGACTAGGCACGTTGCGCTCAGGCGCGCTTCACCCAGGCGAGCGGGAGAGTACGTCAACGTCCTCACCCGCCGCCACAATGATGGCTATAGACCGTCCATGCCCCCCCCGGCTTTTACGATCGGCTCCCCGCATTTGTGCGGAACTTGTAAGTTGTAACCCATCTAACGCCCACAGCCCGGGGTCCTCCAGCCTCGCCATACGTGCACCACGTTCTGGTCATTCAGCTCCTTCAAGAACCCCACAAAGCCACACTCCACAGAGATATATTATTAGTTATTAATAGTGTAAATATGTGTATATAATTCCTTATCCCCACATTACCACACACCGCACATTCCTCCGAGTCTTTTGGCCGTTTCTTCCCCCCTTCACATACACCCCAAGGTACCAGGATTATCAGCGTAGTGACATTCCCGTGGTGGAGTCGTCCCCTGGGGCCAGTGTACGGGTGATGGCGGGCAGCCACGGTGGGGCCATAGGGCCCATCAAGATGCGTAATCCGGGGTTGCTGATGGACGTACGACTGGCGCCGGGCGCCAGCTTCACGCAGGAGGTGCCGCTGGTGAGTTTGAGGTGTTAGGGGGGGGGGAATGGAAGGGAAGGCTGAAAGGATCCATTAGCACACCTAACCAACGTCGAAACCTACGCTTTGGAGTCGATTTCGTGGGCAAGAGGAGGCGGAGGGGGCGCAGGAAGAGGGAGAGGCAGAGAGTGAGGGTGCGGGTGCGGGAGAGGACGGGGGAAAAAGGGAAGGGACGAGGGTATTTGATGAAGCGTACCCAGAGGAGCAGCCCACTCGTGCACTCGCTCATATTTCTCTTGCTCACTTTGACTCTTTTCGTGTTTACTCCCTCATTCGACTGTTGGCCGAAAGCATGGTGCACATTGGTGACTGGTACCAAAAATCCGTAAAGTCATAGACACAGAAACACTGCTGGTTTAGAGCTTGGTAATGAACACGATAACTCGATACCATATGAAAGGAACTGGCTCCAGTTGGCGACTGGAGGAAGCATTAGTTCCTAACTTGCCCGATCTGCAGAGCCCGACATCAGACGCTGGCTGAGAGACAAGGAAGAGAAGAATAGGCTTACATATAATGGTGCATGGATGCCTTAAATAGTCTGACAAAGCCATGCACGACACAGAGTCATACTGATCAAAGCCAAACACGACGAACGAACACAAATCCCTTACACGATTTTTATTTGACATCGTGGCGCTGTCGGGTGCAGGGATGGAACGGTTTCGCCTATGTATACGACGGCGAGGGCAGGATCTGCGGCACCCGGGCACAACCTGAGCATGTGAGTGCGTGGGTGGACGGTAATGGAGGAGTTGGCGGGATTGCCGGGGTCAGCGGGCAGCTGGTGCGGGTCAGCCGGTGCGGGTAGATAAAGTGGATGCTGTGGGAATGGGAGTTGGCGTACTCGGGGTCCGGCCGCCATTTCTACTGCGTCCTCAGACTGCTGTCAATGTTTCTCTGCTCTGCCTGCTCTACTGCTACTGCCATTGGCGCGGGTATGCGTGTGGCCGTGGCGATGGTCATCTTCACGCCAACGATTGCGGCCATGGGCGCCGCCGCCGCTGCCGCCGCTGCCCTTGCAGCAGCTTAGTGCCGTCCTGTACATACCCCACGTCGGTGTTGAAGCATACCATACCCTGTAAAAAAACTCGTGACAGCCCAGCCACCTTAACTGCTGCTACTGCTGCCGCTGTAGGCGCTGGTCCTGGGCCCGGGTGACCACGTGGCGGCCACTGCCAATTTAGGCAACAACAGCTCGGAGGGCTCCAGGGGTGCGGGCCTCAAGTTTTTGCTCATCGCGGGAAAGCCCATCGGCGAGCCCATTGTGCAACACGGTCCCTTCGTTATGAACACGGAAGAGGAGATTTATCAGGCGAGCTAGCTTGTCAGGGGGCCCCGGGGTATATGGGCGAGACATGGGCGGGCCATTGGAAAGTGGGATGATGGCTGTACTATTGTACGGTTAGAGCAAGCTAGACTGTACAGTGTCGTACGTGCCATCGTATCTAGAGGTCTCTGCCTGTGTATTCCTGCTCCTACCCGTGGCCCCTGTGCACTGCCCGTGCTCGTGTACGACAGAGAATGTCATTCCGGAAATATTCGTACTACTGTTTCAGCACATCTTGGTCATTACCATTATGACTTTCCGTGAATTTCGTAGTGCTTTTCCTTGTGATATGAAATCTGGACGTTTTCTTGGCGTCCTAGGGCACGTAAGCAAGGGCGGTAATTCACGATTTCGCCTTTTCCCGCTTCGTCAGGCTATTAAAGCTTACCAAAGCGGCCGCCTAGTGCCCCGCACTCGCATCCAGATGATCACCGGCAAAACGCCCAAACCCCAGTCAGCGCGCGCCCTTCTAGAGATGTCGCCGCCGTCACCCGTGGTGCCGCCGGCGGTAACTAACGCCATGAAGCCGTCCTTTGACACCTCCAGCCCCGCCTCCTCCGCTTCCTCATCAGGCGTTCCGGGACTATCAGACGGGTCGTCTACAAGACCCCACAGACAACCCCTGGAAGGACGATGGGGAGCTCTGAGCGGTGGAGATTTTGCCAATGGCGACGAGGACATTAACAACGGCGGCGGTTGTGGCGGCGGTGATGGCGGCGGCGATAGGGGTGACCCGCGCGCAGCGGCGCCAGGAGCGGAGGCGGAGGCGGCTGCAAACGGCACAACAGAATCAGCACCGACGGCAACTCTTGCGGCTGCAGCAGCAGCAAGATCAACGATGATCGCTGCCGCAGGAGGTGGGGGAGGCAAATGAGGTGTTAAAGGAGGGAGGATGGAAGGGCGCGGTGTTAGGGGAAGGCGAGAGAAGAGAAGAGGTGTTAAACTAACGACACAGCCGCTGTTGTATCCGAAGCTCATCTGCTGCTGGGCTGAGTGCGTGTGCGGATGGTGGACGGCTGAGGAGGGAATTGTTGTCGTGTTGTGGGGGATGGGCCCTGTGGCATGGGACTGACGAAGGTGTCGGTGTAGTAGCTGTCGTCGTGATCCCTGGTGCTGTAAGGAATCATGAAGACAGCTACCAAAAGCAGGTATTGCACATAGACAGCACAAACAGCTTATTGAAGCTGCTAGCCACAGGAGCAGCAGCCTCAAGCGGGGGGGTTGCCTAGCTTCGGCTGAAGCTGTTATCGGTTGCTATCGTCGCATAATATGTATATATATCCAACAGCACGTCCCATATGTTAAGTTGTATGTATATATACTTGCCGACCATGAAAGGTGCTGTGTCTCGCCGAACAAATCCTAACGTCCACGGGCCTGCTGTAAGTACCTTGAGCTTATCTGCTCCTCTTCTACCCCTTACACGTGGCACCTGATGGCGGGGATTGTCAGCTTCCGGAAGGGAGTCGAATAAATGTATGGGTGGGTGCAAAGCTATAGGGTCTCCGTTCCCCTGTGCTGCACGTGGGAGAGGGGGGTCGCGCGTGTGATACCTGGGAATAATAATAATTGGCGACACTCGCTTGAGAAATTATACCTGTGAAAGGACTGACACAGCAGGAACAGCACAGTGCGAGGGAACAACCAGCCTACGCACGCAGCATGCGCGGCAAGCAAAATGTTAAGAGCTTACTTGCAAATATATATGCTGGCCTTGGTGTCCTCACATGAGGCAAGGATGTGGTAAGCCGTCGGTATAAGTCCAGTGGAAGCTGATAGAGGAACTCTATCTATTGTTGCCGCATACCAAGAAGAAGGTAATGAAGAAGGAGAAGAAGAAGCCTTGATTGACGCTGGCTGATAGAAGACGATTGTGATTGAGAGATGGCGAGAAAGGTGTAAAGCAATAAAAATTGGCTCCATTGAACGCGGCGATAGAGCCACTGTAGTACCGAGGGCTCCTAGCTAGTTTCTGATGAGCCGAAAGGAAGCCGGCTCGCCTCGTTGGACTAATGTCGTACTCAGCTAAGTTATCCACCCTGCTGGGACCTGTCGGCGGACTGTGCCCTGTTTCCGCGCAAGGAATCATCAGATTTTAACTTTACAACGAAGAGAAAATTGCACGCTTTCAAAATCGTCCGTCGCCTAGAGTCTGGGCTCCGGTCGAATACGAATATTTTTTTGGGTCACGCGTGCGGCCCACTTCGTCTTCGCTTGGTTCCTGCCATCGCATGCATGAATGCATGTTGCCAGGTTGCATCCTGCCTTACACCAGGAATACATCCTACCCGGGCCACGGGAGTGATCCTCGGACGCCCCCCGGATGCATCCTGAACCCCCCCGCACACACACGTGTTCCCAACCTTATCCCTCTGAGCCTGATCGTCCGTCGCATCCTGGTCCTTCTGCGTTGCTCAGACTTGCTTACATGCGCACACGTTCGTTCCTGTCTAGTCAACAACGTACATCATGAGTATCCGATACCATATATAGTATATATGGTGACTATATACTAGACATATATGATATACTATATATATAGTACCTAAATGTAATCCGATACCATATATCCACATCGTGTGTGGGCGTGGGTGGCTGTTACAGTGGGCTCCAGACTCACGAAGAGTAGAGCCAGCGGGCCAGCTGGCCGTGCGTTATTATTGCACCTGAGACGATCAGGACAAACAAGACACCCACCCAGATGAGACAACGCAAGTCATATAGACAGGGAGGACTCAGAACCCACAAGCAACCCTAAATGAGGCCTGAGCCCCAAAAGTCCTCCAATTAAAAAAAAATCCAAAATAAAGAAGCAAGAATAGGTGATAGATAATCGTCCATCGGTGGCCGCTCCCGTTAACATAACAACTTGTCCGACACAATTCGCAAGAAGGGGTGATGTGCCCCAACAGAATCCCACCCTTTCCGTGGAACTCCCAGAGCTGCGAAACCCTGAAGGCGGCCCCAAAAGTCAACAATAACTCGATAAATGTCTTCTCCTGTAAGGCAAGGGCCAGGTAACAGTGCCGGGTCAGTGTTCATGGCTGCAGCCATACATCGGCTCCCATGCTCCATAGCTGACACTGCAACACCACAACATTCCAAACACATTGTTGCACTGTTTGTAGGGCTTGGACAAGCCAAAGTTGTTCGCGTGACACTGGTATCCTATTGAGAGAGTGAGTTGGTCCGCTACTGCCTGTGCCACCGGACAGGCCCAGAAGTGATGACAGCGAGGGGATACACCTCCCACTGAACCTACTGAATAACCTCCACAACCACACACTGCTGGCCGCGATGGGAACTTCCTAACATGGGCACCCCATCAACCGTAAGACGCCACCAACCCTTTTTTGTTCATTTTCCCATCGTGAGTGAGACCATAAACGATGGAAGGTCCGTTTCACCCAGTACCTCAGAAGAGCCCGTCGCCTCTTTAATAAACAGCGTATCGGCTACTCGACGAGCCACAGAAAGTGGCGAAAGTTGCATATCGTGATACATGCATCCGAGCAACATTAAATGACCGACCGACGTATTAAAAGATCAATCGACTGTTCAATCGTTACATTTTGTTTAGGCGCCGGGCGAAATGGAGAGAGTAATCCTTCCATAATCGCTGCGAAAAAAGATGGGGAAGGGGCAATGGGGGTTAGGAGAGAGGGTTTCGGCAATGGGGGTTGCGGGGGCTCCGTGTGGTGATGTACGCGTCGGTGGTAGCAAAAGGGCATTGGGTACTCAGCATTAGTAGCCAGGGGTTTCGTTTCTCTGCCATTGTGGGGTATCCCTCTGTTAATGCCACTATGGTTGCAGCGGGTTCGGATGGGGCATGTTCTTGTTCAAAAAGGGCGTGCGGCAGCGCAGTGGCGTCAAAAGCGACGGAGGGAAGCTTACTTCCTCTTCGGGCGACATCGGCTTGACAGGGTCCTGAGCTTGAGGTGGTTGATCTGTTGGACGTTCCTCCGACGACTTCCTGCTTGATAGGAAAGCTTGTGCAGTGCGGGGGTCCTCCTCAGCCGCGGCGGTTATCTGGGAAGGAATAGTCAACGGTCGGCTGTAGTCACGTGACGGCGAGGGGAGAACCTGCTAGCCCTTGTGGCTATAAAACCAAATCTCTGAGCTTACCCTGGCCAGGATTTGGCGGCCCATCGTGTCCCGTCTTGGCTGCTCACCCATCGTCTCAGCAGAAAGGCGTGAGGCAAGCTTACGGGAGAGTTATCAGAGTTTTAAAAATCTTATTCCATGAATTGGGTCCAAGCTTTCTCCTTTATGACGCCTGTAATTTATTACGGGCTCCGGTCCGAAAGCATCCTTCGGTTTAAAGCAATAACCGATCACAGTCGCAGGTTCCGCAAGGAGCTAAGGCAACATTCTTATGCATTTTGGTGTGCAGGCGGTGCCCTGAAAAGGTTTGCTTACAGCATGCGTACGGCCTTAGACCAAAATTCTTGAAGACGACCTAGCGTAGGGAGTTACCCATTATTCATGTAAGCTAAGCAAATCTGCTTTTTAATATGTGTCGTCCTTAAGCGTGATTCATATTAGTTAAGCATATTAGTGCAAGAACACGCCCGCCAGGGCCCGGGCACGCCGTGGCGTCATTTGAGCTTGGATGGGTTGCGGTGCAAGCGTACACGTGCAAGGTACTTTGCCTTTGCCTTCAGGTGAGGGCTGGGCCGCGCCCAGCACCTCTGCATTACGGGATGTACTAGACATGTGCCCTTCATCTGGCCATATCGCAGGATCTGAACAAGGAGCAGTTCAGGAAACAACAAAAAACAGCAGCTCGGCGCCACTAGCGGAGGACATACAGGCGACTCGTGACCCGGAGGCTAAGGTCGAAAGCTCGGCGGGAGCCGCCCAGCCCGCGGCCGCGGCGCCGGGCAAACCCCCCGGGGCCGAATCTCCCGACGGCCCCCCGCTTCCCACCAAAGAAGCCTCGGAGTCGCGCACCGCCACTGCAGAACTCGAATCTACTCCAAGCTGCCGCCAAGGAGCGCTCCCTCCCTCCCCCGCTCCCCTCGACCGCACTGATTCGGACGTTGCTGGTCCCAGCGCGACATGGTCCGCTGCGCCTCAACCCCCCGGAGGATCGGAATCGCCGCAACAACTTCGGGATACAACTATAACTACAACCACAGCGACCGCAACCACACCAAGCAGCAGCAACAACAACGGCGCCAGCCCTGCTGTGGTGACGCGGCTTGTCCTGAGCTCCGGCACAGCATCCTCTGAGTTATCAGGGCGACCCAGGCCCCTATGCAGCAGCAGCAGCAGCAACAACCCCCTGAACTCCTCAGGCGTTTTGGATCCTGCCGTAACGCCGAGCTCCGAAACCGCCACTGTTACGTTGCTCCCGGACGCGGCGCCGGGGGCCCTGGGTTTCGTGCCGCGTGCTCGCTACACAGACGAGTCCGACCTGTCCATAAACACGCACTCCTACGATCTGGATGGCGGGGGGTCCGGCAGCGATGACGACGAGCTGGCGGCGCTGTAAGTGTACTTGTCAGTGCGGGCGCGATGCCGTGGGTCCACACTGACAATTAGGTGCTGGCTAACTGGCTAACTGGCTAATTGTGTTGACGGAATGCTTTGGCTGGGAATTGGTGTTTTAGGCGACAGTAGAAAGGGCGATAGCTATGCAAAAGAGGAAGGAATCTGGGGCGAACGTGAAATCGTCGCTCTGTCGTCCCTTGTGGTGGGGTGGTTTAAGGTTGGCAGTCTGCACGACACGCAGCAGAAAAAAGGGAGCTGAACTGGGGGTGGCTGATCTGCTGATTGATCTGGCGACACCTGGGATGAGGTGGTGTCATTTCAGTTTACAGCAGGTCAGGGGCGTGAGGGGGATAGTCTGGGCCTGTGGTGAAATTTGGGATTGGTTCCATGCGATGTGCGCCCTGCGGAGAGGTCTGTGTGCGTTTGGAAGGGTGATGGTCCTGCTGACCGGGCCAATCACTTACAATCAACAGGGCCAATCACCCTACAACCCCGTCACTTACAGGTTCACGATGCAGTCATGGAAGCGGTACTACAACTACAATAAGCGGAAGCACCATGACTTGTTGGTGAGTGGATGAGCGGATGCGTGAGGAAACTTGTCAGTGGGAGGTGGAGGAGGGTGGTGGGCTGGGAAGGAGGTGGGTGGGAGCGCGATTGAGCCAGGAAGGGGGTGTGTGTGCGCGCACTCGCACACGCACTCGCACAAGCACACGCACACGGGGAGGGAAATTGGGAGAAGGGCGCGACGGGGTGGCAATGGCGGTGGGGGAGAGTGGGTGGATGAAGGGGTACAGCAAGAGCCCGCGGACGCCAGGGTCGGGGAAATCTCGGAGTGGGGGGTCAGGGTGGGGGGAATGTCGGCTTGTGGGGCCCCAAGCCCGCCATGCATGCCCCACAGGGCCAACCCAGATTTCAAAATCCTCCATGACCCGCGAGAGAAGGCCAGCTCCCCGCACCTCCTGCCGCAGGGCTATTTTTGGAAGAAGTTTTCCCCCGAGGAGTTCACTTGCTTTTGCATCAACTACCGAAACGCAGAGCTGCTGGTCACATCCTTTATGGTAGGTGGGGGGAATCAAGGGGTGGGGAGACGCGGCAGGGGCTACCACTGTTTCCCTCCTCCTCCACCTCGTCCTTTCGTGCAATCGTCCTCTCGTCCAATTGTCCAATCGTCCTGGTCTCATCCTATCGTCGCGTGTGGAAAAACTACAGGCGGAAAATGTTATCCACGGCTACTGCGCTCGTCTAGAGGACCTGGGGCTCACCAACGACGTGTTCCTCCAAATGTATGTCCTGCACGACCCGGAGTGCGGCGACACCGGGTACCGCATCGTGGGGCTGTTGCTGGTGGCGGGGCAATCGCTGCCGCCGCCGCTCGCCGCGCTGTCGGCATACGACGGGTTCACCTACCACCGTGTCGACACCCGCCGTACGCTAATAAAGCAGTTCCTGTCGGCGTTGCTGGTGGGGGTGAGTCCGCTGTGTAGCTTGAAATTGATTAGCGGCCGGGAGGTTTTGTAAGGCGGCGTGGAAGGTGGGACGGGAGGGACGGGAGGGAACCGGTGGTGGGCAGAGGGAGGGGACGGAGGGCAGGAAATAAAAGGGAGGTGTGTGTGTATGTGTTCTGCTTCTTTTATGTGCCTTGGCCGTTTGGGAGGCAGCCAAACAGATTGAACCTGTTTCCACCTTCTTCATGGAGCTATATGGCCGTGACTTTGGAGGCTCTCCACGTACGCTTTGAGGGGCATGCGTGGTGGATCGAATCTTGTGGTTGTATCCCTCGTCGATAAGTCGACGCTTTCCTTCACAGAAACGGGTTACATGGCTTCTGTCAGGGTTTCCTGTGTCGGGGGTTCCACCTATCGCTTACTACTTTCTGCTCAAAACCTTAAGAGGTACAAAGGACTTGTTCATGCGGAGGCAGCGCATGTGGGAAAGTAATTGTTGCTGCTATAGTTGTGGTAGTATGATAGTGTTGCCAAGAAGGGGTGCAGGGGGTGTGGACGGGGGTAGCGAAGGATCGATCGCGCAGTGAGGTGGCAGGAAATCTGAAACATAGAGGCAGGCAGGCATTGATTATGATATATCGTTGATGATTTGCATGGAGCTGCGAGCCAAGGCTCTGGAAGCTTCCTTGGAAAGTGCGCAGCGGGCGCTGAACAGGATTTAAGAGGTTCACGTTCTGCGGACAGCGGCCCCTGCCTCCTTAGGTGCGTTGCCATGACACCTTCACAGGAGGTCACTGTTTTTAAATTAATTATTAAAGTGAAATTGTCTAAACGACGTGTCAAGGACGAGTTGGGTGATTAAAAGTTTGGTATCTGCTCTAGGTGATGTTGACCTTGATGGAGGGCAATACTGCAAATATTCTTTTGGTTTGCGGCTTTAAGATTTCATTTGCCATCTCCAGGATGCGCGGGGGTAATTATACGCAGTGAAATGCATTGCAACACCGCCGACGCCGAAATCACCAGCGGCTTAAGTTCATAATCACCACGCATCTGCCTGTGCGCGGAGAGCGGGTAGGCGGAAAGCCCGCCGGAGGCAAAACCCGCAGTTCAACGCCACGGTCTACTGCTATCTACTACACATGCAACCGAGGACGCACAAATGACATGAACTATATACAAATGCACACACGGCCTTGAAGATATCAAACACTTATAGATTTGTACGAAGCCTTAGAATGAGAAAGCACGCAAACGACGTTCATTTTACACGCACAACGTAAGCGGCCTTCTCCACGTCACATAATGCCGTCTAGTGACATTTAAGACGAGTCCACCAACAAATCGCACGATTCAGTACCATTGGCAAGCGCCAGCTTTCGCAAAAACCTTGCACAGGTTTTAGTTCGGTCGGATGCCTCATTGACGAACGGGCGTGAGTGCGCCGCACGTCGAGTACGGAAAACAGTAAAGTGCAAAAAGTTATGACGCCCGCATAGTGTACTAAGTATTGGAGTCGCGCTGTCTGACGTTACCAGCCAGCAAGCACACGGAAAACACACAGTCGCGGCCCTCACATCCTCCACATCGCCCTCCACCCAGGCCTTCGCTGCCATGTAACCTCCCGTAAAAGTACGTCGTTGGTTCTCTTCAGTATCCAGAAGTTGAAACGGACTGCGAATACGAGAAACCTGACACGAGCCATGACATTCCAAAAAAAAACAAAAATGTATGCATGCCAGGACGAGTTGTACGGTCCTCACCTCGGCTTTGGCTGTGCAGTCCTATTGACTAATTGGAAATAGTGTCACTACCGGTGCTGCTACCCTCCCTTGTCATCGTGTTTTACTTGCGGGTGGCCGCGTTCGCCTCCAGGATGCTGTTGCGGATCTGTGACGCGACATCAGCAATGCCGCCCGGCGAGTGGTTGAGGAACACGGTGGAAGCTTGCTTGTTGGATCCCAGGTCCTGTAACAGCAGCAGCAGCATGTTGTTGTCGTCCAAGTAATGAGAACCAGCAGCAGTGGAGGTACACAGCACACGCAAAACAACAAAGCCCGGGCGACAGGTTTACTCGAAAACATGAAACCTGTCGTATCTTCGTCACGCAAGGAAAGCACACACACACACACATTGACCGCTACGTCACGACAAAACTATAGGAGACTCGCGGTGGGGATACATCTTCCAACGACTCCATCGACCAGCTATGTTCCTTTCTCTTCTGCACCCAAGCTCCGCCCCGTCCAGAACTAATTTGGCGTCTTACCCGGAGCATGTCAAAGTACTGCGTGACAAGCATCAGCTGCAGTACCTCCTTGGACGAGATGTCGGTGACACCGGTCTGAGGCGCAGCAGGTCCAGTAACACAACAGATTCAGGGCAGGTGATATTTTGCAAACAGATAGGACGCCGAACCAACAGCAGAAGGAAGCGAATGGCGGGAAAGCACAGGACGGCCGTGGACCTGGATGAACCGGGTAACGGCCGATTGGTCCGTCCCCCTTTCCCGTCTGTACATACCCTTCTTCCCGGCATCCCTTGTCCCTCCCCGGTGTTTCGCGGTTGGCGGTTTTCCCCGTCGGATCCGGTTCTTCTTCCTCCCACCCGCCGTTACCAAAGCACAAGGCTAAGGATTCCCTCGACCGCAAGAACAAAAAAGGTCTTGTCTTCGTTCAAGATTGGATAGCTCCAAAATCTCTACGTATCATCTCACTGACCTGGAAAGCAGCCACCGAGTCCCGCAGACCACCAATGATGGCCTGCGCGTTAGGGACGGCAGGCCATAGGGGGAAAGTATACACCGCACCATTGTGTGTACGTGTGCATGTTGCATATATAGACCCCCACATATCAATCGGCACCTGTGAAGGGCCTACCAAACCGCCCTTGCCAAGACACCGGGTAAAGTTGTGCCACGGTGAAGAGCCCCGTCCGACCTCTTCCGTGTTGCCAAGAGCTGCACGCTCCGCCCATTACCACCCGCATCTGCGACATTCTTTCGCTAAGCTGCTGTGCTGTGAGTATATGACAGGAAGAAACAAGTAGCCAGAACATCCTCTGTCAACCCCCTCCCTGATGGAGGACTCCGGCTGGCCTGTTAACCCTTCTTCCACGGACCCGGTATAAGCATCTCGCCTGGCGGTGGTGTCAAGGGCACGCCGCCAGGATTCCAGGACACGGAGTCCCCCCGTCGTCGGGGTCAGACTCTGTGCCCTTCGCTCCTGGCCTGGCCGCGAGCAACACCCTCCCTCTCCTCCTGCCTACCTGGCGTTGCCTGGCGATACCCTGGCCCTGCAGGTACTTGGCCTCCGCCTCGGCCTCAGCAGCCTTGACCACCGATAACTGCAAACATGTGCCCACATACACCCAATGAAGAGGTGGGGTTGACCATGACCATCAGACATGCAGCAGAGGCTGCAGGCGACTTGCTGCACGAATCAAGGTGGGGGCCTGTACCCAGGTCGCCGCTGCTGGCCCGCGCGGGGCAAGCACGCAACTCGGCAACGAAGGCATGGCAAACACGTGCTCAAGGCAGACGTAAAGCTGTGTATGCACGTGATCGTCTCGCGCCCCGGACTGGCTCGGCACTCAGCGGACGCCACCTGCTATACACGCACAATCAAAATAAACGCATGTTCTACATCGTTGCACCGTTATTGGCCACGACCCATCACCATTCTCGCATGGATCGGGAGGAAAACCGTACCTTCTCGGCCTCTGCCTTCTCCGCTGCGGCCACACGCAGGCGGCGCGCCGCGTTGATTTCGTTCATGGCCTCCTTCACCTGTGTGATTTGGAGAGAGGGTAAAATGCTGGTTGCTGGTGAAGCGGAATTGTACAGAGCTAAAGATGCGGACGAGGCGAGCTACGGAGCTGGACGGATTTCCACTACTGCGGTCGTGCCTTGTGGGCCGGCTCAATGTCGTTGACCAGCACGTGCAGGATAGTGTAGCCATAGTTCTCCATTGACTTTGACAGAGCATCCTTAATGGACTTGGCAATCTCGTCCTTCATCTCGTACGCGTCGTCCTGCAGTTCAGTGCGGTGATACGGCACACATATACACGCAAAAGCTTAGCGATGGAAAATAAGCATGCGCCGCCATCACGACCCCTGGCTGTGCAGATGTGATTATCGCGCACATAAAAGCATTGGTGCACGTTCACAGGATGCTAGCAGAAAGCCTAAATTGTCCAACCCTCCCATCCCACCACCACGCGCATTCGGGATGTGGTACAGGGACTTCTTTCCTTCAAGAACTACCCGTACATTGTACACATACCCAACGCGGCAAGGGTGGGCCTCCACCCTGCCCGCTACCTCCCTCCCTTCCGGACCTTACCAGGTTGAGCTTCGGCACCGCGGCGCGGACCTCGTCAAAGACGTACGATGAAATCTGTAGTAACGTCACAGACCAGCACAAGGGAGTTTTTTAGGGTGCACATGAATTCAGAGCTCATCGCAATGTCGTACATCTGCACGTGGACCCAACCACAAGCCGCAGTTGTTGTCACGCCTGTCCACCACTTTCTGTTCGACTAAGGCATTGAGTCTGCTGCCAAGGGAGCGGAGATAGACAGCCATCGCGTTCTCCCGTCCAAGATCAGCTCAATGTCCAGCCTCATTCGGACTTAGTATGGAAGGTGAATCCCACAACATGTCAAGGCCGGCTGATGCCAAGGCCGGCAGATGTCAAGGGCAGCTGATGTCACGGCCGGCTGGCTGGACGCACCTGGGATCTGGAATCGGTGAGCTTGTAGTAGGCCTCGAAGACCGCATCTCTCTTGACCTGAAGGCACAGACATGAGGGCAGGGGGCGTTCCCTGTCAGGGCCCACGCGATGCATGAGGCTAGAGGCATTCCTTAACCAATAGGGTGCGCTGCGTGCAGCACTTCAAGGCATTGCGGGATGTCTGTTATGCATTTGTTGACCGGCCGAAATTGGCTATGGTGATTAGAGTGTCAGGCGGGCTGTGAGGCTTTTCACCGCACCTGATACTGGACGCTGATCACCATGTTCACGAAGACGTTATCCTGGAGGGAAAGTCATCGGTAGGCGGATGATAGTTCCGACCACAGGGTGGGACATTGACGGGGTGTTGGGAAGCGATAGGAAGGGTGAGAGCCGTGGAGGGAGAGGCACGTAGGAACGACTAAGGTGACGACGATGGGTCGAGCGCTTAACCAAGCGTCATGGATTCGTAGTTGAAACCGTAACTGATTTATGTAGCTGGTTCAGGTATAGAGCATCTGGAAGGACAATATTCGGTTTCTGGTAGTGTGATCTGGTTTCTGGTAGTGTGTCCTGGTTCTGGTAGTGTGACCTGGCTGCGATACCTTGACAGGTATGTGAAATACAGATAAATAAATGAAAAAAGCTGCATCAAAAGTTGAAGAGAGAATGTTAGCTTTGGTAACAAGCTTCGATGTGGTGAAGATAGGAACACCCTTGACCAGGCGCCACATAGCGCGACATCTAAGTAACCGCACAAAGAACTCCAAAGCTCGGACCACCAAAAAGTTTACAATAAATATTACCTTTGTCTTTGTCTCGCATCTGCGAGAAAGGCGGGAGGCGGGACGAGCACACGGGCCGACCAGGTTTACGGAGAAATCCGTCATGCAGCGCCAGACACAAGGCACAAGGGACACAGGGATCAACGCCGCAAAAAGAGATTAAACCGAATATGGCCAGCAGCTAGAGAAACTGCGAAAACTAGGTCAGAAGATACTGCCTTCCTGGGAACGTGACAGAAACTTGAACCCTAGAAGAAAACATACCTAGGTGCATCCAGCAATGTGCACATGACCGAATATCTACAAAACAGACAGGCAGCTTGCTAAACTTGGCGATACAGCCAATACTCACCGGACATCCAGCTGCTGAACACGCAGGCTCAGCGAGCCTGATATCATAGATCCGCAGCAGCAGCAGATAAAGTTGCAACCGGGGTGAGCGATGTGGCTGAATTTTCCGCAAGTTTCAACAATAGCCACAGTCTCTTGCTCCGGGCAGGCGAAGCACATACTGCACACATAGCAAAGCGGGACATAGAGACGATAAACAGCTAATAAAAACGATAACTGAGACGGTAAGGCGCATGCACATAACAAGAAGTTTCTTCTTCCGAAGCATACCAGCACGACATCCTCGCAGCCTTCCAGGTTTAGGTCAAAAGCAAAGTTTAGCCTCAATGTTGATGGTATACGTGCAAGCTGTTCCGGTCAATTATTGAAGTGAATATGCCTAATTTCATCTGAAAGACGATCGATTTCACTTGTGTACAATCCAAGATAGTTTAATGCATAAGTACGGCAATCTGTATTCGGAGCTCTAGGAAGGCAAGGAGCCACTGACCACGCCTCCAATGATGTCAAACCATATGAGCTAGGAAGTGCGTTGCAAAGATTAAACTATTCATTACTTTACGCGTCCTGGCATTGGACGCTGGAGCTCGATTCGTGACTGGATTGCTTTGCCCTTGCAAGGAAGTGATGAAATAAGTGAAGCATGACATTGCAGGTTGTTGTAGTCGGTGCGGGGATCATAGGTGCGGCCGTCTCGCACCAAATCGCAAGGACTGGTGCGAAGGTATGGAATCAGCATTGCGGCTCCCCTGATTTAAAAGCCAGCAAGCACCGTATAGGTCGCACGGGCAGTATACCCAGCGTATCGCCGCATCCTGTATACAGGTCCGCGTGCTGGATGCGGTTGCACACCCGGGGCAGGGCGGTGCGACCCGTAGCACCTGGGCGTGGCTCAACGCCAACAAAAAGCACCCCCGGCATTACAGAGGCAAGTAGCTGCTTAATGTTGCAGACCTGGTCCAGCCATCATGTACAACATTTGCGTCGTGTTGTGCTTCCCACGCAACGCAGATCTGAACCTTGCCGGACTTGACCGCTGGAAGTCCGAATGGTCATCTCTCGTGCACCCCTGCGGCTCCCTGGTATTTGATGACGATGATGAATCCAGTCTGTACGACACAGTGTACCGTGCCCAGCGCCTGGTCCCGGAGCAAGTCCGGGAGCTGGAGCCCTTCGTGTCGGAAGGTGCGATGCGATGGCGGTTCCCCCAGCCCAGCACAGCACAGCACAGCGCAGCACAACGGGGCCCATGCGATGATGCGCGGATGATCCAAACGTCCCGGCTCGGCGGCCCATGCGCGTCACCGCAGCATGGGGTGAGGTGGTACGCCTGAAACGCTGCATCTGGGGTTGCTTTTTGTGTGTGGGTATGGGGGGTGTGTTTTACGTGTTTTATCCTTCCGCCCCGCGCAGCTACATGTACACGTGCAGCCGATCCGCAATCCGTATCCCATCTGAGCCCCCTTGCATTTTTGCATATCCTCACGCATATCCCCTATCCCCCCTCACGAGCCATATTTTCATTTTTACGTATGATGTGTGAAACATCTTCGCCCGTGGCAGCTACCCTGCGAAACCCTGCCTTCCCCGGTATTTCGGGGCACCCTCATCCAGTCACCCTAGTCAACTTCTCAGTGGATCGCTCAGGTTCCGCACCCACCACCAGCGTATGTATGTTTTCAATCCATCTGAGCCGCGATAGGGAAACAGGCCGAAGTGGGCACACAGATAACAGTACCGATGCGAGCTCCGTAGTCCAGTGATGTGTGACCTTTGAGAAATGGCATTTTCCTCCTAGTAGAAACTGGCTGTGTAGACATTGCGGCGCGGCGTGGTGGATTTACTAATATGAGATGTTGAGCAGAAGTTTGATGTGAGGAGCCCATATAAATGCCCACCACTGTACTTGAACGGCGCGACGACTGACTGTAGGTAACACACACAGATGCATATACATATATATGTATGTATATGTATATGCACCACACATCACTCGCCTCCCCAGCCCAAATCCCAGCCCAAATCGCAACCCTCCGTTCGCAGTTATGGCCAGTCGAGGTGCGCACCTGTTCAGCCAGGAGGCCTGGGTGGACCCCCAGGAGGCCTGCAGGCGCATGCTGGACGCCGCCAGGGAAGCAGGGGGGACAGAGGTGCTGCTGGGCCCCGAGCACCGAGTGGTGGGCCTTATGTCGACCCGGACAGAGGAGAGAGAGCCGGTGCTGATGGCGGCAATGGAGGACTTGCAGCAGCAGCAGCAGCAGCAGAAGCAGAAGCAGGAGAAGAAGAACCGTGTGACGGGTGCGTGTGGCACCGGGGGACACGGGTGCGGGGCGGGTGTTTGGTTGGTCGGGGGTATCTTCCGCCTTCTTCCGCCATCTCCTTTTTCTGCAAGGCATCTGGGGTTGCAGGCGAGGGGTGGTCGGCAGCAGTGGTGGACAGATATACATCCAACGGCAAAAGAGTACAAAAGAATGGAGTGCCCTTTCTGCCCCGTTATCCACGTTGCTCCTCTCTTTCCCCCTTTCCTTTTCCCAACCCCCCCCCCCCACACGCTTATTTTAGTCTTGGCGGCTAGATAGGCAGGTTTCCGCGGTCGTTATCACTACATCATCCCGAGGTCGGCTCGTTTAAAACTGCTTACTGTTCAGTTCTGCTTCTTGTACACTACTTCCTTGGCAGCAGCTTCACTCGTTCGTGGTTCGTGGCTCGTTCTTTCCCTCCCCCCCCCCCCGCACACACACACAAACACACACACACAAACACATCCGCCTCGGAGGCACCTTGGGCCTTCGAACTGGAAATCTCTCTATGCATGTTGCGCGCTCCTTTCGCCGGCCATGCAGTTCCGGACCCCCAGCCCCACCGCCCATCTCCCAGTGCAGTTACCTTCCCTCTCTCCATTCCGCACATATACAACAGCGACCGGGACGGCAACCAGGATGTAAATTGGTCGAAGGGCGAAACAACAACATTTATGGCCGATAGTTTGTTTGCTTGTTTCCATGTTTTCATGTAAAATTATCCATCACCTCCATACACTTGTTGCGTTGCCCATGTCCCGGAGTTGTGTTCCTTTCCCCGCCGTGCACTCCTCCGGGGGCCACGACCTATCCTGGGCCCACCCCCGGGATCCCCCCAGGTGCGCATCCGTGGTTTGTCCGTGCCATCCGCGCATCCCAACCCCGCACCCCAGCCTCCGTCCCCGGCCTGCCACGCACCCACCCACCCACCCACCCAAGCTTCCGACTACGCTGCTGTTGATTCTTTGCATCCTCTTGCATCATTTGATTTCCCCCTTTTCCCCTCTCCTGGTCAGTTCTACTTCTGTGGTACACTCTTGCCCTGGCAGCAGCTTCACTCGTTCACGTGGTTCGTCGTGGTTCCCCTCCTTTCCCCTCTTCACCTTGGGGTTTCCCCCTCTGCACTGCAGAGGCCCCCTTTGCTCCTTGCATCAGCCGCTGCTGTTTGATCCCCCTGGCCCCCTGCACAAAGGTGTCATGACCGCGAACGGCACCACGTACGCCGCGGACGTGGTCGTGCTCGCTGCCGGTGCGGAGACCATGACTCTGGCGGCGCAGGTCGGGGTCGGGGTGCCCATGCTGCACAAGCCGGCGGTCATCGCGGTGACGCCGCCGCTGAAGGACGGCCCTGACGGACGGCCGCGGCGGCTGGTGCGGCACCTGCTGTCGAGCTCGAAGGTCTTTGTGTGGCAACGGCCCGACGGCTCACTCATACTGGGCGACACGCGTGGGTCTTTGTTTCGTTAAGCTCTGTACATTATGTAATTAAGTTATTAAGTTAGTTCTTTGTTCTGTACCTTCTGTACCTTTTAGAGCTGAGCCCAACAAACGTGTGGCTGGGCGGGCCCATGGGCCTAATAACTGCGGCATTGTGCTCTAATGCTCTAAAGCAAAGCCCGATGGGGACCTGTCGGGATGAAAGGGCCTTGTTTGAGGCGGATTGAAACAAGGTGTCAACGCACCAACAAGTGCGTCTCTCTCTACAGGCTTGCGCCCTGTTCTCTTCGTATGACATCCGCCCCACACCCTTTACCCAGCCTCGCTGCTGTATTGCAGCACACGTGCACTGGCCGTACGGCAGATTGTACGGCAGTACTACACTGGCTAATTTCTCCTGTGCACCTCCTCAGGCGCCCACGAGGATGGCAGTGCAGCCTGGGGGGAGTCGTTGCTGCAGCGCGCGACGGAGCTGGTTCCGGAGCTGGCGACGACGGGGGCACGTGTGGAGCGTGTGGAGGTGGCGCACCGTCCGTGGCCAAAGGTACGCATGTCACATGCATGCGAGTGCGCTGTGTTTTTGTGTGTGTATGTGTGTGTGCAAGTATGTATGGATTTTAATGAACTAAGGCGGGCCCAGGAACTGGCGGGCGAGCAGCCTAACTGACGAAAGTGGCAGGGCGAAAGTCGGGTAGAGGGGTATCTAAAAGTGGTAGAAGTTGCTTACACGCACATATACACACGAATTTTGCGCGTGCGTGTGCGTGTGTGTGTGTGTGCGCGTGTGTGTGTGTGTGCGTGTGCGTGTGTGTGTGATTGCCTCCCATGTCTTCTGAGACGCAAGCGCATGTCGCCGGCCCAAACGCCGGCCCCGTCCACCCGCAGGACGGTCACCCCATCATTGGCTGCAGCTCCACGTGCCTGGGGCTCTACATCGCCACCATGCACAGCGGCATGACGCTGGCGCCGGAGGTGGCCAGGCTGGTGGCAACGGAGCTTCGGCACTGGGACGTGACGGCGGGTACGGCAGTGGGTTCGGTTCCGGAGCTGCTGGAGGCGCAGGAGGTGCTGCGACCGTACAGGCTGGACCGGGATTTCGAGGAGGGTGCGCGGCAGGCTGCGTATTCATGGAAGTGATGTGGGGCATGGAAGGGAGTCTGAAGGACGCATGGCTCGGATCCGCGGACCAAGGAGTCTTTCTAGCGGGGGACGGGACGGGTAACGAGTCTTTATAGGAAGTGAGCTAGGCGTGGCGACATCGGTGTGGCTGTGGCTTGGATGAGGATTGCTGCGGGAGGTCGGAAAGGGATGATGGGGCACCATCCCGTGTGAAGCAGCGAGCAGTGAGTTTGTGCGTGGGGTTGGGTGTGCGTAAAGTTAATTACTGGTTAACCGGAGACTTTGAAGAGCTGCAACGCTGTGCAACAAACGATGTCCGCTTGTCAGGGAGCTACGAGACTGCACTACATAATTGACTGAACCGAGTGGTCAAAACTTGGTCCACTATTATGAAATGTTTCGAAGCGGGAGAAGCGGATGTACTTGTGTTAACGTCGCGCGCCTGTTTTATTCGCCTTCAGCTCCATTATTTCAAATACCGCCAAGGCGCGTTCCGAGGCGAACATTTGCACTCATGCGGATGCTAATCAAAGGTATTTCGTGTCCATATATGAGTATAGAGAGAAGGAATTATTGTGAGTAAGACCTTTATAAGGAGAGCTGCTGTGAAAGCGTTTCAACTGGTTTGGTTTCAACCGGCTCCGTTGGCGCGCGTTAAGTTGCAACTGATCCGCATGAATACCAAAAATATTGTTTTCGTAGGGATTGAATATCGATACGGAGGGCACAGACGATGAGCAGTACGTGTTTGTAAAATCGGGCCGTGGAAAGGAAGGCAAGCGAGGTCGTGGCGTTGTGTGGCATTTGGTGTTGGTGGGCGTCCCTTCTCCATGGGCATTGTGACATTTAATTCGTGAGGGTTTCGTGAAAGTTAGACGTATGGATTGTGATGTATTGAGGTCGAGTGTTTGTTTCCTATGTGTCGAGACATCCGCCATCATCATGCGCCCCTCAGACTCCACGCAACGACGTGTTTTTGTTGCTGCGACCGTCAGACGGCTCCTCCTAGCCATGGATTCCCCTCCTAGTCATGGAGGGGTAACGATATTGCTGTAGCCATGCAAGTAATCGCCGCAGCATTCCTCCTATTGGCGACGAACGAGCGAAATCAGTTCATGCCGCTTTCGAATGATAAGATGCGGTCCAAAATCCCGAGGTTCACTGCAAGGGAGAGAGGACGGAATGCGCGGGAGCTCAGACGGGTTTGAAAGGATGCAGAGGGTGCTTGTGCGGTTCCTCCAGCATTTAGGAATTGTCGGAGGGCCACCGACTTATTGTACAGCACTTTAAAGGATGAACCCTTGAGAACGCCCACTATGTAAGTTGTGAGTATGTAGTGCATTTGCATCTGTGGGACCAGTTTGCAAGGCATAGATTGGGTTGAAGCGTCCGTCAGATCCATGGGGTTCGCCACGCCCGAATGCAGATCAGCACGTGCATGCTTTAATTTCGACCGCCGTGTGGCACTGCATCAGTCGTTGCAAATCCTGATGAGGGGATGTTTATTTGCTACACATTCCTAAAGCCCCGTAAAGCGACAGCCTGCAGTACGGCTACGACATGGCGCCGCCTAATGATGTGGTGCGCGTATTTTATACGCATACGTATCCGCCTTTTGATGACAACTTTGCCATAAAGTGTGCGGAGCTTGAAAGTCAGGATAAGGAATTTGTACTTCTACCTCTCTTCTTATTTCTTTCATCTACGGTACGCTAGCAAACCTTGAGAATTACTTTCGCAATGTCTCTTTTAACTTTGTATGCCAATATTGTTTGGCGAGGCAACGGTCCGGGGGCAATCTGTAAGCGGAAGGTTGCAGCCAACCTTGTTAGCCTGAATAATGCGCCGCAGTCGCTCGTGGATCTCCTCCGCATGGCACCTGCATTAGCAGGAACAGGTGGCGAATCAGACTTGGCTGCTTTGCTTACCATACTGGCTGCGGACCCCTGTTTTCTCGTACTGGACGGCACCACCGTTCGTCTAGACGTTGGAAGTTTGTTGTCACTGGCGAGGTCGCGCTTGGTCAAATGGGTGGACTTGGTGTTCCCAAAGGAGACCGGGCCGTCAGTCTATCTCAAAAATTGCCTGGCCAAGTATATCATTACTGAACAAGATGCTTTAATGAACGCGTCGCCCAGCTCATTGTTTACGTTACCATGGCCTTCCGTCGGTGGGTTTTATTTCTTAACTCGCGCCTACGCTGTGTGCAGTCTTCGTCTTGGGCTTTGCCCCCTAGCAGTTTTCCTGGTTTTCCTCAGTTTCCGCATAGCTAGGCGACACTGCTTCACAACAAGCTCGCTTGATAGTTGTTGCGCTTAACGCGCTCGCACCTTGGTCAGACTGCTCTGGGCCCGCGATTCCTTCCTAACGCAAATCTTAACGTTCCTCATGTATTTTCGCTTGCTGTAGAAACCATGTTGGATGCTTACTGGTCCGACGAGCATCCATGGAGCGGCACGGTCAGCCCAGCATACGACAGCGCAGAGGCTGTGTTTGTGGGTGACAATTTATGGGCCGTGCAGCCTGGCGTGTCGATCAGACTCAACGTGGCCGCGGTTACACATCGCGCAAGCAGCCTACAGGCCGCCACGGAGGCGGGTTTCGGGGACTCGGAGGAGCCGGGCGTGCATTTGGTCAGCCATGGCGGCACCGCATCCTACGGGGAGCGGCCTACAGATCCCATTCCTGTACCGGTGCCAATTCCTTTGCCCATGCCAATTCCTACCCCCTTACCACCTGCATCCGCGGCTGGGAGAGCGGATGGCGCCCAGGGACCCCAATTGACCCAAGACCCGCCCACAGCCGCATTACAGCCGCGGCCGCCCCCGCCAACTTTCCTCCCTAGCGCAGCCCTCTTTGCAGCAGCGTCCCTGGACCCTTCCTCCCGGATGGCAGGAACATCTTCCGCTCCGAAACCCGCACCTGCGTCTCAAGGTGAGGCTGGCCTCGGCGGCGCTGAGCCTCCCAGCTTTGCCGCGTACAGTGACAGCCATCCAGGTCACGTGAACCTTGGCTCGGGGCTCAGCTTGGGACAGCGATGGACCGGCGTGGACGGCCTGGGTACCGGACTCGACGGCCTTGGGTTGAGAGGGATAGGTGCCAGCGGTGAGCAGCCATCCCGTCGGCAGTCGTCATCCTCATTGTACGATCCCTTGGATGCTGCTGTTGAGGAGGTTGCAGAGCACGTGGCTCTTGAAGCTTTGGGGATGGACGCCCGGATGGACGTTCACCGTGTGCCGGTGTCAGGCAAACACGGCAGCGGGGCCACCGACGTTACTGTGGGAACACGCTGGACCCCTCATGAGTTTCATAGTGCAGAGGCGAATGCTGCCTCGTCGACAGCGGCTGCTGCAGCCGCTGCGGCAGGTAGCACAACACCGAGCAAGGACCGTTCAGGCTTGCCAACAGGACTGCCGGGCAGGGGCTGGGAACTTTTTCCCACGATGAATAATTTCGGCACCAGTATGGGACGCGGTGGTGGTGGTGGCGGCGGCGAAACGGCGACGGTTGTCGGCGATGGAGGTGGAGGTGGAGGCGGCAACATGTCTTTATTGGGTGAGCTGTACATGACCTTTGCGCCCTCAGCTGGCGGGGGTGGCGGCGGCTCTGGAGCCAACAGTGTGGCGGTTTCAGTAGGGCGACCCAGCCACGGGGAGCCGGATGCGGCGGCGCCAGCGGCAGCGCGACCGCTGGTTGGTCGCACCGGCGTTGCTGCTAACACGCCAAACCTTTGGGCTATGCCATGGAGTGGCAACAACACTGCCATTGACGAAGTACAGCGCTTTGGCGGTGACCCACATCACCTTGGTGTCGGTGAAGGCAACGGTGTAAGTACCGTGCACGATGGACATTCAGCACCTCCTTACCTTCTTGGTCGCTTTGAGTTCCAGCCCTCCTCTGGCAGCCGGCATTCAGGAGGCGCCCAACACTTAGGCTCGGACGACGTGGCGGGACCACCAAAGGCTGGCTTGACCCCTGTTTCCGGCTTGGATGGGACAGCAGCACCCTTCGGCGAAGGTGGAGGTTTGGGGAAAGGCCCAAAGGAACCAATGTCACAGGGCCAGGCCCCAAACACGTGGCTGGACCCGATGATTTCGACTGCGGGCAGCGGACGCAGAACCAGTCTGACATTTGGACTCGGAATGGGCGGGCCATCTCAAGGCCTTGTGCAGTTGCCGTTGCCGACGGCTGCCACGGGCACGAGTCCTGATCGAGACGTTGGCCCCCGGGTGGTGGTGCCGTTTCAGCCGCCGCCGCCGCCGCTATCACTGGCCCGTGGTGCCTTAGCAGTGGCTTGCGGGTCGCTGCCTGCGATGTTCCCAGCGGCAGCGCTTCATGGATTCGACGTGGCGGCGGCGGCAGCGGCGGCAGCTGGAAGGAGCCTTGCGGGTCCAACTGCCGCGGCGGCGACGCTGGGCGGCATGTCGCCAGCCTTTTCCGCTGGGGTCCCGGCCGTGGGGGAGCATGAGATTAGCGCCAGTGTTGGTAGCAACACCGGCGGCGGCGCAGGAATGCAGTTTCCACACCAACAGCAGCCCTCGATTCGCTCGCTGCTTGAGCCGCCGCCGCCGCAGCAGCAGCAGCAGGCGTACAGCTTTTCTGGGGTCTCGTCATCGGGTCGACAGGACGAGGTACGGCACCCTGGTGTGCCAACTGCCGCTGTGGCAGCGACGGCGACTGCGACGGCGACGCCTTCCGTTGATTTGGCCATGGGATTGCAGGCCAGCGGATCCCGGCTTGAGGGCGCCAACCTGCCGCGGGCCTACGCAGCGGCAGCGGCTCGTGTGTGGTCCGAAGACAACCCGCCGGTAGGGAAATGAGCGATGGTTGGACTGAGCCTTTCCAGAACATTGCTATATAGGAGCCTTTCCGTCGACGGTGATTGTCGTTATTCGCGACTTGTTTTCCATCAGGCGCTATGGCGCGAGTTGCGCACGTGTATATTTCTAGGAACGGTATGTGTTATGTAGATAACTGACATGACATGAGATGGGGATCTGGGTCTGGGTCTGGAAGGAGGTGGGGATCTGGGTCGGGCTGCTTTGGGGCTGCGGAAGGTGCGGTTGAGGACCTGGTTCGTTGCAATTTGTACGTTTTCGGCCATGCTACCTTGCCTGCGGTTTCGAATAACTCTGGCCTGTCCCGATGATCAGTCTCTTTCTGACGCGTCCTCATTTTTGGCTTTTCCATCTGGGGCTTTAGGACCTTTCCTCACCCTGTATCTCTACCCCTGTCCTTTGTCGTGCTCCTGGTGGTCCTGTGACGTGGCGGCCATCCCCTCATCACGTTTCGCCACAGGACAAAGTTCGGCGTATCGCAGCCACGATCCTCGCCCTCAGCACGAGCAGCAGCAGCAGCAGTAGCACTTTGCAAGACGCTTCCAGACGCCACAGAATGGCGCTACAGCTGTTGTTGCTGGCCGTGAGGCGGCAAGACCCGGTGGCCTGTAACAAAGCAGGTGAGAGCGGTCCCTATGGTTCTGAAAGCTCTACGGGCGGGTAATGAAGCAGCAGTGTCTAGCACTTGAACCTCCTTTTGGAGTATTTGGTTTTTGCTTGGCATGACCCCGCTTGGGATGGCCGTTGGGACATTTACTTCACTTCGCTTTCAGATTTTGGCATCATGGATTCAGGGATGTCATTTAGGCTGAGGGGGTTTGCCTGAGTAACTTTGTTTTCCACTGGCATGTAAAGGGACCCCGTGCACGCACACCGCGGCTATTTCCCAACCCTTTACTTCCCTCCACAGGGAACTTATTAGAGGTGCTGGAAAGCGACCCTTTCCAATGCCTTTCCATCGTGGAGGACAGTCGCGGCGGCGAGGTCGCCTCCCTGGATTTATCCAGGATGTTGGACTTGGCTGGCCCTGATCCAGCCCCGCCGCCGCCAGCAACCCTGGCGGCAGTGCCCGTGGCGGGAGCGCCTACCAGCCCCGTGCCGCATCATCCACATGCACTACCTCCCCCTGATACAGCTGCTCCTGCTCTTACAAGCCGGACAAGTTATGGCGGTGCTGGAGGGGCGTACCCTGCACCGGTACTGGAAGCGCTAGGGACGGGAGTCGACGATACGGCCGCTGTCGTGGCCGAGGGCTCTCACCTCGGTGGTGCGCAGGTAGCCGGGAGGGTTCGGTCGGGGTCCCTTGCGTCGCACCTGCAGGCCAGCAGCGGCAGCAGCCCTGTAACGCACCACGCCGGCGTGCCGGCTACATTAGGCGGCACATGGCTGGCCGGACTGACAGGAATTGGGGGAGGTGTGACGGGCATGGTGGCTCCTCAGCCGTCGCAGAGTGAGTCATTGAGTCAGCCGTTGACGTCTTTGCCGCAGGCCCAGCAGCAGCACCACCACCAACAGCAACAGCAACCGACGCTCGCAGATCAGCAACTCTTTGGGGGGCCTACGGTGGGCGCTGCGGCGATTCAGAATCTGAAGGCTGCCCAAGACCAACAACAACAACATCAACAACAACAGCAACAGGCTATGGCGCTGCCTGACGCGCCGGTTACCATGCCCGTTGCGCCTAAGTCGTCAGCAGCACCAACGCCAGCGGCGGCGACATCGTCGTCTGCAACCACGTCGTTGTTGTTGCAATTTCTTCAGAAGCAGCAACAGCAACAACAACAACAACAACAACAACAACAGCGACATTTGTCGCGGGTCGCAGCTGTGCCATCGTACCTGGCGGCCTCCGGGGTCCAGCCTGTGCCGAGCGCCGCGGATACCGCAATGCTGCTGCAGCTCTATCAATCCCACCAGGCGCAGGTGCAGGCCCAGCAGCAGGTGCACGCCGCGCAACGCTTGCAGCAGGCGCAGCAGCAGGCGGCGCAGCTCCAGCAAGCGCAGCAACAGGCGGCGCAGCTCCAGCAAGCGCAGCAGCAGGCGGCGCAGCTCCAGCAAGCGCAGCAGCAGGCGGCGCAGCTCCAGCAAGCGCAGCAGCAGGCGGCGCAGCTCCAGCAAGCGCAGCAGCAGGCGGCGCAGCTCCAGCAAGCGCAGCAGCAGGTGGCGCAGCTCCAGCAAGCGCAGCAGCAGGCGGCGCAGCTCCAGATGCACCAGCTCCAGATGTACTTGCAGCGCCAATCCGAATCTGTTGCCGCAGCACAGCAGCAGCAGCAATTGCTGCAGAAGCAGCAAGCAGCACAGCTGCAGCTACAGCACCTCGCTCTTCTGCGACAGCAGCAAGCCCAGGCTCAAGCCCAGGTGCAGCGGGCGCCTCGCATGGCATTCCTTCCGGTCCCTGCGACCTCGCAGACCTCCACACTCGCCAGTTTGCTTCAGCAATACAGCGCTAACAGCGCCGCCGCAGCGGCGGCAGCAGCAGTGCGTGTTGCTGCCACTGGGGGAAGCATACCGCTGACGACCATGCCCCCGCCTGCGGTTGCGCCGTCGCTGACGCTGGCGTCTCTGTCCAACGTGGGGGGCCTACCTACCAGCTGCGGCCCTGTAGCACAGTCCCAGAGCCACGCCAATGTCGCCGCATGGCTTGCAGCACACACCCACACGCACAGTCCCACGGTTACCCCGCCCCCAGTTCTAGGCACGGCCGGAAGCCTGGGCGCTCCCAGCTCAGTGGCCGGCGGTGGAGGATCTGAACACGAGGGCCCTGTGAGCTCTGTGCAGCAGCTCCAACAACAACAGCAACAGCAGAACATGCTTTTGGCGTCGGTGGTGCGGGATGCCGATTCGCAGCAGGCTACGCATCAGCGACAACAGCAGAAGCAGCAGCAGCGTAAGCAGCAGTCACAGCAACAGCATCTCCTGGAGCTTCTGACGCAGCAGATGCAGCAGCACCGTTACCAGACCGCCGCCGCAGCTGCGACGGTTGCAGGCGACTGTCGGGGCGCTGCGCGTTCCGTGGCAGCATGTGTTCCAGAGCGCGAAGGCGATACCACCGCTGACGAACACACCGCCGCGACATCTGCGGCTGCAGCATCAGCAGCTGACGGCGCTGGCTTGGAGGGTGTGGAAGAGCTGCTGGCGCGGGCACGATGCACAGTGACAAACATGGCAAACAAGTTGCAACCTGGGCAGCACCTGCCTCCTGGAACAGAGCAGCAGCAGGTGAGCCTGGTAGTCAGTCCCCGATCAGTGAGGGGCAACCCCTCACTGGGGGTACAGGGGAACCCCTCACTGGGGGTACAGGGGAACCCCTGTCCTGCCTTGCTTATCCCCGGATTCCCAACGAGCTGCCGACAAGTGATGACTGGACATGCCCTTGGTATACGTAGCGGCGCGGTATCTAATGCGGGGACTTCTATTAGAGGCACGGAGACTCACAGCTGGTGGGGGGATGCTTGTGGTCTAATAGCCTGATGACTGTAAAAATCCAGCGGCAACTGGTGGTCGCGTGCAGTTGTTGATACTAGTTTGGATGCCGAAATTGGCCGAAAGTAGAAGTGAAGATACGATAGCTGTCATGTGGAATGGAGAAGTGGAGAAGCAAAGTCTCCAGCCCGCTGATGCGGGTTCACTAGCGATGTGCCGCGGCGTGTAATCCTGTGAGTAACTTTTTATCCACACTGTCCACACCTGCCGCTGGTTTGCGTAATGTCGTGTACTCCTGACCTTCTTGCTTATGGACGCCGTTGACTGCCATTGAGGCATCGGTGTGTAGAGCCTGTTTAGACCTTTGGAGGCCTCTTAACAGCTCGGTTATTGGCCGTCCGATGCATCTGCGCCGGGTATGCCTGGCTCTGCCTGTTGGACCCGGCATACTTATCTGTGCACATGAGTGGCCTTCCCCTCCGTGTTTCGTTCTTACTGACCGAACATCCTGCACGCCTTCCTTGGTCGCTCGCTCGCTCCGATGATACCTTTGCTTCGTTGCGCAGTTTGCCAACGAATTCGACGCTGACGGTGCCTCATCGGGCGTGATACATGTACTGCCGCCGCAGCTGGTGCAGTTGGCCATGATGGAAGACACAGCAGAAGACGGCGGTCCAGCGCATACGTTACTCGCCACCGCTTCTCAGGTTGCCGCTGCGCGCTCGCCAGCAGCCGAGGAAGCAATGGCTGTTGGCGCCGAATATGCCGGTGTTGCCGAGGCCACCAACGCCGCGGAGGCCGCCAACGCCGCGGAAGCCCTGAGCGAGGCCTCAGACCTTGTTAGTGGATGGGGACTTGCAAAGATGGCAACTTCAGCGGACCCGGGGGCTGCAACTCTGCGCGACGGCAGCACGGCCGCCACTGACAAGGGCACAGCCGAGGGTCAGCCGGAGGATGATGAACCCCAAGCCGTTTTCAGGACAGCCCATCATGAAGACGCGCATCATGCGCCGCTAGCGCCGAGTCGAGATCTGTCGGCAGATGCATTGGCTGCGGCCTCGGCCCCGGCGTCACCCCCAGCTGCAGCTTCCCAGGCTGCAAATTCGATAGGAGCAGCAGCAGCAGCTGGGAAGCCGGAGGCCAAGGCTAGCGCGGCGTCGCCTAGCGGCGGAACCTTGGAGGCTCCGGAGCGGGATTTACTCACAGCGGTTGCTACTGCCACGTCCGCGATCCAGGCGCTAGCTCCAGAGGTTGCGGCAGTAGCTCCCGGGTGGCCCCAGGTTGAGCTCCCATGTTCAGCTCTGGGGGCTGTGTCACCCGAGCACTTGCTCCGCGCCTTCCCTGGCCTAGATCTCCGTGCCCAGGTGCTTCGCACCGTCGCGCAGGCTCTACTGCGCACGCGGCATCCGCAGCTGGGTACCGCTACTGCCGACCCTGGTCTACTGCTGCGGGTGCTGCGACATAAGGGCATTCAGCTCGACAGCAGCAGCAGTGGCGGCAGAGCGTCGGAAAAACCTCATCATCCGCTCGTTACGCTTCTTCGGAGCGAGCCCCGCTTCTTCCGTGTCGTCACAGTCCCAGCGGGCGACAGGTCCGGGGTAGATGCAAAGACAGCGGCGGAAGAAGAGCTCGGCTTGAGCGGCGGCCTGGAAGTACAGCTGAAGCTGGATGCGCTACTGGCACTCGTGCCGCCACCGCCCCCGCCGCCACAGGTTGAGGAGCCTCCGCAAGCGCTGGAGATTTTGGATTCGCTCCAAGACCAGCAGTCTTCTACATTTAATATAAAAAAGGTTGCTGCTAGTTACAGCGGCAGTAGTAGCACTAGTAGCAGCGCGGCAATGGAGTCATGTTGGCGAGTCACCGAGGGCGCAACGGTGGAAGGGGCGGCTGTTCTGGCGGCTAGGCAGGAGCGTGCAACAGCAGACCTCACTGCAGTCTTACTTCCCGTCAGCGGTGAAGCGTCTGCCCAGGATGCGGCAGATGCAGGGTCGGATCCCGATGCTGTCGGGGGTAGCACCGGCGCCGACGGCAACCGCGGACGGCAAAGCAGCGGCAGTGGTAGTGGCCACGAGGCCGGCGCTGAGGGTGAAGATGACGGTCAGTCCGACGATGCCCACTTGGCGATGTTGATGAAGCTGCTGGCAACGGGGGCGCGCCTTGAGGAGGAACCCCTGCCGGACAGCGAAGCCAAGCTGCAGTTGCAGCTATCGCCATTGCTAGGGACCGGGGCGTCGTCACCATCGCCGCCATTGTCGCCATCGCAGCGGGTTCTCTGGCCAGAATCTAGTGACGGCGACGGCCCACAGCCGGCCACGGCTGCGTCGCTGCCGCCGGTTGCGAGCTCCCCTTTAATAGCCTCGGCTTCACCACCCCGAACCGAGGAAGCTTCCTTCATGGAGGCATCCCAGCAGGGTACTTCGCCACTGCCGCCGCCTCGGGAGCAGGAGCCGGAGCAGCTGGTGGTTTCGGCGCAGCCATCGGAGCCGCCGCTGCCCATGGGCTCGGAGGGCGAGATGGTACCGGAGGCTGCTCCGCTTGTATTTCCAAGTTTCGTGCTGGCTTTGGCACCACCGCCACCGCTGCTGGCTTCCTCCACCTTCCATCCTCCTTGTGGGGAGGTGAGTCCTGAAGGAGGTGCTGGGGGACGGGACGCGGCACAGGAAGGAGATCGGGCTGACCGCGTGGAAGCCGTCGATGCCTCTCCATTTGCTGACGCTGATGCAGCTGCGTCGCATGCAATGCAGCAGGTCGCGTACGCGGCCGCCGCCACGGCTATGGCGGCTTCAGAGCATGCTGATCTGGCGCAGCAGCTACCAGCGGAGGATGCCGCCGCCGCCGTTGCGGCTACGGCGGCTGCAGCATCGGCTCCTCTAGCACGGCCGACGGGCGAAGAAGAAGAAGCCGCGGCCGCGCGCACAGTCGCAGTGCCGGCCGCTGTGTCAACTGCTCTGCAAGCTCAAGGCTCGTCAGCTGCCGAGGCCGCGGCGGTGGCTGAGGCGTTAATACAGGCCGTCGACGAAGCGGTGGACATGGCTGTGGCTGCCGCCGCAGAAGCCCTGCTGGTTGATGGAGCTGTAGGAGGCAAGGGCGAGGAGGATGGAAAAGGCGTGATGGCGGCGAATAGCGCAGAGCAGGCCCCGGTTGCGGCACCGGTGCTTCTTCAGGATGGTAGTTGTGAAGCGCTTTCTGCATTGCTACCGTCAGTTCTCTCGCCGCCTGCCATTACGACCGACGTGGCCGTGGCCGTCGACGGGGTTATTTCCGCTAGCCAAGCTGAGCATGCGGGTGCTGCTAGCGGCAGCTTTGTCGAAGATGCTGCTGGGTATGCGGAGACGGAGGAAGCTGTGAAAGCGGCTGAAGCGGCTTTTGGGGATTTTTCAGATGAAGAGGCTGCCGCCGGGTTGAGCGCATGCGCAGGTGTCGTCGACGCGGTTGATGGCCGTGATGCTGTCGGGCCCTGCAACGCTGCAGCAGCGGCAGATGAAGCTTTTGTGCAACAGCCACAGCTCACCACGGCAGCGGACGTTGCCACATCCACAATGGCCGCAGCTTCAAGTGCTGAAACGACAGCTGATGCGGCCGCGATCGCTCACAGCGCGGAAAAACCCACGACAGCTGCGCCGCCGTTGGTCCTGGCTGTACACTCGTCGGCGGCGATGGCGGCATCCGCTGCTGCCACCGCCGCTGCCGCCACTGTGGCGTCGTCTCATGGAGCTTCTCCCACCGCCGCACACCTGCAGCCTGCCGTGGTGCGCTACATTAGCGCCTTGGACGTAGACGCGGGGTCGGCGGAGGAGGTGGCGGCGCTGACCAGCATGGCGCAGCACTGCGCCGCGAGCGGACGAGTGGTAGTGGACTGCTGTGCGGTAACAGACCCTGACCCTGACCCAAATCTGAAAACGCCGCCGGAGTCTGGGGGTCCTGGGGCGGAGATGGACATGGAGATGGACACCTTGGGGGAGGCAGCGGCGGCGGCGGCGGCGGCGGCTGGCGGCTCTGACGCCGAGGCGCTGCCGTCCAGCGTCGGGGCATGGCGCCGGCCCTGCTCGCCGGTTCTTCTGACGGTGTTGGCGCCTGCAGTGACTCAGGTCTGGCCCACGACACTCTACGTGCTTGGCGTGGCCGGCGTGGGGCCCGAGAGTGCGGTCATCCGGGCTGTCGTGTCGCTACTAACGGGCGCAGCAGCAGCGCCGACACAGGTGCTGTCGCCGTGGCGTATCCCTGGCGAAGTTGCGGCAACGGCGGCAGTGGCGGCGGCTGGAGCTGCGGGCGCAGCCGCGGCTATCCTGGGTGGAGGCCGCATCGTCAAGGTGCTGTGGGATGCTGGACAGGTACGTTCCGCCTTCCCCAGCGAAAGTCAGCTGCGAGGACGGCTGGCAAGTATGTATGTATGTATGTATGTGTGTATGTGTTTTCACCTTCTGGAGTTGCGTTACCACCCTTGAAACGTGTAACGGGTGCCTGCATACGGGCCACGACGCGGCCAAAAGTCTGTACGTGTAGTACGTGTAGTATGTAGTATGTATAATCGTATATGGTATGTATAATCGCACCTTTGTTCAGTACTACTCTTAATCTGTTTTCAGGTTTATGCCGCAAGCTCGCTCATTGTCGAGGACTGAGGAGTCACCCTTTCTATCACCCGCACCCGCACCCGCATCATTCACACATGTCCCCATGCCCATCCATTGTCGAGGGGCCAATATCAACCGCGTGTTCCGTCCTGCATCCCCCCATATGACAGCACCGGCCACAGTCTGCCGCCGTCCCTTACGAACCAACCTCCTACCGGAGAAGCATACCACTTGACCAATCTCTCCCCGATCCACATCTAAAATGTACGCCACAAACCCGCATGATGGCTTTTTTCTTCACCCTAAGCCCGACCTCTACTACCTCTTCTTTAACCTTAAACCCTTGCCACTACATTACTACCACTACCACTACCCCTTACCTCTACTTCTATCCTTTAACTCGGCCCCAACCTCTGCCCTCTTGCCTGTGCAGGTCTTGTCATTGCTGTCTCCGCTGTTGCCAGCCGGGCAGCGTGTGGGAGCAGTGCAGGACCTTAGGGTCCTGGTGGATCTCGCTGCGGCGGGTGCAGGTGCGGGTGCCTCCGCAGCCGCGTCGTCACCAGGCGCCGATACCGCCGCGGAAAGCGCTGCGGTGCAAGCGGGAGGGGAGGGTGTGGCGCGGCTGGATGGCCCATCATCAACGTCGGGTACGCCGCCCACGGCTCCATCTCCGGCGGTGCGGCTGCAGCCGCCGCACCGGCCTTGGACTGGCATGGTGCCGCTGCAAAATCGTCTGGCACAGCTGGGTGTGGCGGGGCGGGACTTGGCGTCGCTGTCCGCCCTCAGCGCAGACGCATGGTGGGTTGGCGGACCCTGCGGGATGAAGGGCAATGGATATGTATGTTGTTACAGGGTGGTATAGCTTCACCAGCGGCCCCCTTTCCCGGGGCAGTTCCTTGCTCTCCCCTGCGAGAGGGGCACCCTAATCCATTCACCCCATCCGACTTCAGAATGTATTCGTTGGGGCGTCAACTCACCACCAGCATCCAACCAAATCTAGCGGATCAACGGCGCCTCAACTTAGTTCCTGGCCAGCTCGCAAGTTGATAGGAGATGTATTACAAGCTCGCCGTGGACTGCGGCGTGTGTGTGTATTTGTCGTACGAGAACGTCCACACCTCAAATTACTATATGTACGGAGTACGATGTACGGCATGTTGATAAGGGCGGTTTAGATCCAAGACTCATTTCCCGCCGTGTGTGCATGTGTGTGTTTCAATATTTCTGTATTTTGGGAACTGGGAGATGGCTTATCGTGTCATTTGCGCCAACACCGCAGGGTCGGCCATCCGCTGTCTTGCGTGGTAGAGGCGGCGGCAGCTCGGCAGCTTTGCCAAGTCCTGGAGGTCAGGCGGGCTCTGCTCTTGAGCGACGAGGCGCTGCTGGACGCCCTGACATGCGGCATCTGCAGTTTCTTGATGGGTGCGCGGTAAGCCGGTAAACTGTACTACTGGGTAACTGTCAGGAGAGACGGCAATTATTGCAAGAGAGATGGATGAAACTGTTTTGTAGAAGAGGACAAATTGCAGGGACAAGTTTGAGGAATGGTGCTGCAGCATACATAAGGCCGCCTTGTGGTGATGGTGATGATGATGCGGTGACACACACGCGATAGTTGTGTGTGGGCCGGGCGGGCCTCTTTGGGATCCTGCATGCGAAAGGAGCGCTGCTGCCTGTGTGGCAGTTGATCGGTCACGTGTGGTTGTGTGGCGTGGTAACTGTCGAGTATAGATCCTGGGGAATGGCGCCATGGCCTTGGTATATGGCCTGGCTCCCAGTCGATCCAGTCGACCCGGGTTCAAATCCGCCTGCCAGCTCCTCGGGTGTTTGAGGAGTGATGAAATGGGAGGTGGCCCCTCATCATATGGACGGTGTAGGACGTGATAATATCATCTTGCGAGCTGACCAGGAACTAAGTTGATGCGCCGTTGATCCGCTAGATTTGGTTGGATGCTGGTGGTGAGTTGCCGAACCCAACGAATACATTCTGAAGTCGGATGGGGTGACGGATTAGGGTGCCCCTCTAGCAGGGGAGAGCAGGGACTGCCCCGGGAAAGGGGGCCGCTGGCGAAGTTAACCACCCTGTAACAACATACATATATATGTATGTATATATGTATATGTATATTTATACATATATATGTGTGTGTGTGTGCGCGCATTTTGGAGTTCTTACCAGAGGCGGTGTGTCATGCGATGTCTCATGTCATGCTGTTCGGTCAATTGGCGCTTTCCGTCTGCGACATCGCCTGACAAGGATTAGCAGCATCGAAGTGTTTGTTGCAATTGGAATAAGAGTGCGGGAGTTTTGCTGTAGCAGAGGGGAGTTTTTCCCTTCTTGCGGCTGATGTCGTAGCCAGCGGAATGTTTATTTACCATGATCCGACGTGGCAATCCGACACAAATTATTAATGAATGGCTCATCAGAGAGATAGCCATCCGATAAATTGTTGTTGTTGTTGAAGACGGAACTCGAAGCACCGGATGTTCTGTGCAGCATCAAGGCCCCCGAAAAGAAACGAACGCCCTAGTCAAGTGTGCATTGCAGTTTCGAATGTGCACCTTTGCAAGTTTTTTTTGTTCTCGTGTGTTGCAGACCTCGGATTGTTGGCAGGTAGGTGGGGAGCTCGAATGGACTGTGGGGGTCTGTGCTTTCCGTTTTGATGTCGCCATATTTGCAGATACCCCAGGCTCTTTCACCCCTTCATTCTGTGCTCTGTCTACTTGCGCGGCCCCACGAGAGTGCCAAATGTCAGTTCCTGGGAGTATGCAGGAACGCCATCTTTGGCTTTTTGCATTTGTTGCCTCTCAACCAGTTGATAGTTTTATGTCGGTTTTGATGTCGACGTATTATGGGATCTGGTTTATAATAGAGAGCTTTGCAGCCCAGCCTGGCGCTGTTACCGGGAGCACATGATTTGCATCAAAAGCATTTACTCCAACAATTTTTGGAGGGGGATACTGTTTCCTTACTAAGAACTGACGATAGGAGTAGGTTGATTTGTAGAATTGTGTGGTGTGAATATCCGACGCGATATTCCTTAGTATAACGGTACAATAGAAAGTAAGTACGGCACAGGACGATGCACCACTCCTCGTATAGGACCGGTCATGACGAACTGAAGATCGCAGGCATAGCAAATAAACGAAGCTCTTGGCGGATGGAGGGTGCGGTGTTCCTGAGTGTGGCTTGCATCCATTGTCCGAGGAAAGCAATTAGCGCTGACGACGATGGAGAGTGAACATTTTTTTGTAGCAACCGGAGCTTTCTGTCCTTCAATCGTATACATTAAAATATGATTGCCAAGGACCATTCATAGCAGCGTAGAGCTATGTGCTCTGTAAGGAATGGGACCGCCTGGTGCCTTTTTAAGACGCCTGTTGTATGTCCCTCAGAGCAGCGATGTTGACTTGCCGTTGATCCGACGCGCACATAAGGCCTCGTAAGCAAACAGTGGTCTTCACTTACGCGAAGATCGCGATGCAGCGGCAAAGAACCGCCGCCCTAGAACTGATGCAGGATTGAGCTCGAATTGCCGACCCATGATCATTAAAAGCAGGATAGCTGCATCTATAGGAAAATAATGGCGGCAAGGGGAACGCTTGGCAGTCTGCCTACATGTTCTGCGCCTCAGAAAACACATTTTTCTGGTAATCGAGGCAATCGAGAGCAATATCCTTCCCCACATGAGAGCATCCGGAAGCAGCTCGCTTTTGATTCGGCAAAAGGCTTCCACGGCGGATGGGGGAACCATGTGAAACTATAAGTATGTCCTGCGCCCGTGCTCCTGACCTCTTTTGCGCTTTTGACCTCTGCTACAGCCCAGGGAGAGGACCCCACTTGAGCAACAGCAGCCGATGATCCCCACACTGACTGCCATGCTGAACGCTCTACGAAGGCTCCTGGATCCGCCACCAGCCTGTCATTACCCCCCCAGTCGTCGTCATGGGGCATGCCCCCGGAGAGTTTCCATCCGTCAGCGCCTCCACATCGAGAGCTTGCATGCCGAAGCAATCAGATAGATCGCCCGTATGTACAAATAATGAAACGTACGGGGCCAGGAAACTAATTGGGGGAGGGGGCCCCTCGTTCCCCGGAATCACCGCCGTGCGCTGCAGCTACCAGCAGAAGAGTGTGTAACCGTTCCTACCAGTTATGCGATGAGTTCGCATTGACCGCTCTCGTCCCAAGGGAGTACATGACAGGCGTTTGGATTATGGCGCTGGAGGGAAGCGGTATGCCTCTTCGTCTGTAAACGCAGTTCCATGCGCGGACATTACCCAGCTAAAACCAGCCAGAAGCGCGCGACGGACATTGCAAATGTACGGATACTAGAGGCTTGCCTAAACCTGAGCAGTTTGGGCCGTAAAACGACCCGAAATACACATCTGAAGGCGACAGCTACATAACGGCGCTATTAGAGTACACGATCATGGTGCCCGGTGGGCGCTGCGAAACTAAGGCAAGTGACAAGTTCGGGGGGATTGACTGTCCAATGGAAAGCCAGCCCGGACTTTTGCCTTTGTAGTGCGCCTTCCAGTCATCTGGTAAGCATAATACACACACGGAGCTGGGGTAAGCCGATGCTCTCCTGAATCATGATACCTCCTGCAGGGAGAGAACGTCACGCCGCGGCCACCGGCACTCGAACAGCTGAGGGAGGAATATGCCCGGTCTCGGCGTTCCCGACGGCTCTCATACCGGAATGCGCACGCACACATCAGAGACGCCGTGCATATGGTATATACACACACACACACACACACGCACACGAGCATATACTTATATGTCGTCAAGCATAGATTCTAGGAGCTTGTTTGCATAACTCTTTGCCGCAATCTTTAATAACGGGTCCGTGCCGTGCGAGACTGAGGCCCCGGTTTTGTCATGCCAGCTAAGGTCTCTATACCAAAATATAACCGGCCAAATTCTCTTTACCTACCTATGTGTTTGAAGCACACGAGGGGATGCTGGAAAACGGATACATAAACACTAACCCCAATGTTTCGTTCGTACATTCCTTACTGATCAATCCCGTCATTCCCCGTGATGCATCCCGCCCGGGTTTGCCCGGACGAGGTGCCTTCCCCCCACAGGAGAAGACGGCGGGTAAATCCTTATTCAAGCAGGTGGAGGAGAAGGTACGCGAGTTAACCTTCGAGAGTTAAGCAGCTCCGTTTTGTGATGTATGTATGTGTGTGTGTATGCGTGCGTGGGGATGTGCCGTACACTGCATCATAAGCACTTACCAGCCGAAAGGCGTCCCAGCTCCAAAGCTTCGTCAGCCGTACAGCTCCGTCAGCCTTACCCAGGTCAGCTAGCATCTTACATGACCTGATGTGTAAAACGCCTTGTTTACCTACTTGCTGTACGATACGCGCAAGTGAATTCGCCTAGCAACTGCTCATCTCGCTGACCCACTGGTTTATGTGCTCTGCTGTCCCATGCTGCCCATCTCGCATGATTCGCTTCTTTACTCGGCGGTGGTTTGCAGGGCAGTCTTTCCCTCGCGATGAGCAAGTGGCGGCGGAGGCGAATCCATTTCGGAACTGGTGTGGCGGCGGATGATGATGTGGTGGGCATGATGATGGATACGGCGGGTAGCCCTTTTGATCCGGCCCCTGAGGGCAGTTCTCGGTTCGGACCCCACAGAGGTCGACGGTTTATGACACTTGAAAAAATGTCAACCATTGGAAACTTTCTCCCATTAAAATTGAGTCAGTTGCTAGTTGACTTCTTAACTGACACGGCCACGGCTGTTGCGGTACAACAGACCTCCCATGCTTCACGGCTTTTTTAAAGTCTTACACCAATATGTAGATCTTATAATCCAGACACGTACATGCTGCTTTCACCCGATTACAGAGAAATCATAACCACGGCAAAGGCCCTGAAATGCAATGCTGTGTCTGTGCCTTTTTTTCCCGCAATGTCCTTTCTAAAACCCTAAAACCCCCTTACGAGCTTCCGCTTCAAAATAAGCTATTGGGGATTTAGGGTTTTTGGTTAGTTTAGGGTTTCTAGTTGCATCCGCTCACTTCTCTTCTTCCCTCCTCTCCTGGCCTCCTCGGCCTTTCCCTCGCATCCTCTCACCGCCTCTTTCTGCCCTTTCCAGCCAGCCGCCTTTCCCCCCTACCTCCCTCTCTCCCGCTCCCGTACCCCCCGCTTCACCACCAGCACCAGGTCCTCCCCGGAATCCAGCATAACCAACCCGCGCTGCACCACTGTAACAACCACACCCACACACACACACGATACACACACATACACGACACACACACACATACACGACACACACACACACATACACGACACACACATACATACACACACTGATGGAACCCTGACAGCTCCAACCCCCCCCCTCTGTGAGCTGTAGTGGCAGCGCTGTGGCGCCACTCACAGCCACATCTGTCAAGGCATGCCCACATGTGAAACACATATAGGCGGATGGACAGACAGACAGGTAGACAGACAGACAGAGAACCCTCCCACTCGTCACAGCCCAGCCGACAGGAAGGATGCCATGATACCATGCAACTGGTCCCTAGCTGCTCGAATATCCTGCACCGTCACCATGGTCGTCGTCGTCATCGCCATCGTCGTGTTGGATGGCGAGCTCAAATGGTCGGGTAGTGAGGGTATGGCACTGCACACCGGCGAGGGTACGGCGAGGGTACGGTTTATATGGCACTGCACATGGACGGTGGAAGTTGAGTAATGCCAGCTGGCTACCCCCCCCCCCTTTTCTCAGCACGGGCTTTTCTCAGCACGGGCTGACAGAGACAAAGCTCGAGCAATCCACAGACATGCCGTATATATGGTACATACATACATACATAGGCAGGCGGCTGGCAGAGGTTAAGGCCTGACTTCTGCTCCCAGTTGACCCAGTCGACCCGGGTTCAAATCCGCCTGCCGGCTCCTCGGGTGTTTGAGGAGTGATGAAATGGGAGGTGGCCCCCCATCTTATGGACGGTGTAGGACGTGATAATATCAACTTGCGAGCTGACCAGGAACTAAGTTGATGCGCCGTTGATCCGCTAGATTTGGTTGGATGCTGGTGGTGAGTTGCCGAACCCAACGAATACATTCTGAAGTCGGATGGGGTGACGGATTAGGGTGCCCCTCTAGCAGGGGAGAGCAGGGACTGCCCCGGGAAAGGGGGCCGCTGGCGAAGTTAACCACCCTGTAACAACATACATACATACATGCTCCCGACCCTTGCGCTGTGTTTCGGCTTCGGCCCCCGGCTCTCGCGGCCCACAGTGTAATCTAAGTCATACATACATAGACACATTTTACATACGAGTGGAGGCCCACCTAGCCGCCCAGGCCCAGGCATGCTGTGAAGCAAGACTATAATGCACATACATACATACATACACACACACTCTCTCTGCGTGCACTCGCCGCACCTGGCCGGTATCCCCATCGCCTTGGCGTCCTCAACCAGGGCGGTGTACGACAACCGCCAGCGCTCCAGTGTCGCTGGTGTCACGAGACAGTGCTGCTGCTGCTGCAAGCTGCATGCAGGGCAATGTAGGACAACGTGTACATACACACATATGTAAACATACATACATACATACATACATTTGTCCATCCACGGCATCTACCAGGTAATATGCACTGTAGTACGCACACGTGCCGTACATCTCTTCGTCTGCTCGTCGTCCGTTATATCCGTTGTAGTCTACCTAAACGTGGCCGTACATTCGCAGTAACGAACAAGCAGACGGGACATACGCAGCATAGCTGGAGCTGCCACACACTGTGCTCAATTTCAACAATTACAAATACCTCTACCAAATCACCTACTTTTAATAGTGCCTCAGACCTCCTCACCCACCTCACCCTATCTTTACCGCCCAGCCACCTCAACCACCTCAACCACCTCAACCACCCACCCACCCAAGGTCCATTTCTCTCAACGCAGGGCCCACATAAGCCCAAGCCACCTCCGCGGGATCCTGCTGCTGCTGTGACTGCTGTGACTGCTGTGACTGCTGTGACTGCTGTGACTGCTGCGTGATAGTACGGCGGTAGCTTACGGTGCCGCCAGCGTTGCCGGGTTCAGTGTCTTCACTGCTACTGCTGCCGTCAGTTGCCGCTACCACCTCGCTGGCGTCGCCGGCGTCGCCGCTCGCAGCGGCAGCGGCAATACCATTGCGTTGCAGCGTCTTACCACACGCCACCATTCCTTTCCTGGCGGCCATGGTGCCTGTAGCATAGGTGTGCGAAATACGGGATATATGCAGCTTTTTGGCAGCGTCGTAGCATTGATGGCGTGGAGATACTAGGTGCTGGTAACCATGGCTTTTCCATGCGAATCCTAGGGAATACGTTCAATTTCCCAAACCTGCGAGAGATTTTAGGCCAAGGTGAAGGTGCCGGTAGCCAGAAGGGTCTTCTTTGCTGACAGCGTGTAGTTGACGCCGTCGCACCCGTGCCTTCGTCCTTGCAGCCATGCAAAAGGTACGAAACAAGGGTGCGACATGGCCTCGCTAACGACTGTGGTAACAGCCAGTCCATCGAGTAGCACTGTTCTATAAAGGTAGCTCCGTACCTTAAGAGGGGCACCTTTCGCAAGGACAGCATGCGGTGAAGAAACGAAAGCTGAGCGTCGGGCAGCTATAATAGATCCATGTAAGGGTAGGATGTTGTAGCTCAGAGTAGCTTTTGCAATATCTGCTTTTACACAATGGAGAATGAGTAAAACAAAGGAGCCCCGCAGTAGCAGTAGAGCAATGCTCTCGGCGTAACGTTTCCAGCAAAGTTCCCTATGCAAGTCCTAATACACGGTTCACACAAACTTTGTGAAATATAGGATATGGCGGACGAAAGCCTGGATATTTCCAGTATTTTTATAAGGCCCCTATAGATACGCTCAACACCAGTCACCTGCTGCATAATTGCAAAGGGTCCTCCTTTAGAAAGGACGGGTGAGTTGGTCTAGGACGGTTTAGTCTATTCGCTCGTCGTAAATGGCCGACTTCTGCTGACCAATTACTCTATCGGTCATCCAGACTGTGCCCGATTCTCCTTCACATACTCGATCATAACAGGCATTCTGCCCTTAAGTGCGTCTGCGTGCTGAGCGGGCGCTTCTGGACCAAAAGCGGAGCTGAGCAATGTGGGCCAGCCAACCAGGAGTGCAGCATCGTCTGGCGCCGCGAAAAATGGTGCGCTCAAAATCCATCTTGATTTTATCTCCTCAAAGCTGGGTTGAACGCCCAATCGTTGATTAGGTCCACGTGGGTACTCAACCGCAATTCCCAAGGCCGGAGGCCGTCAGCATAAGACAGCACAGCCAACCTGCATAGACCTATCCGTAACTCCGTCCTGACTTCCCAGCTGCTTATAAATCCTCTCCAAGACTCTCCTGCTGCTTATAAATCTTACCCAATCCAACGCAGGCGCTAGGGTGTATCGCGCGTGTCATCGGCCCTGTTGCCCTGCCCGGCGTTTGTGCTGTTCGCGCGGGATTTCGCATTCGCACGCCACAGATGCTGCACAGCACCGTTACCTTAGCCAAAGGGGGATCTTCGGCCGCCGGCGCCCCCACAGCTGCTGGTAGTGTCGCCGACAGCAGCGCCAAGAAGGGGAAGCGTGGCCCCAGGGAGGAAGGCAGCGATGACGGTGAGAGGGGAGGGGGGCCGCGACCACATGCATGCAAACTGGAACGATCCTGCCCACGCTGCCCTGCCCAGCACATGTAAACGATCATATAAATAATCATATAATCATATAAATATTCTTCCCAAGGGTCATAGGCGCTTATAACCACCTCACCCCACGCAACAAAGGGTCCTTAGACACGCACCCGTCCCCAAAGGTTCGCCGTGTTAAGGTCGCCCTACCCCTGGCGGGAGTTTGCGACTTGGGACCGCAGGCAGCTGTTGTTGTTCTTATTATTGTTGTTGTTGGCGTTGGCGTTGGCGGTGAGAGGGTGGATACATTGTGTGGGCAAAGCTCGTCCTGAGAAAGGACGACGAGCACCGGGGGAGGGGCCTGGATTGGAGGTGAAGATTTTTGGTACAGTTTGCATAGCATTTAGCACCAGGGGATCTCCCCCTCTCCTGCGCATTGAAACACACGGGGGGGGGGGCTTCACGACCATGCCACCATGGCCGTACAATCACGACCACATCATGACACGTGACCATGGATGCCTTCACGAACACCACCACCACCGCCACCACGACCATATAAGTCACGCGCTCCCCCCTTCCCCTCTCTTGCCCTCTCTTGGCAGCAGCTTCAATCGTGTGTGGTTCGTCTTTCCCCCCTTCCCCCCTCATCTACCCCCCAACCCCCCCTTCACAACCTTACCTGTCACCCCCTCGCATTCATTGCCCCGCACTCCCTCCTAACGCCACCCCCAACCCGCCCGTTCGTGTCGTACCGTAGTGTCCGGGCCGTACAGCTCCACCGTACGGCTGCCCACCACTGAGTTCAGCCTCCGCGCCAACAGCCCCATTCGGGAGCCCCAAATTCAGCAGTACTGGGAACAGCATGCGACTTACGAGGCGCTGGTCGAGGGCAACACCGGGGTGGGTGGGTGTTGCTTATTTAGGGGGGTCGGGGGTTCCGGAGGGGGCGGTACCAGAGCGGAAGGTATACCAAGGTAGATAGGTAGATAGATAGATAGATAGATAGATAGATAGATAGATAGATAGATAGATAGATAGGTATATATCTAGTAGAGAGAGAGGGGAGAGAGAGAGGGAGGGAGAGAGAGGGGGGGGCTGGATAGGGGCACGATGTAGGGGCGGCGGCGGCGGTGGCGGTGGAGGTGGAGGTGGAGGTGGGGATGGGCAGGAGGCGAAGCGAGGGCGGCGTTGTGGCGGCGGGAAGGGGAGAAGGGGACAGGCGCAAGGCGCAAGGGGGGGTTCAGGATTGGAGGGGGGGGACTTGTGGCTCGAGGTGGGAATTCGGAACCGTCCGCGTCCTCGGAGTCTGTAGTCCTACGGGGTATCGTGGACGGGTGTTCGCCCGCTGGGTTCACTGGGCTCCTGTTGGGGCTGGGGGTTGGGGGCGGGGTATAGGAGGGGGATGGGGAGGAGGGGGGAGAGGGGGTTGATGTTTGAGGGGGGAAGTGCACTGGTGTGATGGATTACTACATGCGCGAGGAACACAGCTAGCCACGACACGTCTTTATTGGACAGAATATGACACAGAATATGAGGTATACGTCACAGCTGCACCTGGTCACCAGGAACACAACAGCAACACAGCGGGGCGGGGGGGGGGGGTAAACCCGCACGTGGACAGTGGTCTGGGGGGCTTTGGGGGCGGGAAAAGAGTCTTTGGGGGGCCAGTGTGGGTGGGTGGGGAGGGAGGGAAGGGGTAGGGAGGGAGGGAGGGAAAACAGGTACAAACCCTAAGAAGAGTCGGTCTCAACAAGGTGAATTTCTGGTCAAAGCCGTTGTCAGAAGGACCGTTTGCACAGGGGGCACTATATTAATAAATAGTGCGGCGCGTCTTGACCCTCTCTCTTCGTACTTCATCCTCGTACAGGAGTCGTACACGTTACACGACGGTCCGCCGTACGCCAACGGCGACCTGCACATTGGTCATGCGCTAAATAAGATTTTGAAGGATTTCATCAACCGGTAGGTCCCCTTCTCTATCTATCTATCTATCTATTACTTACCTGTCTATCTATCTATCTATTACTTGTCTGTCTGTCTGTCTGTCTGTCTATCTTCGAGCTGTTGGTGCCAGTAGTGTTACCATGCATCCATGCTGTCGGGGGAATAGGCGGTCATACCAGTTTCATGTGTTGTACGCCGCCGCCCTGAGGAGCCTAACGACTAACTAAGTTATATTTTGAGGTGATTGATCTATGTCGCAATAGTATGATCACATACATACATACATGCATACATACATACAACCTTTTTGAGGAGCAGGTCTCAGCTGATTGTTTCTTTTCATGCATTCCTGCCGTTCGTACATTCACACGCTCATTATGGCATTTTAACGACTTACATACATAAACATACCTACGCACACGCACACGCATCCTCCCCCTCTTTCCCCTTTCTCTGTTCAGGTATCAGTTGCTCCAGGGACGTCGTGCCAAGTTCGTCCCGGGCTGGGACACCCACGGGCTGCCCATAGAGCTCAAGGTGCTGCAGAGCCTCAAGGAGAAGGAGAGGAAGGAACTGGTGTGTGTGTGTGTGGGGGGGGGAGAAGACGGGGGGGGAGACGGGGAGAAGCGCAAATAAGCTGCTACTGAACTAACTGCCGTGTGTGTGGGGTGTGGGGGGCTGGGCCGGGTGTGTGGGCACAAGCCAAATTGATAGGGCATCGGGGACGGGTGGGTATGGCGGGGGGAGTGCGGGAATGGGGGGGGTTGAGGATTACGGGGTTGCTTGCAAGGGTGTGTGTGCGTGTGTGTGTTTAGGTTCAGCCAACAGTGCACCAGAGCGGGGCAGGAGCCTCCCTCCATTCCCCCATTCTCATATTCTCGACCCCACATTTTTTGGCATTCAGTGGGGCTGGGAAGCAATTTTTTGATGCCAGAGAAATGGCGCACATGTATGTTGTATTCGTTCGCGGACCGAATACACTTCTAACTGACGCACGGGTCATGGGACATTATATTTTACGTTTCGTATTTCTGGTCGTACGGCAGGGTGTGCTGGAGCTTCGCGCCAAGGCTCGCGAGTTTGCGTTGCGTACCATTGACGCGCAGCGCACGCAGTTTAAGCGGTACGGCGTTTGGGGTGACTGGTCGTCGCCGTACGTGACTCTGGAGCCGTCGTACGAGGCTGCACAGCTGCGGGTATTCGGCAAGATGTTTCTCAACGGCCATATCTACAGGTAAGCGGCTGTTGGGGGACGTGGAGGCCTTCGGAAGTTTGAAAGTTTGAAGTTGTGGTTTTCTGAAGTCTCTGCGTTTTAGGATTTGTTGCTTTCCAATTCCGTACAACACATTCCTCACCACACCACTCACCTATCACCACCACACCACTCGCCCTGCCCCATATCCCTTCTCCCGGCTGCGCGTTTCCTCTTTCAGCGCGCTAATCAGCGCTTTAACCGTACTTTACCGTACACCACACTCGGCGCATGATGGTTTTCATCCTTCATCTCCAACCCCCACCTCCCGCGCAAACCCGCACAACCCCCTCTCCCCTCCTTTTCCCCCCCCTTCGTTCCTTTTCCTACACCGCTGCTCTCTACTTAATAATTTTCCCTCTTCCCCCTCCCCCCTTCAACTCCTCTCCCCACCTTCAACCGACCCCAACCCCCCCCAAAAAAGGGGTCTGAAGCCCGTACATTGGTCTCCTAGCAGTCGTACAGCCCTCGCGGAGGCGGAGCTGGAGTATCCGGAGGGGCACCGCAGTACGGCAGTGTACGTGGCCATGCCGCTTGTGGCTGTGGGGGAGAAGGCGGGGGAGGAAATGAAGCAGGCGTTACAGGTACGGCCGTGTGGAAGAGGCGGGATTGCCGTTTGTGGGTTTATGACTCCTGACTGCAGTGACCATCTTTGCGATTTTCCCTTCGCGCTTTGTGCTTTGTGCTTTGTGCTTTGCCATTTTTCTTCTCCGGACAGACTAACGCCCGCCCCCCTAGGGGCCTTCCCATTTCCCCCCCGTACTCTTTCATATCCTTTTCAAAACTCCTCTTCCCTTTTCACAAGTCGCGACTGGTCAGTGGCTTCTAGTTACATACTTCAGGCGTATCTGGCGTATATCCTGGTCTATCCTTGGCATCAGCCTCATCCGTTGGTGGTTCGCCCTCCCACCCCTACACCGACCACTGTTGGCAGTGGATTTTTTAATATAATTTCTGATTTCCCTCTCTCTCTCTCTCGTGACCTTCCCAGCAAACACAAACACACACGCGCACACACACACACACACACGCACACGCACACGACCCACACGCCGCAACCCGCTTCCTCTCCCGTCCTCAGGGTGCGGGTTTCGCAATCTGGACGACCACCCCCTGGACCATTCCCGCCAATTTGGCAGTAGCGGTGAATGACCAGCTGGACTACTGCGTAGTGGAGGCGCAGGTACGTGCATGCATGTATGTGTTTGTTTGTATGTATGTATGTATGTATGTATGTATGTATGTATGTATGTATGTTTATTTGTTTTGTGAGGGAAGAAAGTGTTTTGGGAGAAGGGTTTGGAAGAATGAAAAAGCAAGGAAAACGTGTACGCCGCCCCTACGAAGACTCGAAGGAATGAAAATCCGGGAATGGACTGGCAGATATTAATCCTCATCTGGGGGGAAGGGGTTTTTTGGGATTCACGCCAATCCATTCCTGGATTCTGTTGGATGGGAACAAGTCAGGGGAAACGGGGTTTTGGGCTGCCGTACATCCCACATTGACATGTACACACTATTATGCACATATGTTAATCGTGTTTAGTGAGTGGCGGAGTGGCATTGCCCTCGTTGGGCGTTTCTAATGCAATTTTCGCCGTCACAACGGCCACCTGTCGACTAACATCATCTTTTCCTAATCCATCTATACACACACATATATACGTGCACACACGTGCACACACGTGCACACACGTGCACACACACACTCACACACACACGTGCACACACACACACACACCTTGCCTCACCTTGAAGGGCGACGCTGCTGTCAGTTGGGCGGTTCGTCGGTTGGTGGTTGCCAAGGAGTTGGTTGGGAGGTTGGCGGAGAAGACGGGAGTGGAGCTCAAAGTGTTGGCAACTGCCAAGGTAAGCGCGCGCGCGTGTGTGTGTGAGTGTGTGTGTGTGAGTGTGGGTGAGTGTGTGTGTGTGTGTGTGTGAGAGTGTGTGTGAGAGTGTGTGTGTGTGAGTGTGTGAGTGTGTGAGTGTGTGTGTGTGTGCGTTTGTGTGCCGTGTGCGTGTGGGTGTTTGTGTTTGTGTTTTAATGCCAACCTTGGTGGGGATTGGAAGGCTAGGGACGGGGGAGGTGCTACAGGGAGGGGTGAGAATTGGCTAGTGGTTTGGAAGGGAAAGAAGTACCACGCGCATCATAACGCAAACTCCACTCTTGCTGTGCTAATTACTACCTTAGCAGGCTTATAATAACCCGTTTGCGTGCCTTAGCGATTTCTTTTTTATATTATTTTTATTTTTTATTCCCCTTTTTATTATCATTTTTTTCTTCTTCTTAATGGTTATGTATCCTTAAATTTTATAAATGTAAATTTCATTTTTTTATCTTTTAATCTTCGTTCTATGGTGTGTTCGACGTACTACGCCTGGTAGATTTTCTCGTCCACTTCGCTTGTCCATATAGTCCTAGTCTCCTATCAATCCATCAGAGCCTCACGCGCCCAGTCTACCACCTGCCATGCTCGACTGACCCATGGGTCACATAATGGATATCGCATATCGCGGCTCCTCTTTCCGTTTCCCTTGATGACTGGCTCAGGGCTCCGAGCTAGAAGGTTGTTCGTACCGCCATCCGTTGTACGACCGGACCAGCCCCCTGGTCATCGGGGGCGACTACATCACCACGGAGACGGGTACGTGTGCATATATATGTTTATATGCATGTGTGCATGTATGTATGTGCGTGTTTGTGTATGTGTTTTTATTATGACCTGTGCCGCTGGGAGGGAATGGCCCTCGCAGTGGGGTGGGGAAAATCTAGCGATGTAGTGCAAATGTAGTGTATGGATGTCGTACTGTTTGTCTGTATGTGAGCGTGGGGTTGCTAGACCCGCCCTCATTTCCATTGCGCTCACGCCCCCCTCCGTTCCCTTTTTCGTCCTCCCTTTTCTCCCCAAACCCTGAACCCCACGCACACATATACACATACACGTACACATACACGTACATGTACACGTACACGTACACATACACACACGCTCAGGTACGGGTTTAGTCCACACGGCCCCCGGGCACGGCCAGGAGGACTTTGCGGTGGGTCAGCGGTGCGGGCTGCCCCTCCTGAGCCCGGTGGATGACGCGGGCAACTTCACGACGGAGGCGGGGCCCTTCGCCGGCTTGAATGTGCAGGTGCGGGTGGGGGAGGGGTGGGGGGAGACGGGGGGGAGAGGGGGGGAGGAGGGACAGCTTTTGAGTTCACGGTTCACCTGTAGGCCTCGACATACATACATACATACATAATACATACATACATAATACATACATACATTTACACATACATTTACACATACATATACACATACATATACACATACACATACACATGCATATATGGAAGAGGGGAAGACAGGGGGAGTTGGAGGGGGAAGGGCAGGCGCGTGTTGGGGACCGGACCGGAGAGGGAAAGGTACGACATGAGCGGATTCCCCCTTAGATGCCACCCCCCCCTTCTAAGCGCATTATGCGAGTGGTACTTCGTGACGCATGTAGGTAGGTAGGCAGGTAGGCAGGTAGGTAGATAGGCAGGTAGGTAGATAGGTAGGTAGGCAGGTAGGTAGATAGGCAGGTAGGTAGATAGGTAGGTAGGGTGGGTGAGGGGTGGCGGGAAGGAGGGAGGAGGAGGAGGAGGAGGAGGAAAAAAAGGGGGGACCTGGCTGCTTTAGCCATGTTGCCCGTGACTTCACTCACGACTTTATTTCCCCCTCCCCTGCTCGCCTCCTCCCCCTCCGCTGCCGCCGTCGCTTGAGAAACCCCCCCTCCTTCATCTCCCCCCCAACCTCCCTCGTCCTGTTCCCCCGCCCCCTGACTGGTGCTCAACCCCCAGGGAGAGGGTAACAAGGCCGTCGTGGCAGCGCTGCGGGAGGCTGGTGTTCTGCTGAAGGACGAGCTGTACGAGCATAAGTACCCGTACGACTGGCGCACTAAGAAGCCCACGATCTTCCGGTACGGTCGAACCCCCTTCTCTCCAGCAAACTGCTAGTTCCAACCTCCAACGGTAACCAAATAACTGCCACTACCGGCGTGTTTCCCTCCTTTTTTAGTGTTTTCCAACTTCAAGATCGGCCCTTCCCCCTTGCATGTCCCCTCCCGCTCCACGACGTGGGCTTGTACGGCGGTTAGGACCGCGTTGGACGTGTCAAAACACAGCTATTTCTTGCACATCGTCATCATCATCATTACTGTAATTTGATGATTTGATTTATCCCCCCCAAAACCCCACCCCGTTCGTCTTGTCGGCAGTTCGCGCCTTGCTTTTGCATATCTCTCCCCCCTCCCCTTCCCCCTCCCCACATGCACACAACCAAAAACACACACACACACACACGCACACGCACACGCACACAGATGCGGGTCCAGGCCCCATGATTTCACCCTCCCCTCCCCCCCATACACACACACGTCACTCGCTTCACTCGCTCGTGGTTCGTCTTCCCCCCACGTCACCCACACCAGTCACGATGCCGCTCAACACCAACGCTCCACTGAACCCCCTACTTGCCCCACCTACCCCACTTACCCCCAACACACACCTTCTCGTATACATGTACGACATACACGTGCACGTACATACATACAGAGCTACCAGTCAGTGGTTTGCCAGTGTGGAGGGTTTTCGCGGGGCAGCACTGGAAGCTATCCGGGGGGTGCAGTGGATACCCGCCGCGGGGCTTAACCGAATTACCGGAATGACGGAGGGCCGGTCCGACTGGTGCATCTCGCGGCAGAGGAAGTGGGGCGTGCCGATTCCTGTGTTTTATGACACGGAGACAGGTCAGGGGGGTTTGGGGGGGGGATCGCGGAGCGGGGGGGGTTTGGGGGGGGGGAAAAGAGAGAGTGGGTTTTTTGTTGGTGTCGTTGGGGCTTGGTGTTTGTCTGTCTGTCTGTATGTTTGTTTGTTACTCTGGAAGGGCAATCTAGGGGCGCTGCACGTGCACGTGCCCTGCAAGCGTTACTTTTGCGTTGTGTTTCTTCTATTGTGCAATATGCCCGGAGTGCGGAAGGGGACGGATGCTCAGGAGTTGCCATGTAAAAAGCTACTGCTGCTACTGCTGCTACTGCTGCTGCTGCTGCTGCTGCTGCGTCGACTTGATTAGTGTTGCTAGGACACCGGTGACGTCTTTCGATAGCCATCCAAAATGCTGACTGCATTGTACCTCGGTCTCTGTCACCTCCATGGCCACGGTTGCTTCCTCCCATTTCCCTCTCCTCCTCCCCCCCCCCACCACCACACACACACACAAACAGACACAAACACACTCCCCTACCCTCGTCCGTCCGCGCGCAGACGAGCCGCTTCTGACCTCCGAAACCATCGAGCACATCACGGGCCTTGTGTCCCAGTACGGCAGCGACTGCTGGTGGACGTTGTCGGTTTCGGAGCTTCTTCCCCCCTCCCTCCGCCACCTTGCCCCTCGGCTCCGGCGAGGGGAGGACACTATGGACGTTTGGTTCGACAGCGGCAGCAGCTGGGCGGGTGTACTGCAGGCGGACGCCGTATGGGCGGGACTGTCGTACCCCGCAGATTTGTACTTGGAGGGCTCAGATCAGCACAGAGGTGAGCCGCCCCTCACCGGGGGAGGGGGAGGGGGAGGGGGCCAGGTTTGCTTGGGGTTTTGCTTAAGGGTTTAGTTGTTGGACTTCAGCATGTGTCCGCGTTTCGGTTTTCTTTGCAGGTTGGTTTCAGAGCAGCTTGCTAACCAGCGTGGCAGCCAACGGCATTGCGCCGTACAAGCAAGTCCTCACGCACGGATTCGTACTGGACGAGAAGGTACGTGTGTTGCGGTTCTGATGTGTTTGGGTCGCGCACTCGCTTTCCTCACTCGAGCCCCGAGTACTTTTCCCCCCTCCTTCCTACTCCACCAACTCAGGAAGCGGTGTGTGTGTGTGCGCGTATGTGTGTGTGTGTGGAGATCTAATAAGTACGACGGACGAAAAGTTACAGCAGTGTGGAATATTTCAAAGAAATGCAAGTCCGGGGCACCTAATCACAGACATACACGCACATACACATCTACTTGCAAGCAGAGACACATACATACATACAGACATACATTCATACACACACCTTTCAGGGTCAGAAGATGTCCAAGTCGCTGGGTAATGTGGTCGACCCACGGGTCGTCATCGAGGGCGGCAAGGACGTCAAGCAGCAGCCCGCGTACGGCGCTGACGTACTGCGGTTGTGGGTGGCCTCTGTGGACTACACAAGTGACGTGGCGGTGAGCGGGGGGGGGAGGGAGGGAGGGGAGGGGCATGTGTTTGGTTTTTATGAATTGAAGTTAAGGGTGTATGCGAATGTGAATGCGAGTGTGGACCCCCCATTCCTTCGATCCATGCTCTTTCCCCCCCCCCCCCGGCCAGTTCTTCTGCTTCCTGTACACTCTTGCCTTATCCTTGGCAGCAGCTTCACTCGTTCGTGGTTCGTCTTTCCCCCCCCCCCCGGCCCGACCCCCTTCCGTAGCGAGCCCCTCCACACCTAGTGCGAACCCCCCCACCCACTTAGTGCCTTTCCGTAGCCTCTTCTAAATCCCAATTTATTGATTGCCGTTACAGTTGCCGTCCTATTATATTGTACTATTGACTTAAAAGACTTTTGACTTCGTGAATTTCTTACCTTCCCTTTTATTTTTCTGTCAATGTTCTGACTTTCTTTTTTCTAATTATCCGTTCGCTCCGTCTTTTCCTTTCCTACACATGTATGTTATATATATGCATTACAGATCGGCTCCAGCATTCTTCGCCAGATGGCCGACATGTACCGCAAAGTCCGGGGCACTCTGCGCTTCCTGCTGGGCAACCTGGCAGATTACGACCCACAGGTCCATGCCGTACCGTACGAGCAACTGCCCTCCCTGGACCGCTACATGCTCTTCCGCGTGTCTCAGCTGATGAACGAGGTGTCGGCCGCGTACGACAGCTACCAGGTACGTGCGTACCTATGTATGTACGTATGTGTCCAGATGCGTACTTCCCACTTGTTTGATTCTTTATATACAGATACACATACATACATACATAGGCAGGCGGCTGGCAGAGGTTAAGGCCTGACTTCTGCTCCCAGTCGACCCAGTCGACCCGGGTTCAAATCCGCCTGCCGGCTCCTCGGGTGTTTGAGGAGTGATGAAATGGGAGGTGGCCCCCCATCTTATGGACGGTGTAGGACGTGATAATATCAACTTGCGAGCTGACCAGGAACTAAGTTGATGCGCCGTTGATCCGCTAGATTTGGTTGGATGCTGGTGGTGAGTTGCCGAACCCAACGAATACATTCTGAAGTCGGATGGGGTGACGGATTAGGGTGCCCCTCTAGCAGGGGAGAGCAGGGACTGCCCCGGGAAAGGGGGCCGCTGGCGAAGTTAACCACCCTGTAACAACATACATACATATCCCGGGATCGATACCCGTTAGGGTCAAAAATCTTTCCGATGGTGGAAGGTATTGCGCCCCTAGTCGATGGACGGTAGTGACCTGGGATAAAGTTAACCTGCGAGCCGACCAGGAATGGAGTTGGGCCGCTGTCGACCCGGCAGATTCCGTTGGATGCTGGTGGTGGGTGCGGAACCTGAGCGATACACTGAGAAGTTGACTAGGGTGACTGGATGAGGGTGCCCCGAAATACCGGGGAAGGCAGGGTTTCGCAGGGTAGCTGCCACGGGCGAAGATACACCCCCCTGTCCCACACAACATACATACATACACCTATATAACCCGCCTGCGGACGCTTCGCTGTCCGCAACGCCGTACATCCTGACCATTCCAGCGGACGTATATACATATACATGCATACATACATACATACATGCTCGCAGTTTTTCAAGGTGTTCCAGTCCCTTCAGCGGTTCGTGATTGTGGACCTCTCCAACTTCTACCTCGACACGGCCAAGGACCGGCTGTACATCCGGCGGGATAGCGACCCCGCCAGGAGGGCGTGTCAAACCGTGCTGGATGCGCTGCTGCGGAGCCTAATGGCGGCGCTGGTGAGGTGCAGCGCGAAGGGGGGGGGGAAGGTTTTTTTTTAAAGTTCTTGCTCACAAGGGTTTTGGCTCGGGTGGGTTTCGATACCGGGTTTGTTATGGTTTTAGGTAGGGGATTTAGAATAGCAGTTTTTTTTGACGGGTTTTAGATTTTATAACGGATTTTTGGGGAAGGTACTGTGTGGGCGAGGACGGAGGGGGGTCGTTATGTTGTTGACTGATGTGAGTCGTCTACTGGGCGATGGTACTGGTGAGGTGGGGTAAGAGGGTAAGAGGGTAAGAGGGCAGTAGCAAGTGGATCAGCAGTAACCCCCCCACACCCTCTTGGCGGCTAGGCAGGTAGGTAGGTAGGTAGGTTTTCGCGGTCGTCTTCATAATCTACATCATCCCGAGGTCGCCGCCTTCAAGAACGCCTCCTGGTCAGTTCTGCTCCTTGGCAGCAGCTTCACTCGTTCGTGGTTCATCTTTCCCCCCCATCCCGCACCCCCCCCGTTTCCTTCTTCCCCCCTTGGCTCGTGACCTTTCCCTTCGTCTTCTTCACGGGTTTCCCATCTCCATCACCCCCATCCCCCTCACAAATACCCCCCCAAAACAACACACACACACACACACACGCAGGCGCCCCTGGTGCCCCACCTGGCGGAGGATGCCTGGCTCAACCTGCCGTACGCTCGTCCAGCCGCCAGCGTGTTTCAAGCGGGCTGGGTGGCTCCGGAACCCGCCTGGTCGGGGTTGCGGCCGGAGGAGGTGGCGGCGTGGTCCCTGGCGGGGGAGGTTCGCGACGCGGCAAATGTGGTTCTGGAGCGGGCACGAACCAGCAAACTGATTGGTGCGGGACTGGAGGCGAAGGTGCGCTGCTAGCGGCCACTTCCCGGTGGTTGGGACGGACCCAGGATTTTGGGGTGTGGGTTTTGTTATGTACATGTTATATACACGTATGCATGCGTGTGTGCGGTGGGGAGGGGGTAACGGAGAGGGGGGAATTTGTTTAATGCGGCTTTGCTCAAATTTGCTTTTGTGTGTGCGCGCGTGTGTTCATGCATTTCGGTTGTTGAGTTGGCTTAAGGGGAATGAAGGGGCCTTGTTTGGGGCCCGTTCTCACCTCAACTCATATCTTTACCTTAGGGTTTTGGGTTTTGGGTTTACCTTTACATGAAGATCAAACCCTTGGAAAGGAAAGGAGTCTCACCTTGGAAGGGAGTTCAACTCTCGCCGCTTGAAAAAGACCAACGCAGAACCTAAAACCGCTCCTTTCCCCCCTCATCCTCCCCTCCCTTGATCGTCCCCTTTTACCTCCTTTCCTCCTTTTCCCCTATCTCCCCCTCGTTCCTCCTCCTCCCCCCGCCCCCCGGCAGGTGGTATTACATGTTTCTGACCCCGCTGCTGCTGCCGTACTGTCCTCCCTGGACGCATCTCGTAACGGTGCGGATGAGCTGCGGTACGTCCTCATAGTGTCGCAGGTGAGCAGTGGTGGTGGTAGTGAGGTGGGGTGGGGGGTGTGGAAAGGGGAACGGGAAAAAGGCGGAAGGGCACAGGCCACAGCGGGCCCCTAGCCAGAGGCCAACATCCTGGCTTCATGCACCTGAGTGTACGGGTTATACATACATACATATATACATACATATATATACATACATATATACATACATATATATACATACTAAACATACTAACATGATAAATAACGCCTCTGTAATGTCCAATAGTCAAACCCGAAAGCCTTCTCCTCAAGTTCCCCCTTCTTCTCCCCCCATCCACCCATTCCCCGCCTTTCCCTCTCGTACATTCCAACCACGTCACGTGTCAGGTCGAGCTCGTCTCCGACGCGGCCGTCGCCAAGCTGTGTCCCTTCCACGAGACCATCCCCAGCACCCGGGGCGCGGGGGAGATTACAGTGGGTGTGACGCGTGCTGGGGGGACCAAATGCGCGCGGTGCTGGAACTACAGCCTCCTGGTCGGCAGTAGCAGCACTAGCAGTGTCGAAGATAGCAGCAGCAGCAGTAGCGGCAGTAGTGAGGTGCGGTTGTATTCGGATCTCTGTGAGCGGTGTGTGCCGGTAGTGGCGGCCAAGGGTTTCGTGCCGCCAACGGCGGCGGCGGGTGTAGCAGCGGCGGCGGGTGCAGCAGCAACAGCACCCGCTGCTGGTAGTGGTAAGGCGCCTGTGGTGGCGGGGGTGTAGGGACGGAGGAAAGTACAGAGGGTGGGAGATGGAGGCCACAGGGGTTCGACAGGTGGGCAACTAGGCCCTCTTCTCTGTTTGTGTGTGTGTGTGTGCATGTGTGTGTATGTGTGTGTATATGCGTGTGTACGGGGAAGGCGGGAAAGTGGAAATGGTGGCGATGGTTGTTGACGGTGTGCTACCCGGGCATGCGAGGTTGAATCAATCCAGGTGGTGTAGGTGTTGTTGTTGTTGTTTGTCTTAAGACGTAGGATTGGCCAAAATCTTGAATTGGGTACTGTTCGGGAGATAGGGGCGTGATGTGTGTGTGGCACACGCGCGTCCCGCGTTCGATACCGAATGTGTCTTCAGACGGCACGCGGCGTTGGTGCCCCTGTTATTACTGCTGCTGCTGCTGCGTATATCCTTTTCCTTTGCTTATAAACCGCGAGGTGGTTCCGCGGCTGGCTAGGTGTTGGGGGTATTTCAGGGACAGGTTGGCAAGGGGATGGGCGGGAGGGGGCACCTGAAACCAGGACAAGCTGTTTATACGGAAGGTGTACGGAACTGATTCGAAAGGAAAGGTGAAAGCTATATCCTATGGTGGGTCTAGGGATGTGCGTGATTGCGACTCTGTGTGTGTGTGTGTTTATGTGCGAGTGAGAATACATCTTATTTGAGTTAGGTTCACTTTAGGGATATGCTGTGTGGGTGTACGTATGTATGTATGTATCTATGTATGTTGTCTATGTATGTATGTTTTGTAGGTGTATGTGCCCCTCTCTGCCTCCTCCTTTTGGAATGGGGGTGATGATGAAAGGCGAGAAGGGGAAGCTGTGCGTTTTAAAATTCGCTGCGTTGCATCGCGTGCTGTGTTTGGGCCGGGTCGGGGATGGGGTGTGTGCGAAATCGGGGATGGGGGTTTGTGTGGGTTGGTGAGCAGCCGGTGGGCTATACAAGAGGCGCACGTGAGAAATTCAAGTGGCCAGGGCGGAGAGGCGAATGGAGGAACAGTTCCTATGGAGGTGCAGGAGGAAAATATTTGTGAAGAGTGTGTGTATACCGAAGGGTGTGTTAAGGAAGATTAGCAGGTCAAGGTGATCACTGATGAGAGTCTGCGCACAAAAGATTCACTGGGATGGAAGACGGATGAAAGGATTTCCAGGTCTGTCGGGCGAAGCAGCAACCAGTCCTGGACATTCTTTCCTTGTGGATTCTAGCCTCTACCCAAGCATAAAAGATACGGATTTTGCAACGAAGCCAAGTTTATGAGACCCGTCCTTCAGGAAACAAAACACGGGGTGACGTGCAACGATGGAATAAAGGGAAAACAGCAAATCCCCTAGATGGAAAAAGGCAACAAACAAAACATAATTGACGACCCAGCCACATCACTGTATCATACCTGTGGTGTGTGGATGATCTATGCGCGCGCAAGCTCTCATGGATACGCGCTTCCTAACACCATGCAACCACTCTAACCGCCTGTCAAGAACGAATAAAACGAATCCTGTTATAACGCTGAACTCTAACGGCCACGGGTGGAAAACACAAACAAAATCCTAAAAATCGGTCAGTCGCTCGTGGAATTGGATATTGGGACCCTCAGTCGGTATTACGACAATCTCCCCAAGCATCGCTAAGCTCGTTTACACGTCGGTCACGAGTCCGAGACCCACTCCAGCGCTCACACCTCCTCTCTAGTTTACCAAGGAAGCAGCGCGCCCGGGACAAAGTGAGCTGCCTGCCTTTGGCAATGTTTGGCAGGGAGACGCGTGCGGGTGAAGGTTCTGATCAAAACCGCCCCCTCGAAATCTTCCCTTTCCCAACGTTCGGTATTCGCTCGTCCCGAGACACTTAATTTGGAGGCTGCACTGAAGGCGGTCGCTGCGTGTCCTCCTGCTGCTGCTGCTCCTGAGCCGCAAGCACGTCCTCGGCCCGGAGCCTTGTCCGCTGCGCACCACTTTGCAGCTCCTGTCCGGTTTGCTGTGCCCGGGCGTCTGCATCAACCTGAAAGTGGTAAACACGGTTGCGCACAGAAAATTAGATGCTATCTGTGGAGGCATAGTGCGGGGATGATTGTGATAGGATTGCGCCTTGCAAAACGGGTGGCCGACGCGGAAAACATTGAAGCGCTCACCAAGTCGGCAGGCTCTTCCAAGCCTTTCATAATCGCTAGAGCTCCTACGAAGGTCGCGCCGACTGTGGCACCGACTGCAAAAAGGAAATTAACAGCCAGTCAGCAAGGCTACTACCACAACGTCTCCCTGTCAGAGCCTTAGGTTGCGATATACTGGACTATCATACCTAACGCAGCAGCGCTACCCACGCTGACCCAAATAGTTGAGGCATCCTCAACGCCGGTCGGCATTTTCTTGAAATATCCAAGAGCTTCAGGCTTTCACATTACCTATATCCGCATAAATCATACTGTGCACAAAGTCTGGAAAGATGGATTTGCTGCTTTTGATGTGCGTCGCTTTTTCGCATATGACCCACGGACGCTCAGCATGGGCTAACGGAGAAAACTGTGTCACACCCATACGCACGATCTCCATCCTTCAAAATCTTCCTGCATTCCTACATCATCCAATTAAAAGATCGATACTCACCGTAACATTAGCAGCTGAAACTGTATGCTTCTCTTAGCTGGAGGGGATCACCAAGGCGCGTAATCCACCGTAAATTTGACAGATTGACATTTCCATGCTGGCTCAAACGCTCAAACACAACCAAACCTCAATATTTATAAATAATGCAGGGCATACAAAATCACCAGCAGCCTCGGTGTAGACGGCTTAACATCGGTGCATACGGCTTAACCCAGCACTCGTTAGTCTTCCAAGATACGTTCGCGCAATTAATGTCCTGCCGTACCATACCATATGCAACCTCCACTCGTCCCGGACAGACACCACCAGACGCACACCCCTCAACGCACGCCGTGGGTGGAATGGGACGCGGGCCTAAGCCTGAATCCAACGGCTCAACCTTCCCTTCCGCCTTCTTGTTGTTGTTATTACAGCGGGCTACCAAGTTTCTATACCGTAATGCAAAGAAACCGAGCAGGGCACATCACCTGTCGTTCATTCCACTGGGTTCTGGATCCTATTTCGTCCTACCGGACGTACGGGACCGACTCCTGAAACATCAATTATCGAATGATTGGGTGCGTGCGACGGTGCCGATGCCGGACACTGTGTGGCAAGAAGAAAAGAGGACGGAGAAAACCTGAGGCTTCAAATCCGGCATTGGCTTTATCGTGCAGAAATGCGCACACACGTGCTTCGCAGCAGGACGAGGGGGCCGGGCATGTGAAATCGCTTTGGACTTCATTGACTAATCCGTTAGGTAACGATTGTAGATGGCGAGTGTGGTGCGCGGTGTTCGGGCTCTGGGTGGTCGGTGGCGATGTTGCCAGATACGGCGCAGCGTGTGACTGATGTCGTCGCTGTGAGAGTTTCCTATGATACGTAGGTAGGTTAAAAGGTAGCTTTTACTGGGCTTGTGGCCCAGGAGCCCCGTGGCTGTTGTTACGCACTACGCCCTGGTTCAATTCAACAGGGGACCACAAACGGGGCCGCTTAAGGCACATGATCAGTCAATCATGCCTCTGCAAAGCGCTTTGAAATGTGCAAGCGTTTGGCCAAAGCGCATATTAAGCGTTTATTAAACGGGATGCGCACATGGCTCTATTGGGGGCAGACAATTTTGCAGGTGCAACAGTTGGACAGAACATAGACATTTCGAAATTGCTCAGCAAGATATAAATAAAAGGGAGTTTTCTTTTCGGTCTCTGTACGGCACGTACGGCTAAAATTTCCACGTTTCCCATGGCTCACGGGGGTTGTTATGCTTTAAAACTTTTCAGAAGCGCTTTGATGCGCTTCCAAGCTTCTTTGCGGGAAAATTAGGATCGCCGCCTGTGCACATACGGTGGCCAATTTCCTAGGAATTCGCGCACGTGTAGCTTTGCTTGCAATCGACAAAGCCCAGGCGCTCGATGGCTTTTCCCTCACACCTACTGTAAACTAGCGATCAAGTAGCTGTAGACTGGGCGGCCAGGTCAGAATGGCGAAAGAGGAGGTCCAGGACCGGTAAGCTGTTGACGCAGGGACTGGTTTTCCGTGCTTGTAATTCTGTAGGCTATAATAATTATTACTTCCTCAAGGCCCCCTAGCTTGCCTTTTGAACGGCGTTCGTTAAACACTTGCACGCGTTCACCCGGTTTTTTTGTATGTCCTTGATGCAGGTATGGTGTCGTCTACTTTATTTTTGTTTTGCTGGGAACTGGAACACTCCTCCCGTGGAATGTATTCCTTACGGAGAAGGTCGGTGCTGACGGGGGTTGCCGAAAGCGGGTTGAGGCTTGGCTAATTCATGGTGCTTTCCATGGCTGTTGGACCCGCATATATCTAATATCTTCCATGCAGTATCTAGCTCCGGTATCCGATTGCTGTCTGCCCTCAATCCGCGCAGGAGTTTTACGATGTGCGTCTGCATGTCCAGCCATATAACGGATACATCACAGAGAACTTCATGAGCCTTTTTTGTCTCGTATTCAATACGGCGTAAGTAGCAGCGATCACGTCGCCTTCGGTTCCTTGGTCGCGTGCAGCTGTCACACGTGTGCGGCGTGCGTGCCGGCGCTCAATATCTCACATTCGGAAGTCATGCCCTCCGCAGGAACTTGGTCGCTCTGGCTTTTCTTGTAAAATTTCAAAAGCACCTATCCCTCCGTGTACTTGTTCTCCAGCCACTGGTGATCACTTTCATTATGCTTTTATCGACCGCCGCTCTGGTAAGTCTGACTGCCGTGCTTTACCACACCGACAAAGCACAGCATGCCGGGTTCTGAGTGCTCCTCCCCAACATGCTCGTGGAATCCACCTTCGATTCAACAGCAGAGTACCACGAAGGATATAGGAAATTAAGTATTTAATGTCCTTTGCACGACAACACAACACAATCGACGCAAATAAGCGCGCACACAGGCGCACGCACTTGTAAACGCGCGGAGGCGGTCATTGGGCGCTTTTGCTTTGACTACATTGTCCTGCTAATAGGGCTGCGGATGGTGGTTGCCCGCGTGCTGGGGGTTCAGAGTTTCTGTGTGCGCATGTGTGCCGTGTGTATTTGTATGTATGTGTGTTGCGCCCTGATGTGGGAAGCCTCCGGCTGCCATCTCCTCGGCCCAGATAATGCTGTCGCCGAACTGCTAATAACCCATCATCGCCGTAATGGGTTTGACGCGCTGTGGGGAAGGGAGAATTGCGCAGGAAGCGCCCCTTTAGTTCTTCCCCTAAAGGGAATGAAGAACGAAGGGGACAACGAGGGCTAATACAATATTATACAAATGTTATACAAATTATGTCTACCATCTTAAACAGTAGACTTACTAGATTATTTACTACCGGAAGGTAAGAGCACCGTAAAATAAGACTTCGGTCGGGACCCAGATGGCTGCGGCTGAGGGTGTGTGTAGCGGGTGGGGACTAGAATATGTGCAAAGTCAAAGAAACCATTGCCGGCGTTGATGGATAAAGGGAGAGGGGGTAAGGGAACATGTCCTTGGTTCCCTTGGCGGAGAATGAGCCAAGACAGGCCGCAACCCAGACTCTGAGGGCCCAGGAGCTGCGAGGAGCTGCATGCCAGTGGTCGGGGTCCCCTTTCTTGAACCAGCACACATGCAACCTCCGCCGCATGAAGCTCCTTTCTTGCGCTGATATCTGTCTAGTTCAACCAGCCTATGAGCCCTCTCAGGGCTCTTGAGGGGACCCCCCTTCAAGGCTCCAGGGTACGGGTCCCCAGGGTACGCCTTTGCAGGCTGGTAACGCAACTCCGGAAGGTATACAACACCGACGCCCATGTATATTTCTAAAGACACACAAAAAGGTTTTCAAACAACACTATATGGAATCGCTTTCATCCGGAATTCTGTATGTAAATTTTTCTATGCAGAATTTTCTCATGCAAAGCTGAACCAAAGATTTTTCGTCTGATTGGGTTTAATTCGCAGCTCCCTCCCTTCCCCTTCCCTCTGATGATTGATGTTGGTGATGACGATAGGCTCTGCGCACTGACATCCCCGGTGACTTGATGGCCAAGTTTACCTTGCCTTCGTTGGCTCTTATGGTGGGTCCCTGACTGACCGACTGATGGACTGGGTGGGTGGATGACTGGGTCGGGGGGGCCGCTGGTGGTGGTGCTCTAGCTCTCTGACACTATGGCCGAGTAGGGTCTCAAAGCCGGGAGAGCGTTGCTGCGAAGCTTTGAGCCTGCTAAGTGAGCAAAGCCTGCTTTTGCTGAGTTTGGTTGCTGCGCCTGTTAAGTGCTGCTAGCTCCCCGATGGCTAGCTGCCCGATGGCTAGCTGGCTGGCGGGCTACGACACCACCATCGATTGCTACCCTTAAAAAATGTACAAAAACTTCCGTATGCTCGTGGTTTTGTTGGTATTGTGCTCTGTCAGGTATTTACTTGTATTGCTCTGCTTTGCTCTTCTCTACGCTGCAGGGACTGTGCATGGCCTTCTTGCAAGGCGGCACGATGCAGCTGGCGAGCATCTTCTCGATTACTCACATTCGGGTGCGTGTTCATGCGCTGTACTGTGCCCGTGCTGCTCCGTACGTCTTGGGTGTTGTACCATGTATTGCAAATAGCTCGCCGTTACCAGACATTATTATATCATGGCACGCATGCCTCTTGAGCTACTGAGGCCTCGGGAGACGTGGGGTTCTAACTCTTCTTACAATTCTATCCAATATGCAAAATTATTTCTCATGGCCAGCTAGCTAGCTGGTATTTAGCATACCTTGTTCGTATACATGTCTGGAAATGGAGCTCTCGCTCTCTATCGCTCTCCCGTGGCGCGTGGAAGAAGTGGATGGAGGCAGCGACCGGGGAACGGAAGTTGTTTGTCATGGGATGGGTTACGACATGAAGCGGAATGCGACGTCATAGCTTCCCCTATGGATTTCATACAAGGTGGAGTGACGACGAGGGTAATTTCGGTGGTGGTGGTGGTGGTGGTGGTGGAGAGCCGGCTTGTGGAGCGGAATGTGGTATGCTTTCGTTTGCGTCAGTCCGACGACAATCCGCGCCACGACGACAATGATGACACGATGACAATCCCAAACCTCTGCTCTCTTTCCTTTCTCTCCTTCCTGTTTCCGCTTTTCCTTTGCATTTATTATGCCAAGGCATTTATTGAGAAAATGTATGTTTAAATTCTCGTTCCCCTTTAATATTTAATACCTAATTTTTCTCCAAATTTTTGCATTTTCACTTTCGCAGGGTGTCGTGTCCGGCATTGCGGTGGGCGGCCTGGTGACCAGCGTGCTATCCTTTGTGAGTCAGCTTCGAGCGCAGGGAGGCAGTGGCGGCAGCGATGAACCGCAGACGGCACTGGACGTGGCCCCCGCGGCCTTTATGTACTTCTCCGCCTCAGCCGCCGTCATTGGGGCCTGCATCGCCGGCTACTGGGCCATTCCGTTGTTGCCATACGGGCGCTACAAACTGCTGCTGGCGGGCATTATTGACGACCCCAAGGAACGCAAAATGTTGACGGTGAGCCGAATAAGAGGAAGAGTGGGAGAAACGCAGAAAGGAAAGAGGAGCAGGAGGGCGAGGATCAAAGTTTTTGTACCTATTTTGGGGGCTTATGGGAGCGTCGTCGTTATCGGCGACGCCTCCCCCTCCTGCTCCTCCGCGTATCCATGCGATCATCATTTCCTCTTTTCCCTTTTTGCTGATTCCCTCCTCCATTTCCTCTTTTTCCACCCCTGCAACACGTCGTCCTCCTCCAGCCCATCCATCTCCCCCTGCACCTCCTCCTCCACCTCCCTCCCCCAACTCTTCCCTCACCTCGTCTGCTGCAGGTGGATGAGGACTACGAGGAGCCGCTGCTTACCGTGGTGGAGAGTCCCGACAGCGGCCCCAGCACCAGCACCGGCACCCGCACCGAAACCACGCGCGCCGCCATTGTCAGCATCGAGTCGGACTACACAATCTACAGCCGCACCTGGCAGCAGCGCAACGCATTTCATATTTACTGCGCGGCGCTGTTTCTCTGCCTCTGTGTTACCATGAGCACCCACCCCGGCATCTCCTCCTTCATCTGCTCTGTGGACAATCCCGCTAAGGTGTCGCCGTGCGCTTCGAGGAATGACAAGCCCGGCATTTTGGGGCGCATTGAGGGCGACCTCTTTGTGCCGGTGCTCTTTGTTCTATTTAGGTGGGTAGAGGAGACGTGAGCTCAGCAGGGGGGGAAGACGATGCTCTTTGTTCTGTGAAGTGCGGCCAGGAAGGAGGGGAGGCGGTCTTGCTGCGGCTGCTGCCGTTGCTGGCGGGGACGGGGACGGGGAGAGAACGTGCGGGCTTTGACGTGGCCTGAGGAATCGAATGGCGCATGGTGACGTGTCTCGAGAGAGAAAGAGGGACAAAGAGAGAGAGAAAGGGAGAGAGAGAGCACACAGCTGGTGGAGGACACTGACATTCCCAACTACGTACGCTTTGTGGGAGTATGAGGACGGACGAAGGTAGCAATGGGAGGGCAGGAACGCTGTGATGGGAGGGAAGGAGGAAAGGACAGCCAATCTATGTTTCGATTGGAGGTTGCTTCGTGCGGGTCGGAGTGGACGGGGGATTTAGGAAAAAACAATTTTGGAGTTGCGGAAAGGGGGCCTGAAGAGTATGATGAGGCCCTAAAGGATTTCCGTCCTACCGTTTTGCGTCCCACCGTTCAGTTCCTTTCGCCATCTTTAAGCACCGCATACCCTCCCTCCCACACCCATCCTCCCTCACCCACCGTCTCCCCCCCCTGTGTTCTGTCCCCCTCAGCTTGGGCGACTTTCTGGGTCGCTTCCTGAGCGGCTACGGTCCCTGGGCCCACGGCGCTCCGAAGCCGCTCTCCATTTTAGCCTATGCGGTATTGCGCTGCGCGGTGGCTGGAGCGGTGTTGTTTTGTCATCTGGTTACCCCCACCCCCTGGCTGCTGGATGAGTACCTGTCCCAGGACTACTGGCCCTGGGCTGTGATCCTACTGCTTGGCTGCACACAGGTGTGGGGTAACGGGAGGGGTTGTAGGCGTGCACGTATGGTTGGGTGGGTAGGGTGCGAGAAAGTGGGAGCAGCATCTGAAAGAGTTCGGGCAGTGCGGTGGGGTCGGTATTGGGAGGTGCTGGTAGCTAGCTGGGGCTCAGTACGGGGTCCACCATCCTTTCCCACTCAGGGCGCATAATACCCCCAATATATCCCTCGAGAGGCGTAACGGTTGCGCCGCTTTACTTGGTTGGCGTTTATTCGTTCACTTCATGAGTTACATACAACCGGCGTGCGGACGTCGACGGGAAGGGGCTGGCCAACCGCCGGGAACCCCACCCTCCCTTCGTGTTCCTGCGGGCTTGGGCTTCGGTCAGCATGCGTCGTGCGACTAACTACCTTATGCGCATTGTAGAAATGACTATAATGTTATTGCTCTTCCCTGTGTGTTTTCCTCCGACCTAAGCTCTCCTGGTGTTAATGTGCTGCAGGGCCACCTGATCAGCACCATTTGTATGCACGCGCCGTCCACGCTGATGCCGACCGAACAGTCCAAGTACGGCCCGGTGACGTCATTCGCGATCTCGGCGGGCTGCTTTGTGGGCTCATTTGTGTCGATGGGCCTGTCGTCTGCGTTCCAATCCCATTGAGAGCAGCGAGGTTAAGAGCCTGGTTGGCTGGCAGGCAAGAGAAGCCTTGCTTCCAAAAATGTTGGTCAAGCAAGAAACTTGTTTCTGGAAAAAGCGCTTTGGTCGAACTCGTAGCACGCACAGGAATGGCATTAAGGACGGTCGGGCTGGCTTAAACAGGCTGGCTTCTCTTCGATTTTTTGCAAGGCTTTTCGGCGTAAGAAATCGTAGTCCTTAAGATATAACGGCCGTCACACGAATATGGGCCACCCGGATATCAGATCAGTGTGCGGACCCTCCCGTGTAATTTTCCCACAGCTTCAATTTTGAGGGGTGATATGAGCTTATATACGGTATGCCGTAATGCTGTAGTGTATCGTAGAACGGTGTCGGCCGTGACGTGTACTGCGCAACATGCATAACTTCCAGCCGACGTCTGGAACAGGTATATTCTATGGATTTTACGTCTACGGTATGTCCGTGTTTGCATGTTGTATGCCCGCGTTTGCGTGTTGAGCTGCGGATGTTTGGAAATGTGATCATTGGATGCGGAACCCGGGGTTCTTTGGGGCGTTACTGTTGGGTTTTAATTTCGGATTTGGGTCACAAGCCGGAGGCTCGTACCCTTTCAGTTGCAATGAGCAACAATACACAAGCAACAGCCTGCCAGGACAGCAGCAGAGCTGGCAAGGTGGGTACAGGACGTGATGCTTTTATCGGGGGCTCTATTGCTTGTCTGCGCAATCCTCAGTATGACCTCCCGGAGGTCTATTTGTGTAGTGCAAGTGTATTAGATGGAAGTGTAACGTATATTTTTCCGTAGGTCTTGTGCCAGGCAGCTTATGGTTGAGGTTCTTGGTCTTGGGGTGGGAATCTTGACGCTTGTGGTCCTGATAAGGTGCATGGGTGTCAGGTGGTATTGCCACCTGTATTTATCCAACTACTACATAATCAATGCTTAGTCGTTGGTTTCTGTTTCTGATCGCCGTGTTTTTTGTTCGTTGTAATGTTAGTTCATCACTCACAGATGTGTCCGAAGGAGATCAGGCGTTGTTCCATTTAACAATTTTTGCCGTACTGTGTCTTAAATGCACTAAAACCCCTAAGTCTTTGATACGGTTGGCACAGAGTCAGAGATTTGGTTATTTTGGTCCGGAGCAGCGATGACCGGAATCGGTCTGGAAACCCCATATAATCAACGGTTATGTTAGTTTCACTGCGTATAGTTATTATCCTGGCCTGAAAGAAATATAGTTAGAGGCGAGGCAATTTTCGAAACATGCGTAACGACAAATAATCAACCATATTTGCAATTTGCTCACGTCGCACGGCTTTGTTTTGAATGACAATCAGTGTACGGATGATATACTTTGGGTTGTGCAAGTTATCTGTCACGTGTATAAAATTTGCCAGATGTGGCAAAAACGATCGTGATACATAACCTTGTTTCATTAAACAATTGGAGGATAAGGAGAAAGGAAGCGATCTACCTTGCCTTAGTCAAGGCAAGGCTAGCTGCAAAAAACGCAAACACAGGGACAATCAAAAAACGAAAGAAGCCTCCTAACGCCATTAGCAGAAGGCGTCGTATAGTCGCCATACCCGTCGAACAAGGCAGCACACAGTGGTTAGTCTCCCTGTCACTCGCACTATCATATCATACCTGCGCCCGCCCGCCACGCATACGGAACCGACAACTAGACAGGTTAGTCAAAACTGCTGCAGCTCGCCCTGGCCTGTGCTCAGCTTCACTCAAAACGCTTCACGTCGTGGTCAAACACCACTCACGGCCTATTCACATACTTATTAAATAGGGTTGTGCGCCAGTCGACGCGCCGCACAACCGTGCATCGGGGGTTTGCTACAAACCACATATAACCTTCCCATGCTTTGCTCCAGCTTGCAGCGCAAGACAAGATGGTTCATACCCATGGGCGTCGACTACCACCTGCCTCTGCAAGCTGCACCAAAGCGACAAGCAGCGACACAACGGCTCTGTTTCATCAAACCCCAGCACCGTTTCATCACCGTCCACTGCTTCCCGGTCTTCACGATGCTCACTTGGGCAACATCTGGTACTTGTCCTTCTTCGTGCCCAAGATCTTCTGGTCGATAAACTCGCGCACCACGGCAATGCCCAGCGGGATGGCCACGTGCGGCCGCAAGAAGTACGTCTTGGGCTGCATGTTGGTCATGATCTCGGCCCACTTGGACATCATGGCATCGCCCTTGCGCTGCATTTCGCTGGCCACGGCATCCAGTAGGATGGGGCAGCGGTACACCACCTCCGCAAACGCCTTGCTCATCCAGAAGTCGTGGCCGTATAGGGCACGCCACTTGGCCTCGTACTGCCGGGTGGAACGAGCCGAGAAATCGCCGGTCTGGCGCATGGACAGAATGGTCTCCGCAGCCGCCTTGCCGCCCATCATGGCCGTGTGGATGCCCTCGCCTACGGTGGGCATGTGGGGTGACAGGGACAAGAGCAAAATGAAACAAACAGATCCCCCACAGTATCTTTCCTAACAACTGTTAACATTGTCACGTACGCGTTAAGGATGACCACCAATCAGCCGTCATATGCCGTGCCGAGATTAACGGAAGACCCTGGCCTCGCCATCACCCTAATTCAGATGTACTTGTGCGCCCTTTGCACAACAGGTTGGAAAGTGATGTGTTCTCCCTCTTACAGAACCCCTTTTTTTCTTGTGTCCGCCCTAGCCTCTTTGCTAACCCGCCATACGCGCGCTAGCCATTAAGCCACTTTCCATTTTCATCAACGTACCGGTGTACGGGTCGATGTGGCCGGCGGCGTCACCAATAATGAGTAGGTGGTCATCAAAGCTCGTCTTGAGACCCTGGCTACCCAAGCGCAGACTGGCGGCACGCATGCGCTCAATCTTTGCGTTGGGCCCAATCGACTTTGAAATAAACGGGTCGTACTTGATTGCGTCGTTGTGCAGACGTGCCAGATCCGACTCCTTGACGTCACCGCAGTAGCCGTCCTTGCCGCAAGGGATGAGGTAGTAGCAGAAGTTGAGCTCCTCGTTGGGGTGGCGGAAAATGGCGGCATAGCCAGGCAGCGACCACTTGGGGTAAAAGCACACGCCATCAAAGTTGGTGTTGTGGGTGCCTCCCTCGATGAAAGCGCGCGAGCAGATACCCTTGGGCGGCTCTGTGCAGTAGCCGAGCTTGGTGGCGAGGCGGGATGTGGCGCCGTCCGCGCAGACCAGCACACGGCCACGGACGGTTGCGCCGGAGGCAGATGTCACGGTCCACAGGCCACAGGCCTTATCAAAAGAAGCACTGCTAACCTCAAAGTTTTCCTTGAGATCAGCACCAGCGCGGGCGGCGTTTTTGGCGACGCGCACGTCCAGGTTGATACGCTTAACCGCACAGCATGCCGCCTGGCCAAGCTTCTGCTTGGAGACGCCAATATAGGAAGTGCCATTCGGGCTAACAAAGCCACCAGCATCGGCAAAATGGGCTTCGTTGTTGGCGACGAGCTCCTGGAGGACGCCCATGTCCTCCAAGATGCGAATCGCAGGCGTGCAGACAGCATCGCCACAGTACTTGTCGCGCGGGAACGTTTCCTTCTCCAGAAGGGCTACCTTAGCACCACCGCGGGACATGTAATAAGCGCAGACGGAGCCAGAAGGACCGGCGCCTACGATGACCGCGTCGTAAGCGTCGGCCGGCAGAGTGTCGACCGTATATGGGCCGCGGGCCGGGACCGCCGTCTGGGCGCGGCGGTAAGCATAAGCTGCAAGCAGTGCCACAGATGTGGCACCAGCAGCGATCGCTACCGTCTTCTTGTTCTCCTGTACATACTTCTCCACCTTCTCCAGCGCCTTTTCGATGTGAGCAGCCATTGGTCTGATCCGAGCGTTACAGGCGGCGAGCAGTCACAGCTGATGTCCGCAGCCCTACAGGGTGAAAACCTGATACCTTAAGAAGCAAAGATGGAGCGTTCGGCCAAGATCAGGATGAGCGCGGGAATAGTGAGGCTAAGGATAGAGACGCGCATATATCGAGCTGCTCACAGAGGAAAGTGTTATGGCCGAAGCTACCTGCAATTTGGTAGTTTAGACAAAGGTAAGTTAACCATACGCGAGAGGTAAAGCCCGCGCTTCGCACAATTGGACGAGCAGTCGTGCAAGCGAGCCTTTTAAACCCCTGAATCGGCGAGAGCTGTGATGCCGAGCACTAGCTTGGAATATGTTGGGCTTGCTTTGTATGTCTCGCAGGTCCGTGGACAAATAGCCATGTTTTGCTCTGGCTCATTCCCTACTTTGCAGCAAGTAACTAGCAGGAAAACATGTTCAGCTATGATCTTTATTTCCCATTTTCCAGAAACAGTTACGCAAACACGCGCATTTTGAAGCTTCTGAAGCTTCTTGGCGACCCACGGGTGTAGTCTCTAACCTTCCCTTTCCCATGAGTGGCAGCAAACAATACTTCCCTCTAAAACATACTGTAAATTTCACAGCCATTCGGGGACATCAAGGGCGATCTTATGGTGGGGGCAAGAACTGCCTTGCAGCGGCTGGCGAGGGAGGACAGGAGAAAAGACAGATTTCGTGTATCAACATCAAGCCGTGATAGGTGACCCTCTAGGATGCGCTTACTGGCCCCATAATGAGGCTGGTTTGGCAAGCTGGCGGGGAAAAGCAGGGGCACCTGAGCCATTGCTCACCACCGCGCAGCATCATTATCTAGCGGAATGCTCAGCATTTCAGCTTCCGTAAAGACATCACGTAGGAAAGGACTGCATTCCGCACTTAAGCTGACTGCTTGGCCCCGATATGTATGTACGGTATCGTGTCGGAACGGCCGAAAAGGGCGAGCGCACGCGGTCGCTCGATTGACCTCGCAAAGCGACACTTCAAGAACTGCACGGCCGAAGCGTGCTGTGGTGCTCAACGGTACACATGTAAAGCCAGCAAACTGCGCAGCCCGTCAAAGGCACCCAACAGCGTTGCTGCATCAGGTTCCCCTGGACTGCAACAGAACTTGGAATGTCAACGGAAAACGTTCCATGCGGTTCAAGGCGGTTCGCTTTTGGTACTCATCACCTTTTAGTCCCCTCCATAAAGACTAATTCGTGCGCAACTCTAATATTGTCAGCAACTGCCACGGCCTCCCCTATATGTCCGTTCACGTCCAATCGGCCTGCATCCTACGCATCATTCGCGCGTGCACATGCCAGTGTTGTGCGGGAGAGGCGCTCCTAGGGGCGTTGCACTCGACCCGTTCAGGGTCCACTGTAACAATCGCATTCACATGCCAGGGCTCCAGCGGCTGGCGCCTTCACGGGCCACAACTGACCAGACTTTCAACAAGCTTTGAACGTCAACCATCCGCAATCATGTGCATTCATTCCCCTGGGCCAGTGCGGCAAGTTGCTGTATTTTAAAAATGGCAGAAAGCCCGGTGCAAAAGTGTGCCGTTACTAGCACTGGATGGCCCCCCGTCGAAAGGATTTGAGGGCTAAATCCCCCTGGCGTGGCGCATCATCGCGCCTTACTTCGTTTTCGTTTGTGCGTTCCTATATGTCCTATCCTGCGGTTCATTTAATAGTGCGAGCAGCAGGTCTGGGGAGCATCACATGTGTGCGAAATCACTGACTTCGCAGAAGTGGGCACACATGGGTGGGAGAAACTATCTGGCTGAGGATGAGGGTGCCCCGAAACGTACCTTCGGGGAGAGTGGTAGGGGGACTGCCAACAGGCTAGCGGACGGCCACACAACACAGGGTAAAGCAACGCGCTCCTCCCTTCTTGACGCAATCACGGATCACTGCCGCTGGCGTGCTATCGACGCGATTAATAATAACCAGAACCTGGGAATAGAGGACGAACGCACAGCTGACCAGGAACTAAGTTGATGCGCCGTTGATCCGCTAGATTTGGTTGTGGATGCTGGTGGTGAGTTGCTGAACCCAACGAATACATTCTGAGAAGTCGGATGGGGTGAACGGATTAGGGTGTGCCCCTCTAGCAGGGGAGAGCAGGGAACTGCCTCCAAGGGAATGGGGGCCGCTGGTGAAGCTATACCACCCTGTAACAACATACATACATACATACGGACTGCCGATATATACGTACGCGTGGCGCAGGTGCGTGACTCCTCATCACTCCTTTCCAGCAGCCAGCCCATCAGTTCTCTACGTACACACACCTAAGAGACCGCACCCAGAAAACAAACCAGGCGGACTGATTCAGGCAGACTACTATTTTTATCGTTTCACCACCCGCCGCGAATGCGAACCGTCGCTGCGGTACTGCTGGCGCAACCACGGTAATGACTGCAGCCAGTCCGTCGATTTTGTTGTACCATCGACCGTACGTTCGCCGTACATGGCAGTACTATCGTCACGACCCACATGTAGGGGCTGCCGTGCCGCCGCTACCCGACAGAACTTCCGCCCATCCAACACTTGTGACCTATTCGTTGGATCCAATCCGCTGTACTGCCACCATTGCCGTACGGTGCGCTGCGTGCCCATGCCGTACTTGAATCCGGTGCCGTGTTCACTAAGCATCAGAGCCGCAACCTGTGCAACGTCAGAACGTCACAACAAAACATCTTTTTACCAGTCCGCAAGTAAAAAACATTTGATGAGCCAGACTGAGCCAGACAGAAAACACACGAGCAGTGGAGAGGTGCCCGAAGAAGATCAGGAACAATAAACACTCTTACAACGCCTCCACTTCGTGTTATCTTAATATTTTATATAATATATTAGTTCTACCCTCTTCGCACGTCCTTCATAGATCACTTGGGAACCCGAACACACACTGAAGAGCGCGCTTCAGGGATCACTTAGCTGCATGCATCTAGCTAGTTGTCACAGACAGGCAGAACTCATGATAAGTGGCCCTTCAGCACATGTGCTTGTACCCAATACCAAAGGACTTTACACCACGACGAAGTGTGTTCCTAGCGCCGCCCAATCCGCTTCACCTGCCGCTTACCGAACAGACAGACAACTGACATACATACATACATACATACATAGCTAAGTGACCCATCATGGAGTGCCAAAGCGCGCCCAGCTGTGTATGACGTAAAAGAATGATGTACGAGACACAACAGAGATATCACATGCACATGTCGTACGCATGCCGTACACTGCTGGCAACTATCGAACCAACCTTACGAAGTACGGCGGCCTTGCGAGTGTGGTAGCTGGCATCCGCGTCGAAATCCTGCCGATAGGTTTTATTCAGTTGTCTAGCTGTGACGGTCGTTATTATGTATATCTATTTCCTAACTTGATGATACAATGTACAATGCATAATATATCTGTACGTGTGATGTACAGATGCATGTACACATACATAACATATACATATGCACAATAGTTCAGGCACTACTTGTAAAGCACACACCAATGCCCCCGGAGGTTCGGGATTGAGACCTGTCAGGGTCGAAATTATTCCTTCCGATGGTGGAAGGTAAAGTGCTCCTAGTCGATGGACGGTGGTGACCTGGGATAAAGTTGACTTGCGAGCTGACCAGTAATGGAGTTGAGCCGCCGCCGATCCGGCGGATTCCGTTGGATGCCGGTGGTGGTTGCTGAACCATCCACATGAAATCGCAACTAAGCAGATAAAGCGCGGGATGCTGTGGAGAGCTATGGAACGCTAGCTGCGGCGTAATAATATAATAAATATAATAAACATAGTAAATATAATAAATATAATAAATATAATAAATATAATAAATATAATAAAGAATAAAATAATAAAATAATAAAAGTAATAAAAATAATAAAAAAAGTACGTACGGTGTGCTTATCATTAAATTAATAGTTATTTTGGACATACGCGCGCATCATAACTACTAGCATGCATGCATGCATGCGCACTAGTTTATGACGCACTCACGTTCCAGAACTTTGGTGCTCCCTCCCTGCCGTAGTGGTGGAAGGCCACATTGCGGTCCGGAGCGAACATGTCCCAGCCGTGCGTCCACAGGCGAGCACTGGAGGGTGCGTGTGTGTATGTATGTATGTGTGCGTTTATGTATGGGGGGGGAGGTACACATGTGATGTAATGGATGGGGTAGGAGGTTTTCCTTTGGAAGGGGTTTATTACACATTTCTAACGGAGGGGCGACAGCTGCCACCTGCCACCTGCCACCTGCCACCTGCCACCTGCCACCTGCCACCTGCCACCTGCCACCTGCCACCTGCCACCTGCCACCTGCCACCTGCCACCTGCCACCTGCCACCTGCCACCTGCCACCTGCCACCTGCCACCTGCCACCTGCCACCTGCCACCTGCCACCTGCCACCTGCCACCTGCCACCTGCCACCTGCCACCTGCCACCTGCCACCTGCCACCTGCCACCTGCCACCTGCCACCTGCCACCTGCCACCTGCCACCTGCCACCTGCCACCTGCCACCTGCCACCTGCCACCTGCCACCTGCCACCTGCCACCTGCCACCTGCCACCTGCCACCTGCCACCTGCCACCTGCCACCTGCCACCTGCCACCTGCCACCTGCCACCTGCCACCTGCCACCTGCCACCTGCCACCTGCCAAGGTCCAAAACTATATTTGGAAGCTCGAGGTGTTCACATCACGGGGTGAGTAGGGGGGGGAGAGTGGGTATCCTGCCACCGGGTAATATGGAAGAGAGTAAGTTGGTATGTATGTATGTTGTTACAGGGTGGTTAACTTCACCAGCGGCCCCCATTCCCGAAGCAGTTCCCTGCTCTCCCCTGCTAGAGGGGCACCCTAAGCCATTCACCCCATCCGACTTCAGAATGTATTCGTTGGGTTCAGCAACTCACCACCAGCATCCAACCAAATCTAGCGGATCAACGGCGCATCAACTTAGTTCCTGGTCAGCTCGCAAGTTGATATCAGCACGTCCTACACCGTCCATATGATGGGTTGCCACCTCCTATTTCGACATTCCTCAAACACCCGAGGAGCCGATAGGCGGATTTGAACCCGGGTCGGCCGGGAGCAGTAGTCAGGCCTTTACCTCTGCCAGCCGCCTGCCTTGGTATGTATGTGGACATGTACGGAATGCTGCTGCCGTACTTATACAGTTGTACATCCATGTACTACGTACCTGTACAACGCCTCTTCTCCGTGAAAGAGGTACTCCAGGGTGGGGTCGAAGGGTACGGCATGCAGTACACGAGCCTCCGTAAACATGAATCCAGCTGCCGCGAAGGGCACCGGCTGGTCGCGGGGTAGGAGGTGGGGTAGGAGGTGGGGTAAGAGGTGGGGTAAGAGGGGAAGACGAACCACGTGAACGAGTGAAGCTGCTGGCAAGGAAAGACTGATCCGCCAGAAATAAAGAAGGCATAACTAACCAGTCGGCGCTTGCGAAGGAGAAGTCCTCGCGATGATGTAGTGATGACGATAGCGGAAAACTATCTGCCTAGCCGCCAAGACTAAAATAAAGTGCGAAAAGAGAGCAGGAAAACCATCCGTAAAAAGGTAGGTGCAAAGGCGGCGAAGACCAAAAAGCTGACGTAGAGGTGACTTAAGCTGGAGCAAAACTGGCTGATAAGCTGGTTTTAAACAAGCTGCCGGTGACATGCAAGTGCTCCTCCCAGGCCCCCCAACACGCGCAACCGACCCGACCGACCCGACTATCCTAGCCCGGCCAGCCGACCAACACAGCGCGATTCACCGACAAAGCTCGAAGGAGGGGGGTTAGGAGGGGGGTTAGGAGGGGGGGTTAGGAGGGGGGTTAGGAGGGCACTAAAACCAACTGCCCAACAATTTGCTTTACGGAAGGGTGGCGCTGGTGGAACGACTACGTCTACATCTACAGGTGTCACACACACTAGGTTGACGGACGAGATGCGAGATTCTACTGACACACACACACACCTGTTGGCTACGGAGCTTGCTTTGGTATTCTCCGTGTATTCCCCGCGCGCCAGCGCCATTTCCCTCAACGCGGCTTCCACATCAATAACACACACATACAGACATACAGACACCTATACACACAGACATATACACATATACACATGTACCTATACACAGACAGACAGACAGACACACACACAGCCCCGCGCTCCCACCCGGAACTCCCCCTCGCGGGGGGGGGGCTCCACGAGCTCGGCCTCCAAGGTAATGACGTACTGCCCCTCCGCCTCCGCCGCCCACTGGGCTCGACACATGACGGGCACTCGCCGCTCCGAAACGTCATCCCAGGAAGGCGGATAGTGCTGTGCAGTGGTGGTGGGTACGGGGGGGAAAGACGAACCACGTGAGAACGAGTGAAGCTGCTGCCAGGGCAAGAGTGTACCAGACTTAGATCTGACCAAAAGGCGTTCTTGAAGTGCGGCGACCTCGAGGGACGACGTAGTGAAGAAGATGTCGGAAAAACTACCTACCTAGCCGCCAAGACTAAAATAAGCGCGGAAGAAAAGCTAAGTAAGGCCAAGCGTACAGAAGTAAAGGTAGGTGTAGAGGGAGGCGGCGGAAAAGTAGTAAAAAAAAACTGCTGACGTGAAGCTGGAATAAAGTTTGCCGCCGGACCGGCGGCGGCATTGACGAGGTTTGGCCAAGAACTGGCTGATTAGCTGGTAATAAAAAGCTGGTGACATGCAAGTGCTCCTCTCAAACAAACCCCCCCAAAAAACGCGCGTACGGGGGGAAGGGGAGGGGGGAAGTATGTATGTAGGGAGCTGTATGCGAGGGCGGGGACGGGGACGGGATTTCGGAAAAGACAACTCCAGTGAGGGCGGAGGCGGCGGGTGAGAGTCTTTATGTGTGTGGAAAGACGGGGAAAAGGGAAAGGAAGAGAAAGGGGAGGAAAAGGGGGAATCATTGCGATGCTGCTGATGAAACTCAGAAATGAACCATGCCATCGTCTGCCGGGGAAAGGGCGGAGGAAAGGGCGGGGCCCGCCCGAAGAGAAACGCCCGATGGCCTTGGATCGCCCGCAGGGGGAGGAGGTGAGTGGGAGGGAGCGCAGCCGGGGGATCGGCGACGGGAGGAAGGGAAAGTGTTGTAGAGTGTGAAGGTAACAATTATGGAAGGGTGGTCAGGCGAGCGGTGTTAAGACCAGCAAAGCGCCGGACCCCCGTTGGGTCCTATTGCTGTGGCTACCATTCACTGGTATATGAGTGTCGGTCATTTCCAACAAGCGGTCGCTCCATTCGTACGTACCGTAAGTACGGCATTCTTGCTGGGGGCCGATCGTATCATCCGTACCAGCTCCACATCCCAGCCAGGCGCGAAGCTCATATGAGAATCGATCTTGCTTGCCGTACAGCCGCCGTCCATCAGGTTTGAAAGCCAACAGCCGTACAGCCGCAGACGGCGGTTGTATAATATTTTTGCACCGCGAGTGTGACCCATGGGTCATTAGTGGCATGGGATGTGATGAGGGGAACTTCTTAGTTAAGGAAAGACACTTTGTTTAGGTTGGGCTTGGGTTGGTCCGGGGTGACCCATGAAGTCAAATTCCGAGGTGGAGGTCAGAGAGGGGGTTGGAATGTAGAAGAGCGGACACAGCTCCCACATTCCGATCCGCATGTTTGAAACCCGATGAGCCCTCCGGGCGGCGCCTCTGACGTCTCGTGACATCTCGTGACGTCTCGTGACGTCTCGTGACATCTCGTGACGTCTCGTGACGTCTCGTGACATCTCGTGACGTCTCGTGACGTCTCGTGACGTCTCGTGACGTCTCGTGACATCTCGTGACGTCTCGTGACGTCTCGTGACGTCTCGTGACGTCTCGTGACGTCTCGTGACATCTCGTGACATCTCGTGACGTCTCGTGACGTCTCGTGACATCTCGTGACGTCTCGTGACGTCTCGTGACGTCTCGTGACGTGAGCTTTATTAACTAACAGTCTGTAAAGCGTGCTGTGTTCCTCATGCAGTGAATGGAGGGAGGTTAATAAAAGTGTAATTTGACCCGGCACGGTTTTTTTTTTCGTTTTTCTGTTGTGTTACGCATCATGTGGTGGATTCCCCCCCCACACACACACCAGCTGCACATCGTGTATCTAGATATCTACAGACATACATATCTTACACAGACGTACACAACTACAGACGTACATAACTACGGATATATGTGCGTGTATCATGCCATCTGCCACGCCGCAGCAGCGCACACTTTGGCTGACACAACCAGATTATGTTTTTGCAGGAGGGTCTGTGCGAGGCCAGCTGTACGACATCCCACCTGCAGTAGGTATTGCTCTCCGCCGTACATTGTGGCTGCCTGGTGTCTGGATACGCTGGGCCCCTTGGCGGAGGAAAGATCCAGGGACAGTCGCCTGTGTGTATGAGTGGTGTACACATACATACAAACATACAGAAAACACATACACACACATATATATACATACAACGGCATACAGTCACATATATCCCACAACACAACTCACATACATACAGATAAACATCAATCTGTTATTGTTCCACGTCGTTTCCGTTGCACACCCATTACGACGACGCTGTCACGCCATATGACGTGCTAACAGACATAAGAAATGCGGATGGATCATACACACATACACACATACACACATACACACATACACACATACACACATACACACATACACACATACACACATACACACATACACACATACACACATACACACATACACACATACACACATACACACATACACACATACACACATACACACATACACACATACACACATACACACATACACACATACACACATACACACATACACACATACACACATACACACATACACACATACACACATACACACATACACACATACACACATACACACATACACACATACACACATACACACATACATACACACATACATACACACATACATACACACATACACACATACATACACACATACACACATACATACACACATACACACACGTTTTTGTTTCTCTTACACGTCGACACCTAGGTAGGTTCCCTGTGACGCGAGAAGCGCTCCTTTCACATCCGACATAAGCCCCACCTGCCGTAGAGTTACACAGACGGACACACACACATACACACACACATATACACACAGACACACACACACAGACAAACATACATACACGCACCGGATGTTCTTCTCGAAGGGTGCCAGTTCCGGTGACTCGCAGCGCTCAGCAGCAGCAGCAGCAGCAGCAGCAGCACTAGCAGTAGCAGTTGCAGCGGCTGACGAAGAGCCCTCACCGCCGTCGACGCCGTCGCCGGCCTCGGGATGGGCTGTGGCGGTTTCGCCGACGTTGGCGATGTCGCCGGCTGCGGCAGCCACGGCGGCGGTTTCAATTCCAGGCTTCGGAGCCGCGGTGTAGGTTACGACGCCGGCAAATACGAGCTCGGGGCGTCGAGCTTGGCGATATAGACTCAGGAGTGTCGCGGCGCATCTGGGTTTTACGGCAATCGTACGGCACACAAAGCGAACGGATGACGTGTGGTCGCACTATTTGGTCAAGTGCTCTCCCAAGAGCGGGCGAATAAACGGACGGACGGGCGAACGAGCGAAAAATGCGAGAGCAACACTTTTTTAAAAAAGGGATAAGTAGTAGAATCTTATCGCGAGAAAGGCGCACGCGCGTGTGTGCATATGTACGGGGATGATGAGATCGTTCGAATATGTTTATGCGATCATCATCTCCGTGCGCGGCATAATCTAGCGAATGAATTTCCTTGCATGTCATGATGACCCATGTCATGCGGGGGCCCTGCTGGGAAGCGGGATGAACCTGAGAGCGACCTGGTTGCCGGCGACGAACAGGAGAAGCTGACGAAAAGCGAAAGCAAAACAAAGGAATACATGGCGCCAACATCTTTTATAATCTCATCGCTTTATGATCTTCAACAATATTTATGGACATGCGTTGAAAAGCTGCGCGCCTGGCGCGAAGTATTAAACGCGAAGTCCGAGTCCTTACGGTAAGCAGCCAGCGCTGCCCTGCTCTGCCAATATTCGCTCTACTTTCGCCGTTGGCAAGCTTGCACTTACTCAACATCTCTATAGGAGCCAATTGTTACAAAAATCGTTTCGGTCCGGCTGCTCCTGGGCGTTCTGAAGCGCTGCGCCCCAAGCAGCGTTGCGGTCGTGCACAAAAGCGCCAGGATCAACGCGGCCGGCACGATGCGGCGAAACGCGAACGACCAAGCCATGGCTTATTCCTAGAAAATTGTAATAGTGATCAAGCAAAAGAAAGTAGGAGACGACATGAACAGCTCTATCGTTACGGCAAAGGAGAGGTCGAAAGAGTCAAGCTTGGAAGGGTCAGTCAGGCCTATGTGTGGGCTCCCCGGGACCCTCACGTAATTTGGGTTAAGCATATGCGGATGAAATATTTTACTATTTTGTGAATTCATTTGCTGAGGCGATGGTAGCTATTGGTGCGCACGTATGCATCACTGTGGCGATGATGCGCAGTCCCGAATAAACGGCTTCCGATTTACTTTAGTTGGCGGGAACCCACAGTCCAGCCCACAGCGTAAGCAGCGGGGCCCCGAGGCAGTTAACCATTATGATCGTGAGCGCCAGCCACAAAGAAAAGAAAACAGCCTCGCATGGCTGATGACCCACAGGACCAGGCAAGACGTGTCACAAACAGAAGTCGCTGAATGGACTTAAGACTGGCTGAGTCCTTCCTCCCTTATAATTTGTTAAAGCTCACCCTTGCACGTCAAGGGCAAACAAGAGTCCCGCAATCACGGCCGCGACGTGATGCTTGTCGCAAACATTTTCATGTACGGCAACCGAGATGTAACCCTCAGCGAGTATACGAAAATTAACTTGCTGCTGTTCGGACCAGACTACGTTACCTTGAGAAGATATGACAAAGAATGAGACGTTGTAGTTGTTACAGTGGAGCTTGAAAGAATGAGCGCGTTGTGCACATGCACGCCCACGCAACTGTATGCATCGCCATGCTCTCTCTGCCTGGTCCTGGTAGACCAGTTAATTGGAGCTTAAACCAGTGTTGATATATCGGTAAAAGTCGATTTCCCTAAGAATTACCTTTTTCCCCTGCTTTGAGTTTTTGCATGTATGTCTACGGAACAAAGTGTCCCTCTGCTTGCCCTCCCTGTCTACCAACATCCACGCAAAGCATGGAAGTCTAGGACGGGCAAATCTGCACCTATGCAAATTACCTTTTAACAAAAACGCCGGTATCGCACATCAGGACTCCAAAGCAAGCAAAAAAAAGCCAAGTCTGCTCAAAGTCTAGTAACCATACGGTGTACCTCGAACCCGCTCGTAACGCCGACATACAGACATACAGATTGATCAGTCGAACCACAGAAGCAAGAGCAACCGTAGGCAGAGACTTACAGTCGTTGATGAAGCAATGCACCGCATGCGGCCGACACGCACACCATATGTCAATACACGAATAAACGACCGACAAACACACACACACACACAACAAGAACAACAACGCACCATTACCTGACTGATAATATTGAAAATCATCAGATTGCTTTTTGAGAGCTTCGCTTAGCTCAAGAGCCAAACTGGTAGAAGATGTACACGCAAGACACGACGTCCTGAGCCAGTAATAAGCACCGGCATTCGTACATACCAGTACAGAACATCCGTCGTACAGTCGTACCACATGCAATGATTAACCATTAGCGAACAGTCATTAACTTCACTTCACACAGCAGCAGAGCTCATAACCCAATTCGCACACACAAAGCAAACAAATGGAAATGGAAAATGCCGCCAGGCGCCCCCCGCATCTCGTCCTTTTCTCTCTCCCCCTCCGCCCCATCTTACTGGGCAATAACAGTATTACAGTTTTAAAGTGTCCGCACCGGTGTGTGTGCTGAGGGGTCCGTCAAAGCCGCGGGGGCCAATGGACCCACCGTATTTCATTCTCTCATTGTCCTTGAGAGTCTTCGCAACTCTTGTCCGTTCACGCAGTCCTGTCGGGCTCTGTAACGACGCAAAAAGCCAATCTGAGCAAGAGCATTCCGGGTTCCACCTTTGCTGTGTTACAGTGGTATCGGCTGAAGTGAACCATCAAGGAAGCAGCTACCCCCCCCCTCCTTTCTCCCAGCACCCTTTCCCCCCCCCCACACACAAAAAAAGACATATCGCGGACAGCAATAAAAAAACGGTAAAAAAAGGTAAACGGGAAAGGAAAAATCAGGGTGACAGAGAATCGACCACAGGGTATCTTTGTCCGTGGCGCACAGATAGGACGAGTCTTCGCAATACATCACACCTTTTTTTACCAGAAGGACGTGCAGGGAGCGAGATCAAAAAGAGAGGCTGTGCGGGCTTGAGAGGCAAATTTAGAGGAGGGAGGGAGAGAAGAACTAAACGCTGTCCCTTCGTTACGACACACGCAACACTCATCACAATCCCATCTCCCGTGGTCCTTTGTGCCCCCTTTTCCCGACCTGTTATTACATGGGTGATTGGCCTGTTGACCCAAATCGCTTTTCACGAGGACCACGGGGACCATGGCAAGGAATAAAGCTTGTTGGCTTGTTGTGACTCAAAAGAATTTTGTATTTTTTTTTAGTCGGTGGGTGAAATTATTCCTCCTTGAGGTGTTCCCATTTCAGGAGTGCTAACTAGAATAAACAATTTAATCTAGCGCTATAAAACAACCTCACACCGTTTTATGTCTTACACCAAAGGGGAAGAACTAAAGGGTTGTCTTCTTTAGGGTTGTCTTCTTTAGTTCTTCCCCAAAGTCTCTTCTTCTTCCCCTAAAGAAGACAACCCTTTAGAAGAGACTTTGGTTCATCCCCTTTAGGGGAACGTTTCCTCGGTAGAACCGCAGCGAGAACCTGAAAAGCTGCAGCCGTAGTCGCGCGCGACGAAAGTCTTCCTCTTCCCGACTCCTTTTTTGGCGGTGAGGTCATCCAGATACACAATATAACTATCCCCTTTGGAGTGTGTGACCCAGAGGGGACAAAGAAGAGCGCAAAGCGACAACATGGTGGTGGTGGTGTTACGGATTTCCCAAATCCCACCACGCGCCATGCACCACGATGCACCGTCTTTTACACATACATACATACATGAGCAGGCGGCTGGCAGAGGTTAAGGCCTGACTTCTGCTCCCGGAGGTCCAGGTTCAAATCCGCCTGCCGACTCCTCGGGTGTTTGAGGAGTGTTGAAATGGGAGGTGGCCCCCCATTATATGGACGATGTAGGACGTGATTAAATCAACTTGCGAGCTGACCAGGAACTAAGTTGATGCGCCGGTGATCCGCTAGATTTGGTTGGATGCTGGTGGTGAGTTGCCGAACCCAACGAATACATTCTGAAGTCGGATGGGGTGACGGATTAGGGTGCCCCTCTAGCAGGGGAGAGCAGGGACTGCCCCGGGAAAGGGGGCCGCTGGCGAAGTTAACCACCCTGTAACAACATACATACATGAAAAGGTAAAATTCTTTTTCTGCATCACGTGCCGCAGTCCTTCCCTTCCCCTTGCGCACACACACAGGACCACACACACACAGGACCACCTCATGGTGATGCCGCACAGTTTTCCTAATCCAAAAAACACCTCACCAACCACCATAACCGACATAACTGACACACCCCAGGCGGTGTGGTTCCAATTACGCTCGGTTCCAATCCAAAAAAAAGCGCCGCACATGAAACGTAGGCTCGAATCCATGATCGAGAACTCAGGCCGGGGCTAGTGCCGGGCGGTGCTGAGTCCACGGGTCGTCAAATTCAGGGCCCCTAGCCATGGTGGGTGTAGTTCACCGGCAGTACAGTGTACGGCTGTACCGGCGGAAAGGCGCGGCTGTGTACGGATTGTGTTGTTGTCTAATGGATATGTACGAAAAGGGTTGAAGACCGGGTGTGAATTTTTTCATATATGTTTTCATATATGCCTGGACGAGGGATGGGGGAGAGCATCCACAATCATCATCATCATCATCATAATAATAATAATAATAATAATAATAATAATAAAAGCCGCCATGGGTAATTACGACTATAGCAACCTTCACCACACGAAGAAACTCTCCCAAACCATGACAACTCCCCCCCCCCCCACACACACATGTATACATATATAGAGCCAACGTGTACATAGACGTTGTTCACTTCGCCCAGCGACACACACACACACACACACTCAAGCAAACAGCAGCCGGCGACACACAACGCCTTGCAAAGTGGGCCCCTCTAGCTTTCCCTCTCTCCCGCCCTCCCTCCCTACCCTAAACAGCTATAACCGTGGCCGCGTCCATCTGGGTCAAGATCGTGGGGCGGCATAGAGCGTCATAGAGCAGCTCAGGAAAAGGGGAGCTTCTTTCCACCCCCTCCTCCTCCTGCTTTCAACCGCGCTCTGCCCCACAACATTGGGGGGGGGGTCATATGACACTTTGGTTCTGAATAGTCCAAGATTTCTTAGTCTTACGTGAGTCCGATTGTTTCCTCCCTAAGCTGCTACGTACCTCCCCCCGCACCTCTTATATTTCTCTGCCTCTCTCCCTCCCCCTCTCTCCTTTCCCCCTGTCTCTTTTCCTTTCTTTCTCTCTTCCCCCCCCCTCTGTCTCTCTCTCTTCCTTCTCTCTCTCTCTCTCTCTTCCTTCCTCTCTCTCTTTCTTTCCACTATTTCTCTCTCCAAGCCTTGCGACATATTCGTTCGTTCATGCACACGGACTGACAACACGTCCAGTCATGCCCGAAGGGGTTGAAGGGCCTCTCTGACGTGTTCGTTCGCAATGACGTATTACCGCAGTCGCACACACTGCAAACAAACAACAAAAAAACAGTCACTCCTCGTCGTCACCAACATCATCAGCAATTCCACTGTCGTCATCATTGCACTCTTTCCCCCCTCATATCCGACGTCTGGTCATTATCAGGTTATTTACATCACACGGCGCACGGCCTCCTTCGGTGCCGCAACCACTGATATCTCTCTCTCTCTCTTCCTCCCGCTATCCCCTCCTCCCCTCGTTTCCCTCCACCGCTGCAGCCATGGCTGACGTGTGCGGCTCCTCCTGCCTGCTGATCCTCCTCTTCCTCCGCCTGCAGCTGCTGCTAACACTGTTGCTAACTAATATACCGTTGCTGAAAGCTGCTGTTGTTTCCGGTCATCGAGTCCCAGCACTGCCGCCGCTTGCTGCCAGCGGGTCAGCAGCGTTTGCTCCTGTCTCTGGGTCTGCTGCTGCTGCTGCTCCTGGGGTTCCGGCTGTCGCTGTTCGTTCCTGTTGCAGCTTCTGCAGCCGCTCCTGGTCCTCCTGCTTCTTCTGAGTCCATCGTTCGTGGAAGCGCTTCTGCCGGGGCTCCCGTACAATCTTCTTCTCCTGCTTGAGGCATGCAGACAGCTGCCAAGTGATCTCGGAGCACACTCCTACGTACTTGCGGTATGGGTTCTCCTTACGGCACTGCATCAAAGCCTCCATGTACTGCAGCGGGGAGGGAAATCCGTTTGGGGCTGGGTAGAGACTAGGTTGGGGGTGCTGGATTAGGGTCAAGGGTCAGGGGTGTGGCGAGGAGTAGGGAGAAAAAAAGAATGGGATACGGCTAAAGGTAGCGTATGTGGGGGACGGACAAGGAGCAAGGAATTAAAGATTTTTGATGTGGGGCAGGGTCGTGTGTGACAGGCGATCAGGAATGGGCAAGCGTCGCGCCTACAGAAACGACGGCAAGTGTGCAGTGCATGCCGCGCGGTGGGTGCCACAGATATCAGTTAAGATAGGAGAGATGCGAGGTGCTTCTTGTGGAGTTGAGGTTGACTGACTTCTGTCAGTACCGACACGGTGGAAGAGTCAAGCCAGCGCATTAGCGCCTACGGGAACCAATGTAAAAGCAGGACGATCCAAAGACACTTTATTCCATGAGGACATACTATAAAGTAACAAGGCATTAAGTCCGCCCTTGGAAATCGGCTTTACCTGCCGCACACGCTTACGCGCTTGTAGCCTACCTTTCCGCATAGTGGATGCTTCTCCGGAATAAGCGCGGGGTGCATTCTTCCTTTCTTGCTAAGTGTGTTTACGTTGGAAATGCCGTTACGGTAAAGTGTGCATCCAGTCTTCCGACAGGTAAAGCGCAGTGTGTAAAAAAAAGAGTCTTGATAAGCATATAACGTGAAGCCAATTCATGTGTGACTGGCACCTGAGTTGTAAAAATGCGCTCCGTCGTACAGCGGGTATTCTTTGTTGTCCTCCTTTCCTACCCAAAGCAATCATGTATAGTCACACAGTTACGTGCTTCAGCACTGTATCTTATACGCTCCTTGTATCTGAGGACAAACCAGGGTCCGGGGGTTTTTAGGCTTCCTTCTTTATAACATGTCCTGGATACCATTTGAATAGAACGACGGGCTGCAAAACCGCATTTATCACAATGCACTACCAAATACAACCTTGTGGAGAGCACGTCAGCTCAGATAGCCAAGAGAAAGCCATGTAAATTTGGTTGCAGCAAAGGCTCCTTCCGACCGCTACTCATATCGGCCTTTTAAGTTTCATGGAGGGCATGACGGGCAGGAGGGCCTTGTAGAAGGTCAACAGGTGGGGCTGTGCATGTGAACCTCTGCCCGTGGAACTGCAGCGCAGGACCTGTCTTAGACTCGATATTGCAATATACTTGTTCCAATTTGCATGCCCTGTTAGCTCGTTTTTTTGTTATCTCCCATCTGCACTCGTGGATTGCTTGCACACAAGCCGCCTTGTCTTTTAGGGTGTATTTCCAGTGCGGATTAAGGCCAGGGATTAACCCTCTGCCCTCCATCGATACCTGCTCAAACGGCTAAGTTGTTGGCAAACTTACCTCGCCTTTTCAACCTTTGGTTCCCTTATGGAACAAAACTATGTGGTAAGCTCGTTCCTTGCCCTAATCCCTGGCCTTAATCCGCACTGGAAATGCACCTTTACTCAATCCTCCCACAATTCGTCTCGCGTGCTTACTTTACGGGCCTAGAAAAATTCTGGCGTTACCCCCGTCCCCTTTTTATTGTCCCGCGCACCCCTGCGCAGGCGACGTCTTGTGTTCCTAGTGCCAGGCATTTCACTGTCAGCCTTTTCGTGCTTTCAGGGCCCCTGGAACGTCTCAGCAGCCCATCCCAGCCCATCCCATTTCTCGATATTCTCCGTACCGACAGCCCTTCCACCGCCGTACAACTTAGGTCGCTCCCCAATAACCGCTTCCCCCAACGGCATTTAAATCCACTACTACCATTCCATCACCCTGAAGAGATCAAAAAACAGCAGAACAACAACAACAACATCATCATCAACAACAACAATTTCTCACCACCAGCACGTTAACGCCGTCGACCAGCTCCAGCTCTCCAGCGTTCACCACCTCCCTCGATGTCCAAAGTCCTCAACCTCTTCCGCCGCCGTGCCGTCGCCGAGGGAGTCGGCGAGCTGCGCCCGCAACACACACGGTCGGTTCCTTCCATGCCCCCCGTCCCCACCATGCCTTCACCCTCGCCACCAGCCCCACCACCGCCGCTGCCGCCAGTGGTACAACCTCCTCAACGCATCAACGACGGCGCCGGCGTTGACGGCGGCGACGCTACCGCCGCCGCCGCCGGCAGCGGCGGCCCACCCGCCGTGGAGCCTTCCGGCCCATCGTCCGCTGAAAACATCGTCGTCCCGCGCCGACAATCCCAAGTCAACCTGAACAAATTCCTCGCAACTGCCCCCAGTGGGCTGACCGCCGTCCTAAAACAGCCCTCCAGAGCCGAGATGTTGGAGACGCAGCGCTCCCAAGGCAGCGGCTCCCTCCCCTCACCCTACAACAACCACAACCATCACAATAACAATAACAATAACAATAATAATAATAATAATAATAATAATAATAATAACAATAGCAACATTCATTCACACTTGAGTCGGCATTCACAAAACGGCGGCGGAGGCCGAGGAACGGACCCTCCAGCGGCGGCGGCGGGTTCGAAGTCATCAGGGCGGGAACGGTGCAAATCAGTAACGGTGTCCGAAATCGCGCAGAACGTCCAAAACATTGACGTCAGCCAGGCGGCACTCATCATGATGCCGGCGCGGCTCCGTCAGGAGCTTAGTACCGTACAACAGCAGCAGCAGTCGTACTCGTCGTCGTACTCGCAGCCGCTGCCTTCCCTGGCGTCAACGCCAGCGCCGGCACTGCCCAGCCGCTCCTCGGCGCAGTTGCCCCCAGCGGCCCTAAGCGCTGACTCGGGATTGTTTGCCGCCGCCGGCGGCGGCGGCAGTGGCGTCGTACAGCAGACCCCGCGTCTAGAGCGCAAGCCCTCCATCATCAGGGAGGCTGTCAAGCTGCAGCTACAGCTGCAGCAACCGCCAGCACCTTCTAGATTGTCAACGATGGGAATGGCGGCGGCGGGGGCGGATTCAGGTTCGCCATTCCGAAACGTCCAGAATCCCGCTGGTGTCCTTGGGGCCGGCGGCGGCAGCGGCGAGCCGTCGCTGCCGGGCACCGTATCGTCATCGTTGTCGTCACCATCACAGCATCAACAGCCCGCCGCCGCCGCCGCCGCCGCCGCCGCCTCCCGATACTCCGTCGCTGTTTCCGGGTTATCGCCATTACAAATGCATCAGTCCATGAGCGGGGTGTTGTCGAGCGGCCCTAGTAGAGGGTCGTTGACCGTTAGTATTGGGTCGCCGCTATCACCCGGCGGCGGCGCGTCGCCGTCAGCGTCGTACCCGCCAAGACTGGGGCGACGGTCGGAGATGGGGGAGGCCGCCACGGCGCGGAGCCAACAGGGCAATCGAGCGGGCGGCCGGGTCTCCGAGGCGCCGCACCCCACGCCGCCAGCAACGGCGGCGCCTCCTATCCTGTCAAGCAACGGCGGTTTACCGTTGAGCCCAACTGGCAACGCAAACGGTTATCTTCCCAGCGCAATGAGCGTTAGGGACTTACGGCGCGGTGGGCTGGTGCCGCGGGGGTCGGAGGTGTTGGCGGTGGCAGCCATGGCGGCGGCGGCGGTGGAGGGAGATTCAGTGGCGGGAATACCGACCCCCAACTCCCCTTCGCACCATCACCATTATCATCAGCAACAGCAGCAGCAGCAGCAGAACCAAGATGTACGGCTCCCAGTTATTGGTGGTAACGGCACGACGTCGGCGATGGCGACGACGACGGCGACGACCCGGCGGGTGGTTATCGGCGGCGGCGGCGGTGAGGGTCGGGATAGGGACGGCCCCCCGCCGATCGGCGGCGGCGGCAGCGGCAGCGGCGGCGGTCGCGGCGGTCTGTCTGCCGCGGATATGGCGGCGCTGTCTGAGGCCATTACGTCGTATGAGGCTGAGGTAGGCTTGAAAGAAAGGAGGAATGGGGAGGGCGGCCCCCCGCCCCGCCCCGCCCCGCCCCGGCCCGGCCCGTAGAGAAGAGGTCCATCACAGCGACGCAGGGAGGTCCAGGGCTCGTTAACTCACGTACTGATGGGTTTTAGGGGGGTAAGATGAACCACCCGTTTTAGGGGGTTTGGGGGGACAGACGGTGAACCACAGACGACTGATGCTGATGTTGATACCAGATATGGACGGATGCGTCCTCAGGAACAGACAGACAGACGCTGTGCGAAGCTACCGACCAGTAGTGTGACTTGGGGGAAGTAGTCGTGGCCGCGGCGACGTGGCCAGGGAGCTAGATTGCGAATGAGAGCGTCTAGCGCTGTCGACGAGTCCAGGGGGGAGAAAAATCGAAATGACTGGCTTAGTGGGGGTAAAAGGGTGGGGGAGGATGTATGCAGAAAGAGCAAAACGTCAGCTGCAAAACGTCGCGGTGTGTGTGTGTGTGTGTGTGTGTGCGTGTAAAAGACAAAGGGGATGGGCGGAAAGGGGGGGAAATGGAGACGAAGGTTCCCATGCAGGTTTCCACATGTATGTTTGATATACATATATCCGATATACATATATGTCCGCGTCCCCCTCCTCGTCGTCGTCTCTCCGCGGCCCCCTCCGAACCTCCGATTCCCCTCGGACCCCCAGGCCGCGCGCCTGCGCGCTATGGCCATTCGTAAAGTGGACTCCCGCATCAAGCGAGCCGTGATGGATCGCCGGCTCACGTCTGACGAGGAGCCGGGTCCCGAGGCCGCCCCCTCCTCTTCCCTACTTGATGGCGGCATCGGAGCCGCTTTGCTGGCCCCCCTCCTCAACAAAGGAGGACAACAACAACAACAGCAACAACAGCACGTATCACCGCAGGCCCAGCAGCAGCAGCAGCAGCAGGGGCCAGGGGCAGGAGGGCCAGGGGGCAGCAGTGCTTTGCCGGGGGGAAGCAACAATGATGGTTCCCACGAGGAGCTGCTGACTCAACAGCAGCCGAGGAGGAGCTCCCCTTTGGGATCTAAAGTGTTGACAGGTGGGGCTGGGGGGCGGGCTGGGGGTTGGAGTGGTGGTGGGGGGCCGGGGGCTGAGGGTTGGAGTGGGGTGGGGTGGATGGGGGGTTGGACGGGGGAGCAATACATGGAAGGCAGGAGGTGGGATTACGGCTTTGGGATCTTGTGTTTTAATATGTTTGTGGGGGGATGGGGGACCCGCAGCCAGCAGGCGGCACTCCATGTACCTAATGGTACGACATGGGAAGCTGCTGCTGATGGCTCCCTCCAATAATATTACTCACCTGCCTCCCGCCCTCTTCACCCCCTCCCTCCTTCCCCCCCCCCAAACCCCACCAGCAGCGGCGGACCTGATGTCGGAGCCCGCCCCACTGCCCAAGAGGGCCCGATGAAAGGTCTGTACGGCAGACGGCGGTACCAGTCCGAACACAGCAACTACCACAACCACCACCAGTACTACAGCAACTACCACAACCACCACAACCACCACGACAAATATCAGCTCCCTAGGCCAGCTTGCGCGACACAGCCGCCAATATAGCCCCTCCACACATGTACGACATGACGCAAACCCGCACAGCCCAGACACAACAATATCTTCAGGGGACTGTTAACGCAGCAGCTCTCTCAGCGTGTATTGCGACTATGACGCAACGGGGGCGGTAAAACGAGGTGGAGGACACCTGCAACCAAAACGCCCCCGGCGGGTGGGGTGGTATTATATCACAAACACACAAACACACACACACACACACAAACACACCTCCGCTCGGACGCCTTTCGATGGCGCCACCTGTTTTGTTTGTTTGACTGTTGGCCGTGGCGGCGGGGTTCGTGGTTGAGGTGATTGCGGGGTGGTGGTGGCGGGGATTGGCGAGGATGTGTACGTGCTGGCATTTGTGTTTATTTGGTGTACCCGCAGTACCAGGCAGTACAACAGTCGTACGGGGCTGCCCCGGGGCGTGGGGGGATGGGGGTTAGGTAGGGGTGGGGGCCCGGTAGGGTCCTGCGAAACGGAGCCACTACGACTGTGCGCGGTTGTCTGCAGGATCCTGGATCCATCTGGTTTTGGATCTTGAAACCTGGACTCTGGATTATTCCTCGCGGGACGCCACGTCCCGTCATTCTCGGCGTCGTACGTGTCGTGTGTCGTTATTCGCGTAATCATCAGTTTTGCAACCAGCCAAGCAGCCTGCCAGCCATGCAGCCAGCCAGGTAGACTGCCAAACGCGTGAGTGAGAGCGTGTGTGAAGTGCGGGGGAGGGGGGAGAAGTGAGACGAACCGGATTGACGATTCGATTGAGCGTGTGTGTGTGTGGGGGGGGGGGTGAGGCGGGGTTAAGGGGTCCTGGAATACGGACCAAGAGCTCTCCCCCGCCCTCCACCCCCCACCCCCTTCCCGGGTCCTCCAGCTCTCTCCCCATATTCCCCCAACCCCGGTATTGCGCTTTCTTTTTCTCTTCCCCTTCCTTCCCCCCCTTGGCCCCTCCCTGGGGTGGGGAAGGACCACTCGGACTTCTGGATCGTACACAAACATAAAGCAATGTTAACAATTGCTTTCTTGGACATTAACTTGTGTGTGGTACCATGTTTATGATGTTCGAGGAAGCAGGGCCGACATCACGGGCGGATGGACAGGCTGACAAACTGACAGACAAACAGACTGTGAGCATATGTGATATGAGGAGAGGCGTGCATTCATTTGGCTTTTTGCCGCATAGCCCCGTCATAAAATGGGCGAGAAATAGAGGGAGGGAGTGGAGCAGGATGGAAAGAGAGAGTGTGTGTGTGTGTATGGTGTGTGTGTTACTGCGGCTTTGTGTTTTCGATTCTCGGGTTTTCTACCTGGTTTTTTCGTGGTTTCGGAGGCAGGATGCGGGCGCCGGAGGCGCGAGGTTTCTTTTCTTCGTCAAGACACATCGGGAGTGGTGGTGGGGATTGGAAGGGCCATGTATCCACATAATGGCGAGGTGGCTTCGGGTACTCCGGGTTTCGGAGCCAGTTGTATAGAACGCGCGCATGTAAACGCACGCATACGCACACACACACGCAAACGCGCACGTGTGTTTTCATGTACGTGTACATGCACACCTGCACATACATACACACATACATACATACAAACGTACACATCACAGCACCCCTCACACCCGCCATTCCATCCGCGCATCACCATTGGAGACGTTTACGAGCACCCCGTTGACACCAGCAACCCTTTCGCATCGTTTCTGTCCGTACACACGTACATGCGTACGAACGAAGGGTGCAGTGTACCCGTACTACCCACCCACCTAACTTTACCTGCGAAGTTTTATTCTCTAGTACTGCACACACGTTGAGTATGATGCATCAGTGAGGGTTTTGACGTCCAAAGTACATTTTACTTAAGTGATTCAAGTGACTTACGTTCCTTTCACGGCGGCGTGTATTTCATTCACCGCCTATCTTTCATTCACCGCGCATATCTGACACCTGACACCTGGCACCTCGCAAGAACACAAACACAAACACAACAGCCGCCCGTTTGTGTGTATGTCTGTGTGTGTGTATGTCTGTGTGTGTGTGTGTGTGTCTCTTTTCGGCAGTGTGTAGTACCACTACGGCGACGGCTCTCGTGTTGTCGTGCGGTGCAGTGCTGGAGACACGTGAAGACACGTGTGGCGTCGAGAGGAGGGAGTCGGGTTATACTGCGCGGGGGGGGGGGCGCCCTCCTTGTCCTCCTTGTCCTCCTTGTCCTCCTTTTGTCCTGAAGAGGGTTCTTCTTCTCCGCCTCCGCCTCGGTGGGCTTTGATGATGGGCCATATGGCTGGCGGCCGCCCTGCCTGCCTGCCTCTCTGTCTGTCTGTCTGTCCGTCTGTCTATCCGTCTGTCTGACATGTTCGTGTACTGCAGGTGATACTCCCACGTGGGTTTGTAGTTAAACAGCTCGGCAGGTGGATGGAAGGTGGATGATCTGTATTTGGGTACAGAGAGAAGATAACGCTCATCATGCAAACGCCGAAAAGGTGTGTGGGTGTGTGTGGGTGTATGTGTGTCTGCTCAGCAGCAGCAGCAGCAGGAAGAGCAACAGCAGGAGGGAGAGGAGATGGCTTTTCGTTTGCCTGTTGGGCTGGGTGGATGCGGGGCTCTGGGGGTGTGTTGACAATCTCCTGGAATTGACGAGCGACGTCTGGTGAGCCGGAGAGACACGGAGGGGATTGCTAATGTTGAGGCGCGGGGGTGCCGGGATTTTGCATGTGTATGCGAGTATGTGTATCTGTACGCGCGCGCGTGTGTGTATGTATGTGCGTGTGCATGTCTGTTTGCGTACGGATGTGTTTGGCTATTGAAAGTAAAAATGGTGTATGTACATGTGTATATGTATATGTATGAATATGTATGTTTGTATGTACGTGCGTGCGCATACCCCTGGGCCACTATTGGTGGACAGCACAGCATCCAACAACACATGTCTGAAGCGTGCAAATGTATGTATGTATGTATGTATGTATGTATGTATGTATGTATCATCATCATCATCATCATCATCAGTTTCCTAGCAGTCCAGCCGCCATCCCCGCCGGGTTAAAATGTTGAAAGAAGCCCGTTCAACACGCGAGGTAGTAGCGGCTCGCCGGTTTGCGTCATACGACAGGTACGGCATGGAGCAAGCACGGGCGGTCGAGCACCCGTCTTTTAGTCCCCTTTTATTCCTGTTCGCACTTCCCTTGGCTTGGCGAGACTTCATCCCCTGTTATTCACTACCTGGTTACGATACCTGGACTGATGAGTGGTCTGTGGATTGCTGGACTGGACTATGTGCGTGTGTGTGTATGTAGTGCGGCGTGTTACGTGGTTGGGGTGTGTGTTACCCCGTACCTGTAGAACTACTATACTACTACACGCCGAAGGCCCAAAAGGGTTATCCCGGATAATGCGGAGGGGCCCGGGTGAAGACATCAGGGGGTTCAGATGGCGGCAGGATTTGGTTTTGAGATAACAAACGGGACGGCGTTCTGTGGACGGCATTCTGTGGACGGCATTCTTTTTTTCCTTTTTCCTGTCTGGGTGGTGATAGTTGGCAGTTGGTAATTAATTGTGAGGGCGTCTCGGGGGGGCGTCCTTTTCTGTGCGACAGCAGCAGATCGGGGTTGATCGGGGTTGGCGCCAACTCGTTTGGCGCGAGTTTAGTTGCGCGTGTCGTTGAGGATATCGCACGCCGGGGGGGGACGACTCTTCGCCCCCTCCGCCTCCCCTTTTTGTGTTTGATGTCCGTGTGTAAATGTGTGATGTATCAATCAACAGGAGTTTCGTTTGTTTGCGTGAGTTGTGTGTTTTTCCTCCGCCTCGGGGGGTTCGGGGAGCCCTTAGGGTTGGCCCGCTGGCCGTTACCTGATGTAGCTATTATATGGGCATTTCAATGAACCATGCGGACTTTGGGAAGTGGTGCTTATAGCTTATTGCTTTTGTGCCCGTCGTGGTGGTGAGAGGCGGGTGGTGGGAGCTACGGCGATGATTTCAGATTGTGTGGAGAAAAGTAGGATGGTGGCGGCGTGTTGGCGATCTCTGACGATCTTCTGGAGGACACACTTTTGGAGTGTGGGAGGTTCATTTTCTTTATAACTTGTCGGACATCGAGAACTTTCTTTTCCCCTCTTTCTAGTCGGACAATGGAAGGAACGCTTCGACGGGTAGCTCTGCGTGTGTGGGAGTTGGCTCTACTTTAATGAGCTTGACGGTCTTTCGAATCGCTGTTTGCTTACCTGGGGGTTCGACAGACACAGACGTACATACATGATGACAAGGCGAGAGACACGCTATGGGTGTTGTGTGATAACGTATCGGATGCTGCGACTCTTGACATGACAAAATATAAACAATTAACACCTTAATGCATGGCCCGGGGGGTGCATAATAAAGGAGACACGACTGCAATTTGCGATTTGCGTATTTTTTAAGCCCTGGGTTCGATTCCCGGGTAGACCCCCGACATTGTTGGGAGGAGCGTGAGATTATGGCTATAGCTGCTGAGGTGTGGAGCCGAGGTCACAGTTGATGGACCGAGATTCGCACCACGCTGGATTGGTGGCGATTGCTGAACCCTCCGTCTCTACTACGGATGTTCGGGTGAAAAGAAGAGGAGGGACGCTAGGAGGCAGAGGCAGACCGCCTCTAACCGCCTTGGACTTGCAGTTCGGGTAGAGCGTAGTACAGTGTGGTAATGGTTGATGGTGCCGTATTATGGTTGGTTCAATCCAATAGTTGTGACGATCCAAATGTGTGTGCGAATGGCCCAGAAGCCCACTCCCACTCTGTAACAAGAATGACAACAATTGTAGAAAAAACGATGTATGAGATTACAAGTGGTGATCCCGACGATATTGGTGATGATAATGGTATAATGATGATGGTGATGATGATGATGATGGTGGAGAGTCATTAAGACAGCAGCTCACAGATGTTCTTTACTTCCTGCTGCTGCTGCTGCTGCTGCTGCTGCTGTGTTGCCGCGAACAATCAGCAGAAACCTCCCTAGTGGTGGCGTTTTGGTTGTTTCGGCCCCAGCTTCGTGTGTGCGGACGTGTGGCCGTGTACCTCAGAGCTCACGCACACTTTTTGCTCCCCAGTGCTGCGGGCAGCTCTGCGCCACCATCATCACCACCACCACCGTCATCATGGATTGCGGGTAGCTTTTACCACTGGATCCTGCTGTATACCACTGGATCCTGCTGTATACCCTGCAGAGCCTGGTCGCAACACAGTTTTAAACTTATATACGCTGAAATTAGATGCACCATCCCAAAATATATTACACGTATACAATAATCGTGAATAGATATGAAAGAGGTATAGAGATTGCCGGTGCAGCAGAAATAAATGGAAGGAATTCACTATAGCTATACATACGTCCGTGTAACCGACATGCCCACTTCAACTGCTACTGCTATCTACTAGATATGCAGAGCGCCATCGCCAGCAGCAGCTTGGAGCTACGTATCGCCAAGCTCACCGGCAAGCCATGGAAAGCCATGTTCCGAGTCTATGGAGCGCTGCCGGACGACTTTTCGCAACACACAGACGACCGTGATATACGCCGACCCTGTATTTTGACTCTTGAAGGCTCTTGATACCTTACTCTTCTGTACAACATCTGTTCAACACGCCGCCGCTGCTGGATACGGAGCTCGCTTCGGTATTGGTATATATTATTCCTCGTGTACCGCCGTCGTCAGCATTATTGCCATCACCACCTCAGCGGCTCGTCAGATATTTTACTTAAACACCGACGACGAGTCAAACAGGGAAGAAAGGAGTAAAATAGATGGCCGAAAGAGGGGTAGGACTAGGGCCCCGTCCCCCTCTAGCCACCCTCGCGGCGCGCCGCTTTATTCAATATCCTGAAACCCTTTCTCTCATGGCCATTACCACAAATGCAGCCTCCGAATGTCGATGTGTTGTTCTACACGCCGGATGCTGTTTTCAACATCCGTACGCTTATAATAAACAGTTTTCGCAAATGATTTGCAGAAGCGTCCCGTGGGACAGCCCTGCCAGCCCAGCCACACCGCGGTGGACCGCAGTTGGCTTTATTTGCGGCATCTTCGGCAGCACTCCGAACACTCTCATTCTGGATGCAATACTTGCCGTACCTGCCGTACCTGCCGTACCGCCCGTCATTCCGGAGGTACATTTCCACGTGTAAAAACACATACAGTTGTCCATCGGAACAGCGCCATCGGACCCAACGACGACGCGGAAGGCATTGAACCATGGGAATGAAAGAGGCAACACGGCGTGACATACATACATACATACAAAGCTACTGTACGGAGCTACTTCATGCTGCCATACGGTACGACGCGTACACCCTAGCACACACATCACTAACCCCCTTCCCTCCCCCCTCCCTCCCCCTGTCTCTTTCCACCTTCACTTCTGTCGGCCTGTCCGTCTGCCGGTCCGTTCTCCCGCCCACCACCACCACCACCACCACCGAAGTCTCCGCTCCCACTCCCCTGCACTTCCCCTCCTTGGCGGGGTTTTCGTCTTTCCCCGGCCTCTCCCCCCCCTTTCCCCCCTCCCACCTCCCCACTTTTCCACTCCCCCCCTCCTATCCCTCCGTTCGCCGTTGCTGCTCCCCCCTGGCCACTGCTCTTGTAACACAAACTGCCGTACTCTTTTTATCAATCCTTCTTTTCTCTCCTCCTCCTCCTCCTCCTCCCCTCAACCTCCTGGAAAGAACGCAACCATCTAGCTGATTGAGCTGATTGCGCTATTCGGGTCCCATGATATGCACCCTATATACAAGGAGTAACCCACCCCACCCCACCCTACGACTACACATACTCTCTACATGTGGCTCTACTTCACTTCCTCGCGAGTTGCCGGCAACGCCAAATGAGATATGTAGGACTTGATGGTCCGTCCGTCCGTCCGTCCGTCATGGCAACGGCAACGGCAACAATAACCCTAACAAATGGAGGGTGAAGGTGAAGATATGTGAATGACGAAGGTGTGTATGGCGAATCCCCAAATCGCGACCCCAAAACATGTCCTCCTCCTCTCGACGAAAGAATCTCTCTCTCTCCGCATCTGCAGCCCACGGGAGGAGGATGGGCCCCCCACCACCCCGTGCACAAGGACAAGGAAAAAGAGGCGGCGTACAAGATCCCAAAAAATATTAACATCCTTTTAAAAAACAAACCCTGCAATCAACCCTGCAGCAAATGCAAGTTTAACTGTACGTGCCGTACATGCAGTATAGTACAAACTTTGTAATTATCGTTTAACATAAAACGATATAATCGACAAAAAATATCGACAAATAGCTGGATGAAGTTAAGCCGCGCGGTGCAGCCAATTGCCGTCTGAGCTGGGCCTTGGTGGCGCCTTGCCCGGGGCAGCTGCTGCACCCTGCTGCCCGCCGCCGCCGCCGCCGCCGCCGCCAGCGACGCCGTTACCAGCGACGCCAGGCAGCGCCGCCAGCAGCGAGTCTGCCTTCTCGGGGTTTGAGTTGATTTCCGCCAACTTGGCAGAAAAGAGCTCCAAATTGGGCGCGGTGGGATCTTGCAGACAGGCCACCAACGACACGCCGTTCAGTTTGTAACGCTTACGAAGACAGGCGTCCACTCGTACAACGGCGTCTCGCCACCAGCGCTCTTTTAGCTGCGCCACGCCGGCCTTTTGGAATTGGTTGGGAATCAACGTCAGAAACCGCGAACGCGCCAGGCCGGCGCCGGCGGCGGCACCTGCAGTGGCTCCGCTGCCGCCAGCCGCCGTGTTGGATGCGGTAGTCCTCTCCGATCCCGCCTCCGAAACCGTATCAAGGAACGCATCGGGCCCTGTCAATCCCGTTGCGGCACCGGCCGCCGTGTCAAGCCGTACCGTACGGGAAGTACGACGCGGCGACTCAGCTCGTGGGCTAGAGGAGCCAATGGAGGACTGCTGCACCAGCAGCGCCGATGGACCCATGGGTCCGTTGCCGCCGCTGCCGCCGCCGCCGCTGGGTACGGAACCCGAACCCGTACCTGAGACGCTGACGCGGCGTAGTCCGGCGGTGCTGGCGGCGCCGAAGTGGCGGTGTACGGCGGCAGCGGCGACGTCAGCTGGCGGCGTCGCGGCAGCGGCGGCGGCGTTGTGGTGTCCAGCCAGGGCGCTAGTCGTCGTGGTGTTGGTGTTGTTTGTATTCGATATTGAGGGCAATGGCGGTGTGGATGGCGCCTCCCTACCTCGCAACATGTTGCCGAAAGATTGACGGAGAAGCATTTCGCTCTGCAACAACAACAACAACAACAACAACAACAACAACAACAACAACAACAACAACAACGACCATTCTCGCGAAGAGCAACACAACAGTCAAGAACCACGCCAAAATGACGTGAACTAACTAATCCAA